TTCCCTGGCATCCAGGCATGAAACCAGACTTAGTAGGGCCTGAACCTTATGAAATTTGCAAAGTGCCTTTTAATGAAAAAGCATGCAAAATGTATGCCTACAGAAATTTCTAGGCCCCGCCAGGACATTGAAGGGTCCTGTGCAAGTGAGGAGTCCCAGGGCTTCACCTCCACTCAACTCATGATAAATCCACCACAGCGGAGGCATTTGTGCAGCAGGGAGAAATACTTCAACTGATAATGAGCTCCAGACTGAACATGTTGGTCATAAAAGTATTGGCATCCTAGCTTGGCGACTTCCCTTTGAAAAGAGATGCGATAGGCTTCTGTCTCACTGTGGTGACGGTCAGCTAGCTTTGTCTCCTGGGAAACTTGAACCCAAAGCCCAGGTACCCAGTCCAAACACACACTTGGTGGATTGTGACCATTATGTTGATCTTTTTACTTTCTCAGGGGAGATAGGGGCTTGATACGTTGCCACGGCTGGCCCCCACTCCTAAGCTTAAATGATTCTCCTGCCTCAGCCTTCCTGAGTAGCTGACACTACAGGTGCATGCCACAATTGACTGACTGTGCAAATCTACTGAAGTAACTGTAGAGTAGTTTGAGAGGCAGGGCTCTATCCACAGCAAGTGCTGTGAGCATGAATGTCCAGCACCACTTAGCTCTCACTTTCTCATCTCCAGGAAGCAACTGCCTTTCTGTTAAGAAAAACCTTAGCATCAGATGCCACAAGTCACTGTCTCCTCCATTATGAGTCTTTTCTAGTGCTTCACCTGTGCCCACTTTCCTTCAAAAGCAAGCCTTCAGTGTCTCCCAGGCTGTGCATCACCAGGTTGACAACGAGAGTGAGGAGTTCACACGGTTGAGGATGCAGGTGAAGTTAACCAGCTCCAGATGCATCCTAAACCTCCCCCCCAGGATTTCAGACTGTGTGAACTGGACTTTGGACCCACGAGACAGGTGGGAAGTCTTTCCCAACTCAGGTGGAGATGGGGATTTTCATCTTGAGTCTGAAATCCCCTTCAGGCTATTAAACATCAGCAGAAAGGAAGTAAAGCCTGCACTTCTTATCAAAGGGAGCAGGAGAGAAAGCATGTGGAATTGGGCTAGAGAAATGTATTTTTATACATATTTTCCACACTATCTCTTAACACAAACACCCACCTGTTGGACATTTTGAAGTTCTGATTGCACACAGATAATTCATAACTTCAGAAGTCAATATTTTTTCAAAAACAACATTGTGGGTGGTTAGGGAGAGAAGTACCTGGTGGCAGGCTTTCAGGAATTCTTTCTACTTTCCCATTTAGTGGACACCGGCAGTGAAAAAGCTTTGGTACCTTTTGCTTCTTGTAGAACTTTACATTAAACTTAGTCCTGTGAAGTTCTCTAGTGTATATATTTGAATAGTGAGAACTCTGCATGTGAGAAGCAAGCAAGTGGAATTTCAAGGAACATTCGTTCACAGCCTTCACAGCAGCCATGAGCTCCAAACGATGCTAATTTGAGTGTTACCTGTGTGACACCTTGTGTTGCTCATGCCAAAGACCAGTACCTGAGAATGCAGAGCAGGCTACCTAGAAGTTATAGAAGTCAGCTCGCTCATCTGCAGGAAGCAATTGCTTTGTGGTAACAAAAACCCACGTGCCTCTAATCCCAGCACTCAGGCGATTGAGGCAGGACCAATGTAAGTTTAAGGCCAGCCTGGACTGCATAGCAAGACCCTGTCATCAAAAATGTTATATCAAATCCCTTGGCCTCTTTGTACCGTAGTTTCCTCATTTGGAAATAATGAATGTAGTCTTTGGCCATACCATCCTGGATGCTCCTCATCTCATCTGAAAATAATCAGTGGATCTTAAGACTTACTTTTCAAAGCTCTTTCAGGATCCAGCTAGTGAATAACTGCATGAAGTTGATACATAGATTTGGTTTTCACAGTTTTTGTTTTTACATATGTTTATCATTTATATCACTTACACTTGGTGTAAAAACGGCATCCCATGCCATGCTTGAAATGTTCCAAAGCTCACTTTTGTGAGTAAATTGCAACGAAGATTTCTACAAAAAAATAAAAGGACATAATTGAAAGAATAAAGATGCTTTCTGAACCTTTTTCATTTGGCAGTTATTTCAACTTATATATGATGAAACATCACTTGAAATAGTTTTTCCATATACTAAAGAAATCTCATTGGAAGATGGTGGCTTGTAATTTAGACTTTCATATTTACATGTGAAATGCACTAGATACAAAGAATGAAAGCTTAATAAATACTTGTGCTGAGTGATCTTTATTGCTCTTGAACAGCATTCCACAGCTTGCGCACTAGTGACATTTGGAGCTGGCTGATTCTTTGTGTTGAGTGCCTGACTGAACATTGTAGCATGCTTAGCAGTATCCCTGATCTCTGCCCTCTCGATGCCAATAGCAATTGTCACCTCCATGCAAAATCAAACCAACTGAGAATCATTGCTCTGTAGTGACTCTCTCTGACCTGTGTGATAATCTCTATAATCCACTTTGGTAGAGGTTTAAAGGATTTCCCCATGAGTAGCAAAGAGATTTTAAGACTATAAATATAAGGAAGTTTTATTTGTAACTTACAGGAACTTCAAAAAGGGTAGTGCTTCAAATGTTTCTCTTTCAATAAACAGTATTTTATTGCAGGATAAATCTCTAGAACAAGGAAAAGGAAAACATTGCCTTAAATAACTAGTAAGTAAGTAGTATGAACACTAGGCTTTAGAATTCACAATATTAAAAACATTTTTGTCAGAATCTTGGACTTGTATCTGAACATTGTGGACCCCATATCCTGTCTCTAATTCCTCTAGGACTCTCACCTTCATGATCTTCATAGATAAAGTATACAACTATTAGATTGTGTTTTTCAGCTCTGAACTAGGTAGTCCTGGCTGGCCTTGAACTTACTGTGTAGCCCAGGCTAGTCTCGGACTCACCATGCTCTTGTCTCCTCCTCCTAGGTGCTAAGTCTGCACGTATAGTACTTAATTGCTTTTATTTTCCCCTCTCATGTTGTGACAGAGCTTTGCTGTGCCATTCAGGCTGGCCCTGAACTCACTTTGTAGCTCAGACAAGCCTGAAACCTGCAGGAATCCTTCCTCACTCTTTTGAGTGCTAGGATTACAGGTGTGCACCACCAAGCATAGTTTTCAATTTCTTTTTTTGCTTATTTTAAAGAGAATAAAACAAAACAGAAGAAAGCAAATAAGAACAGAATAATGCAAGTGATAGAGGACTTCTAAACAAGACAATGGGAAATTAATGTCTACCATAGTCTCCATTTTCTTCAAAATAGCTATCCTTACCATCCTATGAAATAAAACAGCAAAACCAATCAAAATAAAAGAATGAAAGCATTATAGTGTTACAGGACTTCAAAACAAGATAATAGGAAGTGAACAATGGCTACTATGTCTCTTGTTTTCTTTAAAATAACTTCATCCTATTACACATAATAAAATCAAGTGAAACACAATAGAATAAAACCTACCAGAAGAATGAAAACATCACATGACTTCAAAACGAGATGATGGGAAATTTTGCCAAAAACTCCATGGTGTCATGGAAGGTAGAAGGTCCTTTCTCAATTCCCAGCTTGGGGCTTGCCTTGTGGTTTGCTTTGGTCATGGAATGAAGTAGAAGCTAGTGTGTGTATTTGCAAGCTCAGACTTAAAAAGTCTCTCCAGTTCTTCTGGCTTTGTAGGCAGCCAGGTGAGGGTGGGATTGCAGCACAGCCGTGTGCCTGCCAGGCTGGTCACTCCAGCAGCCTCTGGCGCTGTTTCTCACCTTCTATGACAGGGTGCCAGGATGCTTTTGTGGTCAGTAGGTGGATTCTCAATTCTTATACACTGAGATCTTCTTTTACTCACCAATGTACTTACCTCCCACTGACATACTAAATATCCTTTATTTTGTGTTGGAGATAAACTCTAAACATCCTTTATTAATATGTCTTGGAGATTCATCTGCAAGTTATCACTTGGAATCATGCAGATTGGCGTTGGATGGGGCAGGAAGAGAATAGGTAGGTGTAAGTCTGGACAGAGCTGCGGGAGGGAACTAAGCAGCACACACATGACCCTCGGTGGGTCAGGAGGGCTGGGGCAGTCCATGGGTAAAAGATAAGTGGCCCAACCCATAGCTGAAATCAGTGCCCAAGGTGGACCATCTGGGAAATGACTGAGCTCACACATTCTTTTTTTAACATTATCCCTCCATACCTCTGTGCTAGCTGGCCAAGGGTTGGGATTTAAACAAAACAAACAAACAAATACCAATGGTAATTTTCTACCAGCTTGTAAGGATGGAGAACTGCTACCAAGATGGGATACACATTTATACATGAGTTTCAAGACTCGGGCCAAAAAACAGGACTTAACCCCTGAGTACAGTAGGCTCAGTAATCCAAATACTGTGGTGATCCCTGCACCCTGGGAGAAGGCCCAGAAGGTGGGCAGGTGGACAGTTTTCTGCTGGTAAGAGGCCACGTATACAGGGAATAGATTGGCTCATTCTTTTTTGTGTAAGTGGAGATTGAGCTAAGCCCTTTGTGATAAGGTGCATACCAGCCTTCTTTTATTTTTGGTTATGAGACAGGGTTTTGCTGAGTCACTAATTTGCCCAGGTTGGGCCCAAACTTGTGATCCCCTTGCTTCACCCAGAGTGCTGGGGCTAGAGGGGTGTGCTCCCCTACACCACTGTGTAACTGCTTCTCCTAAAGCACAGGAGAGTGCATGAGAACAATAGCGATTTGACTGAGAATCCGCCCTGCTTGTGGAGAATGTGCTTTTGGTTGCAGAGGCTGACTGTGTTGGGTGATGAGGGTGAGAGGCCACCACGCTGCCTCTCCTGGAAGCATGACAGCCACAAAGGATCCAAGCTTTACCCCAACCGTTTTTTGCCTCTGCTCTTGTTCTGTGCTCACATATACTTAACTACTTGCAATTGAATTTCTCACCATACAGCTAAAAGACTTTACAAAGTGTTAAGTAGTTTTTAATAAGTAGCTAAGATCCCTCCTGAAGCAGGAAGGGCTTATTCAACGACGACTTCTTCCAGCTCCGTGGTGTCTTCATCAAGGGTCGACTCGGTGGGCCCTCCTTCTATGACGACTTCACAGAGCTTCCTGGAGAACAATAACAAGGCAATGAAACTTTCCCTGCCCCCTCATTTTAGATGGGAACTTTAAGTCATCCCCAGCCACTTACACTTCATGCTTTGTGACAATCTTATCCTCATCAGAGGATTCATCACGTAGTTTGGCTGCCGCTTTTCTCATTTGGCAGACACTGGTGGGGCCGTATAGTTCCCTTATCCAAAATGGCATAAAGACCCTAGCGATAGACCTCTGGAAAACAGAAAGGACTTAGGACCTCTGCTTTCCCCTGCCTCTTCCACCCCAGCATTGAGCGCTTCTCAAGTTTACCTCATGCACGTGCTCTGCGGTGTTGACGCGTTCAGGCCACTCTGGAGGAAAGCGGCTTGTGGGAAAACACACGTGCGAGACAATTAGTGATTTGCATTGTCATGTCTCAGTCTGCATGCCCACTTCAGGTCTCTTTAGGACAAAACCTGTACCTTGCCCCATGCTCAAAATAGGCAAGTTCAAACTAGGCCTGGAGTTTTGCAAACAATTCCACAATGCTGGACTTTCAGAGGCTCCATCTGTTACCAAGGGCCTCAGGAGGTCTCTAGGGGAGACCTCTGCACCTGTCCCAGCCTGGACGCACACTGTTATTTTGAGAAAAGAACTGAGGAGGCTCACAAGGGAAGCGGAAGCATGAGAAGATGAGCTTCCGCCCCTCCAAGGAAGGATGGAGGGACTCCATCTTGCACCAGCTCCTGCCTAGCCCCTGGGCTTCCTGTGCAGTCCCAAAAGGCCTCTCCACCACAGAAGTAGGCCTACCCCAACCTGCCACCTCTACCCTCAGTATGGGATGCCTGGTGACAGCAGGTCCCTCCCTACTTGTCCGGCCCATCTCAGCTTCTTTGGAGCCACATGAGACCTCAGGAATGAAGGGTTATTCTGCTCCAGGTGGGCTCTGCTCTGAGAGATCCAGGGATTTAAATAGCTGAGTTCTAGGTTTTCCTCCAGTGCTAGTAATGAGTTTCTCATTTAAAGGTCCTCTAACTGAGCATGGTGATGCATGCCTGTAATCCCATCACTGGGGAGGCGAGGCAGGGTGATGGTTGCAAGTTTGAGACCAGCCTGGGCAACAAAGTGATTTCAAGTCTGAACTGCACAGTGAGACCCTATCTCAAAAAGACAAAAAGTAAATACATAAAAAATAAAATAAATAAAAATCGGCAGACTCATATTTACCTTATGGCCTTTTCAGCATCTGCTAAAGCTCTTCTATAACAACGCATCTGTTTTGGGGAAAAAAAGTGTTTTGGGAAAAAAAAGGCCACCTCCATCTCTCGATTTTCATTCACTCCTTTTATTAATTTAAGTCTGAGATATTCTGTGTGATGAGAACTTTCCTAGAGATGGAATTCTACCCTACTAGTCATAGTTCACTGACTTTGTGAAAGCACCTTAAGAGTCTTGCATGAAGCGGAAACATTTTTTTATCCAGTAACAGAGACTGAACTCATGACTTCTGCAATGAAATAGGTAGGTAGGCAGGTAGGTAGATAGAAGATGGACAGACAGGACCTCTGCTTTCCCCTGGCTCTTCCACCCAGCACTGAGCCCACACAAGATTTTGTGTTTTTATTTTTTGGTGGTTTATTTTTTTGAGACAAGTCTTAGTAAACCAGTAAATTGCCCAGGCTGCACTTGAAATTTGAATCCTCCTGCCTCAGCTTCCCAGAGTGCTGGGATTGGTGCCATGTGGCACCTCTTCACCAGCCTTTTAGAGTGGTGTCTCAGTTAATGCACTGAATTCCTTCCATGATTTTGTTGCAACTGGATTGCGAGCATCCTACCCCATGTTGGCCCTGCTTCTGGGGCTCAGATTTTAGTGTCTGCTCTCACCAAAAGAGAACTCACTCCTTCCTTTTGGAGCAATCTTATCTCATCAGTCTCACAAGACCGACCCCAAATCAGAATGCCCCGACCTCACAAGAAATAGTTCTGACCCAGAGGCAGCACCTCGGTAGTCCAGGCTGACCCTGAGCTATGTAGCACGGGCTGCCCATGAACTTGTAGCAGTCCTCTTGCCTCAGTCTCCCAAATGCTGCGCTTACAGGTGTTTACCGCCACACCCAGCTTTTTTCCATGCTGACCTTTGTGTTTCACTCTTAGATGCCCCTCTTTCAAAAACCTGTGTAGCATATTTCTATTCTCGTGGTAGGAGAAATGGACATGAGTCTCTTAAGAGGGGACTGGCTCAGGAGAGCTAGCAGGTCCAGGAGACTGCAAGAAGGACGACGAGCTTGAGTTGGCTTTCAGCACATTCGTGAGACTTCCACAAGCAGGGTGAAGTACAAGGATTCTTTGTAGACAGAGCACAGGCAAATATAGGAATGGGATGGTACGACTAAGGCATGGAGAGGGGCCGGGGCAGAAGGCTGCCACAACTGTGGGAAATGTAAATTAGGGATACTTTATTTAGTTGGAAAAGGAGAGTAAAGTTTGTCAGACTATGAAATTACGCTTTAATAATCTATCAGATGAAAAGTAAAATAATAAACCTATTACATAATGAGGAAAAGGCAAACAGAGGCAAGCTTTGGAAGAGGCTACTCTAAACAGGACCTGCTGTGGGAGACCTGACAGAAGCCTCAGCGGCAGGGCTATACCTGGACCTATTAGACAATGCCTCGCACACTGGAGACAGCAGCAGCTGTCAAAGCTAAAGAATGTGGAAGACAGACTTCTGTCTTGTGGCGCTGTCCCTTCTCCCTAGAGTGATGACAGCTGCTTGAGCATGGCGAGCATGAGATCAGTGAGGACATCAAACTGTCGACATGGTAGTTTGGGGTTGGGGAAATTTTCTTTCATGGCATCGTTTGGCCATCAAATTAACTTGTCCAGGTACCCAAGTGACCTGTTATCTTGGTTTCAGTTCGTCAGAGATCTTTCGGGAGTGGAGTTGCTTTAAAAATCCGTGGAGAACACCAGGCATTCCGGAGGCTGAGGCAGGAGGGTCACTGAGTTTGAGGCCAGCCTGGGTTGCCTAATTAGCTCGAGGTCAGCCTGAGCAGCACAGCAAGGCCTGTCTCAAAAGATAAACCAGCCCTCATACCTGAAAAGCATATTTCAATAAAAGCAAAGAATCATTCTATCTCAGTTACTAAACAGAAATGACCCTGTCCATTTAGCTCAGTGGTTCAGGTTCTTGCCTGCTAAGTGCGAGGTCCTGTGTTTGATCCCCAGTATCAAAAGAAAAAAGAAACAAAAAGAACAAAAACTGAAGAGGAATGTCCAATAGGAAAGGGCAAAGTGGCCTGGGGTTTGTGTTCATGGTTCTGAATCTATTACAAAGACAGGATGCATTCAGGAAACCTGAATCGATTTTTATCCTTACCTGAAGTAGGCAGAGAATTATCGTCAAAGTCATCATTCCGCCCATCAAAGATAATGGCAAGATCAGCTTGTAATAGTAACGTTGTGGAACCTTTTTAAGCTAAAAAAAATAAATGTAGTTAGGTAACAAAGACATAAGGAGGATGACAGCTGTCTACTCAAATCCAATTCTTCTGAGTAGCTTACAGAGTCTTAATAGCACACCAAATGGGATGTGTTACAAATCTTACTATAGTGCATGTCCTTTTCTTGCCTTGTTTATCTTATGTGTTGGGGCAACTTTCCTTCTCTCAAGCAGCAGGGTGGAGACTGCCATCCTGGCCAAAGTTACATGGCCAGGACAAAATACAGACAGGCAGGCCCTGCTTGGGCACCTCATGGCGGCCCCTCAGCTGGGTGGTAGTCCTCACCTCTCTTGACTTCTGGTCCTTCTGGTCACTCTCCTCTGCTGTGTTCTCTCTGGTGGTGTCCTCACTTTTCTGATCCTCTGTATCCCACGTGGCCTTGAACACCTGGACTTTTTGCTGCTCACTGAGCAGCTTCATCAGGAGTCCCGTCTTAGAGATGAGCTTGACACAGGCCTGCTGCATGTGGGCCTCAGAGCAGTCCATTTTTAAGTTCCAGATGACCTGAGAAATCAGCCTTCTGATGTCATTGTTGGGGATGAGGGACCCCAGCTGCTGGTTTAGGTAGATTTCTGATGGATCACCTGGGGCCGACAGCAGTGTGGAGATGAAGTCCCTGGGGGGTGAGTCAGTCCCCATGTTGGGGTGTTGCCATTGTGCCTCCCTGGCCTGCCTCTCAGCTGATGTGGGGTCCGATGTAGTCGCAGCCCAGTCTCTGGCCAGAGGATCCTTCTGAGTTGGTTTTTTAGACATAGTTTTACCTAGCACACTAAGTTTTGCTAGAAAATTCACTCCTTGCAAACCATCTTCTTTTTCACGTTTTTCTACAGGTGTGCTTTCCACTGAAGGCTCTAAAGGCACATATAATTCTGACACAGGATTCTCCTGACTACTCAGGTCTCTTGAAGGTGAGAGCACCTGTTGGGCAGGGGGGCTGGCGAGATTCCTCACTGCTGGGAATGGAGGCCTCTTTGCAAGCAGTAGTGTGCTTTCCTTTCTCAGGCTTTCACCGAGCTTGATCTCATGTGTTCTGTGGGCCATGCGAGAGTGAATTTCGTGAAAGGGGTACGCATTTCCAGAATGTAAGATTGGCTTATTGCCCACATTGTTTTTAACTCTGTAGCTTGCATGCTCTAAAATAAGAACACTGCTTTGTAAAGAAGAAGCCACTTTTCTTGTGTTCCCTTCACTTCCTCTCTTTACTCTCTGAAGTGTTTTCATTCCATGCCCAACTGCTGCCAAGATATTTTCTGGTGCTTCAGCATTTTCCAATTTTGGGGGAGAGATTTGGTGTCTCATTTGGGGACCAAAAAGGCTAGACTGCACAAGCATGCCAGTTTTCTCTTTCTTTTTCCCCGTATCTATTTTTCCCCGTATGTCAAACAATTTTTGAAGAAGATACAGCTTCTTCAGTTGATTTTGTAATGTTGAATACTTTTGTACAGGTTGAAAAGAGTTTCTTATATGATTTTTCAAGTCACCTAGGGGATTAGCTCTCTCCTGTATCTTTGAAAAAAGCACCTGAATGAATGGTAATACTCTTGCCTCTACAGCTTCCAGATTTCCCTTGCCAGAGTGAGACAGTATGTAGTTTAGTGCACTGATGATGTCACTTTCATCATTCATATCGAGCTGCTCTTTTGTAAAGCCCACTGGGTTGGTCACACTTTCCTCTGACGATGACTTCTCAGATTCAATATTCAGCTGGGTGCTGGTGATCCCCTTCCGGGCTTGTAACACTTTCATGAAGGATCCTTGGGGGATCCCTATGGATGTGTCTCCCACTGTCAAAGAAAAGACATTGCTGTCAGTTAGGAGAGAATGATAGACACCCAGCTTTGTACTGGCCCACAGCTGTACACACCAGTCAAAGAAGGGAGAGGTCAGTAAGCATTTTAGTGCCATGTGGACAGGACAAAAAGAAACTCAACTTCAAGTTACAAACAGCAGAACAGAAAGAGAAAATAACCCCTCTTGCTAACGAGACTACCTTCTGAGATCACTCCACAGTGTGGAATACAGCAACTTAGCCAAATGATTGGTACTCACTAAAAGGCCACATCCTGACAAGTACTTGCCCACTCAGCAGGCTTCTCTGCAGACCTTCTATGCATACCCACGCAGGACCCAAAACACCATAATGTCACAGTGTAGCAGCAGAGGCAGCACAGGCCTTCCTCACCCCACCTGGTCAGTTGCCACCTCACTATGCTCGGATGACCATGATGAAGGACAGTCCTCTTAGGACAAAAAGGCAGACATGCAAAAGCCCCACTCCTTCTGCCTACAGGTCTTTTCTGGATACGTCTGCTCCACCTGTGTGCCCAGTGCCTTCACTTGGTCCCTGCTTCCATGTGTCCTGGCACCGTGATGGCAAACATCCAGAGAAAAAGTGCCAAACCGCACCCTAACCCACTTACTCATGGCCAAGTGCCAACCCTGCAATGAAACCTGAATACTGGGGTTTTAGGTGGGAAAAATCAACTCCTTATGAACGTCTTTTGTCTTAAGAGAAAAATACAACCATGCATGTGTGGTAGGTTCACTGCCACTGTCCAGTCCCATAACAAAAGATTCTTCCACACAGAGCCAAATACTGTACTGCTCGAGTCTTCCTTATATCAGAGCAGGGATCCAGAGTGTAGGATAAGAGATTTTTAATTTGCCTGGTTGTATGCCTGCCTCTGTGGAATAATGAACAGCAAATATACAGAATAACAGCAGTTTCTGTATAAACGTGACTTAAGGTCCTAATGTATAAGAGAAACTGCCCCTTCTATCAGATCAGATGTTTCCCTATTTTTGTTTCTAATATTTCTAAGCTTCTAAAGCTGAGAGTATGAAAGTCAAGGGCTCAATATGTAACTGTGTTTCTCTTCTGGAAGAATTAAGTGACTGGTGCTGGTGAGGGCCAGAGGAGGGCGTAAGGATCATGACCACAGAGGAACATGGGTTCTGGAGAGCCCAGAATTGGGAACGGAGGGCTGGGCATGAGGCTCTAGCACTTGACACCTCTGATCTTGATCTGTAAAAGGAGGCAAGAAATTCTTGTTTCTCTCACCTCTGAAAGTGGAATGAATACTGTAATTGGTAAAAGTTTGTTTTTGAAACAAAGCAAAGTTCTTTTCCATAAGAAGCATAGTGCTATTATTTGTTTTTTGTCCCTGTATTCAAGGTCTCTGGATGTGAAAGCACTCACATGTGGCAAGCAAGAAGTGAGAGCTAATAAACCCGACATACAGAAAAATCCTTAAATGCACCTGAGTCATCTGAGACTCACGATAAGCTCAGGTTTGGCCAGTGTAGGCATGGAACAACCCTGCATTCCCTTAGAAGACACAAGCACTTGTAGTTAGGCAATCAGAAACTCGGGTTCCAAATACAATAGTACGGCTTGACAGTTTCGAAAAGAAGATAAAACGGATGTACACCTGCCTAAGGTTGAAGAAATAGAGACCTAATATATATAAAACCAGCTTACAAGCTGCCCTGTGTATCATGAATTAAGGTTTCTCTGAAAGGCAAAGCACCAGACAGCCCTGTGCATGGAGCACAGCCAAGCATGGTGTCCTCTCCCTTCCAGCCCTTCCTCTGGGTCCCTTGCATATGGAGTAGCTATGTTTCTGCATTATACAGTACTAACTGAGAACCTGACTGTCTGCAGGAGAGCAGTTCAGAAAGTTAGTGACATTCACTTTGATTAATAAGTGCAAACCAATCGTATCATTAGTTTACAGTCCTTGTATCACTATTTAGAAATTAAAAAACAAATAAACATGAAAACATCATTAGAAAATCGAGACTCACAACACTGCTTGGCATTGGTCAGACATGTGCTATCACAGTGCAGCTTGACTGTCTTGTCGACAACTTCAATATCATTTTTAAACTGGCAGAGGCAGCAGACCATGTTGCTTGGTAAGATCCTGCAGACAGGACACAGAGTTCTGAGTTAATGGAAAGCTGCTCCTTGAATGGTAAAGAGGCAGGACGAGGCTCCACAGTGTGGAGCAGGAAGGAGTGCTGGAGGCAGCCCTTGCGGCTGGGTAGGAAGCCAACAGCCACTGCAGCTTTTGGATATTGTGAGTAAATAGGAGGGAGAGAGGGGTCGCCACAGAAGGAAGCTCAGCAGTGTGTGTGGTGGGCCTCACATGAAGGTCCTGGAGATTAGTGCTGAGTGACAGGAATGTGTCCTTTCATTCAGAAGCATCTCTTTTCAACCTCAAAGTCTCACTCTGGGTTGGGAGTGCACAGGAAGTATGTCAGCTTCAAAAAGAGGGACTCAGCTTCCAATGTGTGGGGTCCCTTTGCCAGCTCCTGTTCGGAGTAGTGAATGTGAGACATTAGGCCAAAAAGTCAGTTTATCCCTACCTATATTGTGCGGTTAATAACACAGATCAAACTTGGTAAATCTAGACAACTGGAGCATTCAAAAGGTCAAGGAGGACTCGGTGGGGGTGAAGTGGCTCAGAGGGAGAGAGCTGGCCTAGTGTGCTCAAGTCCTGGGTTTGATCCATAGTATCTCAAAATACAGAAGGGAGAGGAGGATGAGGGAGCAATGACTACGTGATGAAAGCAGCCATGAATTACTAGTGGCTCTGGAAAGGATGGTGTCTAGCTAATGTGGGTGGGAAGGGAAGCAGGTGCTGCAGGAAGTTGAGGAAGACGAGCCTGGAGCAGAAACCAAGGGGTTTGGCAGTGTGGGAAGTCAGTTGAGGAGGTGACCTGACAGAAACAATGAGCGCAGACTGCTAAATGAAAGGTGTCTTGCAAACCCTCAACTACTTCACTACTAAGTGAGCTTCTATTTAGCTTGCTATATTGGAGGAGGATGGCGCAATTTAAGTTGCAGTCAGTGGTATAAAAACCATCAAAACAGGGTACTACAGAAAAAAGTTTAAAACTCTACAATAGTACAGTAAAATACTTCACACTCTGCATGAAAATTAACTCACAGTAGATCATAAACCTAACTGTAATCCTAACACTCAGAAGCTGTGGCAGGAGGATCACAAGTTGGAGCCCAGCCCGGGTAGATCAGCACCTTAGCAAGACCCTATCTCAAAATTAACAATAAAAAGTGCTGGACATGGAAATCAGTGCAAAGCCAGGGTTTAATCTCCAGCACCACTGAAAATAATCATGACGTATAACTATAGAGTTACACAGCGCAATTCTGGAAGAAAGCAAGTGAGAAAATCTTGTAGCTGTGGGTTAAACAATGGGTTCTCAAGACAAAGATTTCTTAGGTAAAACAAGAAAAGTTGCTAAATCGTATGTCATCAAAATTTTTAAAGTTAAGATTTCTGTTCTACTCTAGTGCTCTGGGAAACTGAGGTAGGATGCTTGTAAATTTGGCCCAGTCTGGGCAACATAACTCCATGGTGAGACCTTGCTTCAAAATAACAAAATGAAAAATGTGGAAGGGGAGGTCATAGCTCAGTAAGAAAGGCCAAGTACTTAAAAAATAATATCTGCACTCATAAAGATAATCATCATTAGCTTAGCTAGTAAAGAAATGCACACTTAAGCTACAATGAGATAGATCCACATACATGGTGTTAAAAAGGCTGACCTTTTTTACAGACTGAAATGCAGGGATCAGGTAAAGATGATGTGGTAACTCTTTTCTTTGTTTTTGATTGGGGTACTAGCGATTACACTGAGGGCATTCACACTGGGCTGTCTCCAGCCTCTCTTTTTGTCCAGCTTTTACATGTATTTATGCATTTTCATTTTGAGACAGGGTCACACTGTCAGTAAGATACACAGGCTGACTTTGAACTTGCCATCCTCCTGCCTCAGTCTCCCTGGGTGCTATGATTACAGGCCTGGGCCGCCACGCCTAGCTGCCATTTCAACTCCCATAGACTGCACGTGGGATGTATGAATGATTATCCTAAGTGGATAATAGCCAAACACAAATGGTTGCACACTGCATGATTGCATTTATAAGACCTTCCAGAAAATGTAAACGTACAGGGCAGAAATAAGACTGGCAGATTCTGGGAGCTGTGATTGATAGAGTGAACCAGCTGTGACGGACATGAGCTGCCTTTTGAAGGTGACCCAGATGTTTTACAGCAGGGGTGTGGTGGTGGCTACATAACCACACAAACTCCTCAAACGTGTGAGTTTTGTGACATGGAAATCACACGTCCATAAGCCTGACTTAATAGTAAAACAAACCTAGCAACAACAATGAACCCAAGAGAAACAGATCTGAGAAAAAAACTAACTTACAGTCTTTCCAATTCACGAGACTTCGTGAGGATGTTCTCCAGTACTGTGAGTGACACATGCGTCTGTCCCAAGTCCCTGAAGAAGAAAGCCAGACAGAAATGAGGAAGCCCAATGCCAAAAATCCGTGCTTCAACAGGTATTTGAAGGATATCTTATTATTGCACTTTTGCCTCCCAGTGAAACAAGCCAGCACATAAGTTTATCATGAACTATAATCCCAGAGAAGTCTTCATGCAAAAATTCAAATTTAATGTTTTCATCATCAAATGAATGACCTTGGCATTGCATAGTAGATGCTGCATCTGTGTTTCAGTCACCATCATACTTCACATTTTTATATTGCATTCACATCTCTCACTGTGTTGTTCTTTTTAGTAACAAGGCCACTACGTTTCCTGGGGTAATGGTGTTCCTGCATCCACTGATGTGATCCGTGTCTACCGTGTTCCTCAGTGGTGCTCCCGATCCCTGCTGACTCTCTTGCCCATTATACATCTTAATCCTTCTCTTTGTGAATAACCTGATTAAAATTAAACTTATGACCTGTAGGATCAAAGTACAATACTGTACCATTCTTGGAAGGAAGCAAGAAGAGCCAAAGTCATATTATGACTTAAAGGTTATGGCAATACTTACAGATAATTTAATGCTTTTAATGTAAAAAGTGATGGATCTTCGATAGTTGTCAGAGGATTATTATTGAGAATTCTGAAAAATGCAATGGAATAAAAGTTATCTATTTTCAATATGCATGAAATTACCTCAAAAATTGATGTTCATTTTCTAGTATAGAGCTTTTTCATTTTCTGTGATTACTTATGTATAAACATTAGAATGCATAAAGAACTGTTCCTTCTGGGTACTCTATAGTTTTCTAAAAGAAACTACAGAAAAGAGAAAGTGAAAAAAATGTGGAAAAAATGTGGATAGAAAAGACAAAAACAAGAAAAGGGTTAAAAACGAAAACCCTAAAAGTGACTGCACCATCGGGAAGCCTTCACTAGAAGCCAACAAACCTAACATTCATGTATAGGACACTTCCCAACAACAAGGTAAAACCAGAAGAAACACAGTCTTCTTAAGGGCACAATGAGAGGACCTGTGAGTGCCACATGCATCTGTCCCAAGACCTTGGGACCCTTTACTCTTAGGTCTATTGAGATAGACTAGGTCAAGTCTCCATAAATGGTTTTGCTTCTTTTGAGGCAGGGTCTCTCTGCAATACCAATCAGCTCCAGGCTTGCTATGTACCCCAGCATGTGCTTGAAGTTGCAATCCTCATTGCTGAACCTCCCATGCTGGGATTACAAGCATGTGTCATCACACCTACTTCGAGTCTCAATACACTTAAAAGGACTAGTACACAAAATATGTTCTCTAAAGAAGGTGGAATGAAATCACAGATCAATGACAGGAAGAAGTCTGGTAAATTCCTAAATATGGAAATTAAGCTTATATAAGGATCCTACTGGTCAAGAACAAATAACAGAGACGTGAAAAAACATGTCAATGAAGCAATAAATATAAATGGTGACACCCAGCACCAACACTTTAGGAAAGCTATACACACAATTGCAAATATTAAAGATTCTCATCAGTAATATAAAGCTCTGAATAAACAAGGGGAAAACCCAAGAAACTTAAAAAAAGACATCAGAAAGAAAAAATAAAGAGTAAGATCAGAGAAAAGTGAAATAGAGAATTAGAAAACGGTAGAGAAATTCAACATACCCAAAAATTAGTTTTTAACAAAGGTCCTGGGCAGATAGCTTAGCAGCCTAGCAGCCCCCTGCCTGCTTGGCAAGTGTGAGGCCCTAAATTGTATTGTAGATACCAAAACAAATCAATGGTAAAAGGTCAACTATGCTGGGCTGGGTGTGTAATCCCAGCACTGGGGAGGCTGAGGCAGAAAGACAGCTGTGAGTTCAAGGTTCGCATTAACTATACAGTAAGACCATGTTTGGGGGGCAAACATCATTATCAAAGAAGGGGACATTGCTGGGTGTGGTGACACATGCCTATAATCCCAGCACTTGGGACCTTGGGACAGGAGGATCTGTGTCTCAAACAAGGGTGGGATTATTACTGACCTGGAATGGATTGTTAATAACATGGAATGGATTATATGGGAAAACCAAAAAATTATCTGCCAATAACTTAGATAACCCAGATGACAGATACAGGTCTAGAAACTGAAGGAAAAACAAAACCTGAACAGACATATTTAAATGTAATGATTGAGTTATTGACCAAAACTTCTCACAAAAGAAGAGCCTTTTGTTTTCTCTTTGGTGGGATGAAAAGAATCTCACAATCAGATGGCTTCACTCGTGAAATCTGCCAACTGATTAAAAAGCCAATAACCCCAACCCTTCAAAACATTTTCTAAAATGTAAGTGAAGAATACTTCCTAATTCATTCTAGGAGTCAGTATTCCCCAACCACACACACACCAAAAAAAAAAACACATGAAGAAATCAAGAAAATTATATATACATGTATATGAATAAACATATATGAATATATGTATGTATGTATATTTTTCTTGTACCAGGGTTTGACCTCACAATCTCACACTTGTCAGGCAAATGCTGTGCTGCTGAGCTATATCCTTAGCCCTGAATCAATATTTCTTATGAAAACAGATATAAAATTCCTCAACAAATACTTACAAACCACATTAAACCAAGAATACAGCTAACACTATGCATCATGACCAAGTCCAGGAATGCGTTCGGCTCAACAGAAAAATCAATAAACCTAAAACACAATATTAATAGAATAAAAGAAACATGTTCATCTACATTAATGCAGTGGGAGCAATTAAAAATTAACTCATTTTCACTATAAAACCATCCACAAACTAGGAATAGAATCACCTCAGGAGTGGAGACATCAGTACCTGTCTGGCGAGGGCCAGGATATGAGTTCAATCACTGGTACCAAGAAACAAGCAAACAAACAAAAAAGAGTCACTTCAGCCTAATACAGGGGACTAAAAGAAAAGGGGAAAAAACCACCATGGCTATATTTATTAAAATCTATATGGAGGTTTGAGCTAGGACAGCTGGGGAAAACAAAATGGGATCCATACTGGAAACACCAAGCTATGTATAATTGCATATGCATATAGAAGACTATAGAGAAACCAGGAATCTTGCTGCAGGCCTGTGATCCTAGCATTTTGGGTGGCCGGAGGATTCCCATCTGGACATTTAACCAATTAAGCAGATATTGTCTCAAAATAAAAATAAAGCAAGGGACAAGAGTGTAGCTCAGTCCCTGGTACAAGTGTGAAACTATAAGCCAGTCATTGTGGCAGTACATGTCTATAATCCCAGGACCCAGGAGGCTGAGGCAGGAGGATCACTCTGAGGTGGAAGTCAGCCTGGCCTGCATAGTACCTTCAAGGCCGGTCTGAACTCCGTAGTGAAACCTCTTAATTAAACCGAAAAACAAATCAAAAGAGAAGAGAAAACCATAATGAATGCATACATGGAAGGAAACTACGACTAATAAGGTTGTAGGACACAAGATCCTTATGCAAAAATTGGCTGCCTTTTTCCATTGCAGTGTAACTCAATGCAGCATACTTTCCTAGCATATACAAGGCGCTAGGCTCCACCCCCAGGGCCAGAAAGAAAATTAAGAATGATATTAAGAAAATTATCCCATGTGTTGACAAGAATAGTACTAAATGTAACCAAAGAAGTACAAAACATACATTGAGAACTATAATCCACTGTTAAAAAAGAAATTAAAGATCTAAATGAATAGAAGACATTTGTGTTCATGGCTCAGAAGACATCATTACTATTAAGAGGTCACATCTTCCAGTGATATAGCCCAGCAGCACAGCACCTGTCTAGCAAGGACTAGGCCCTGAGTTCGATTCCTGATACAAAAAAAAAAAAAAAAAAAAAAGATGTCACTATACTTCAAGCTGAGCTATGATTTCAGCACAGGTCCTATCAAAATCCCAGGTACCTGGGCTGGGGCTGGGCTCAGTGGTACAGCACTCACCTACCAAGCACGAGGCCCAGTACTGCTAAACAAAATGAAACGAAACAAAACATAAAACTCCAGCTGGATTTTTCCAAAACCTGGCAAGCTAGTTTCTAAAATTCACATAGCAAGTCAAGAGATTCAGGATCACCAAAACCACCTTGAAAAAGAACAGGCTAGGACTCAGTTTCCACTTTCCAAACCCAGTGGAGATCTACAGCAAACCCAAGTGTGGTATTAGAGTAAGACTAGCCTGTAAATCAATGGAATCGTGCTGACGGTCCAGGAATAAATCTTCACCGTTACCATTAACTGACTATTGGCAGGGTGTGAAAACAATCCGCTGTGGAAGGAATACGGAGTCAGTGGTGGGGCTGCGAGCCACGCACTCGCTCTTGCCTGGTGAGCTTCCCCATTGAGTGCATCCTCCCAGATACGGTTTAACTTGCTTCATTTGTAACATTAGTCAATATTCAATGAGATGATGTCATGAAGTGAAAGAACATGAATGTCACGTAACTAATCAGCACAGTGGCTCAAAGTATAGCTTTCAATAGGCCACTCACTGCTGGGCTCTGTGAAAGCGGGTTCTCCACCCCTACCTCTTCTCTCCCTGCTTCCTTTCCCCCAGCCACTAAGAATGACGGTGAAGGCCAGGCCCAGTGGGGCAGGCCTGTGGTCCCAGCACACTAGGAGGCTGAGGCCAGAGGTCAAAAGTTTGACCCAGCCCGGATAGTTTAGCAATTTCAGGAAACCTTGTTTCTAAATAAAAAGACGGGGCATGTGGCTCAGTGCAAAAGCCCTCGGTTTAATCCCCAGTACCACAAGATGGCAATAAAAATGACTATAGAGCTTGTCTACCCTGGCCGGTCAACAGGAAACCTTCAGATGCTCACAACTGTCATGCCAGGCCAGGAACTCTACGAGTGTCAAACTAGCAGAAAACAGTTGGAGCTGTCTGTCCCAAAAGTCCTACTGAAGTTAGAAGCCAACTCCCAAAGTACAGTCAAAGTACAAAAAGCCAAACTGTTATCAGTCAGTTCCTAGTACAAGGGAACAAAAGCTGCATAGAAAACTGTGTGCAAAGCTGACCGAGTAATCCTACCACTCACGAATGGTGTGCACCTGACTGACTTAGCCCAGGCTTCTGAGTCCAGCTTCCTCGTCTTTGAATTAGTGGGAATAATAGTAACAATGCAAGAGTTGTTGGGAAAATGAGACTAAAGTAACATATTTGAGCATTTGCCACATGCTAAGTGCCCGTTCAAGAGCGTTCAGTGTGTTATCTCAATAGCATCTCTACTTAATGTAGTGCCTTAACAGACACCTGATAAATGTAGCATTAAAGAAATGTGACAGGAAGAGGAAGAACTGCTAAACTTCCAAGAGCAGAGACGTTGCCTTGTTGGAGAAGGAAGATGAAGTAATTGCTGGATGTAACACCCAAATCTTTTAAACTTTACAAATTAAAGAGCCAAAGTGTGTCAGCTCAAAAGACAAACCTGAGTTGATATTTTCATGTGTCACGTGTCTGCCTGTGAAGCTAGAAGAACTGCCAAGGTCCCGGTACAGTCCGGAAGTGTATGCACCGAGATGAGCAAACACTGTGCATGGGAGACTGAGGCCAGTGGACTGCTGGGAGCAGGAGGCTGTCTCAGGACCATGGCTCAGTTTCCCTTTAATGTGGCCACACTGACCTCATGAGCATCCTAGTACAGGGTAAATACTTCAGCCGGGACAGACTTAGATTTTCCCCTGTTCTCTCTTAGATCAGTTGTTGCCTGACCCTAGACAAGCCAGCATGTGAATATACTCTACATCTGTCAGGGTGTTTCTACTGTATAAAGTCTTCTCATGTGTAAAAGCACAGACCTTCACTTCAGGGACGGAGGCAGGAGGATTGCCTCAATTTCATACCAGCCTGGGCTCCAAAGTGAGCTCAAGGCCAGGCTGGAATACATAGCAAGATCCTGTCTCAAAAATAATAAAAAACTAAATGGAGGATATTGTAATGTTAGAACTGATGAAGTGACTGAAAGAATTTTCAAAAAGCAGCCATGAGTGTGCACTTGTGTTGTGGAATGCAGGAGAAACGCTTGGAAGTCGGGGGCGGGGGGAGCACACTTAACATTTAGGAACGTCAACTTGGCCAGTTTTTCGTAATATATTTCAATCCCGATTTTTCTGAGGTAGCAAGGTTTCAGTTAATAAACAAAGGAAGATCAATGCTCTGCAGAGTGAGTGTGGGCCAACTGAAAGCAGGAAAGTACAGTACACTACAGGGTGAGAGGAGCACTGTGACACAGCACAGTGGCTTCGTCATCTTGCAGATGCGAGTCTTCCTACCACTCAGAGTGGCACCTTCCCACCGAGTTCTTGGCGTATCTTTGAGGTGGGTTTCAGATTCAAGTGAGATTGACCCCAACAGATTGCTAATTACTGTTCCAATGTTGTCAGTAATGCAGAGGCTCTATCAAAGTTATTAACTAGGTTATAATTCCCTGGCATGCAGGCATGAAACCAGACTTAGTGGGGCCTGAACCTTATGAAATTTGCAAAGTGCCTTTTAATGAAAAAGCATGCAAAATGTATGCCTACAGAAATTTCTAGGCCCCGCCAGGACATTGGAAGGGTCCTGTGCAAGTGAGGAGTCCCAGGGCTTCCCCTCCACTCAACTCATGATAAATCCACCACAGCGGAGGCATTTGTGCAGCAGGGAGAAATACTTCAACTGATAATGAGCTCCAGACTGAACATGTTGGTCATAAAAGTATTGGCATCCTAGCTTGGCGACTTCCCTTTGAAAAGAGATGCGATAGGCTTCTGTCTCACTGTGGTGACGGTCAGCTAGCTTTGTCTCCTGGGAAACTTGAACCCAAAGCCCAGGTACCCAGTCCCAAACACACACTTGGTGGATTGTGACCATTATGTTGATCTTTTTACTTTCTCAGGGGAGATAGGGGCTTGATACGTTGCCACGGCTGGCCCCCGCTCCTCAGCTTAAATGATCGCCTGCCTCAGCCTTCCTGAGTAGCTGACACTACAGGTGCATGCCACAATTGACTGACTGTGCAAATCTACTGAAGTAACTGTAGAGTAGTTTGAGAGGCAGGGCTCTATCCACAGCAAGTGCTGTGAGCATGAATGTCCAGCACCACTTAGCTCTCACTTTCTCATCTCCAGAAAGCAACTGCCTTTCTGTTAAGAAAAACCTTAACATCAGATGTCACAAGTCACCGTCTCCTCCATTATGAGTCTTTTCTAGTGCTTCACCTGTGCCCACTTTCCTTCAAAAGCAAGCCTTCAGTGTCTCCCAGGCTGGGCATCACCAGGTTGACAAGGAGAGTGAGGAGTTCACACGGTTGAGGATGCAGGTGAAGTTAACCAGCTCCAGATGCATCCTAAACCTCCCCCCCAGGGATTTCAGACTGTGTGAACTGGACTTTGGACCCACGAGACAGGTGGGAAGTCTTTCCCAACTCAGGTGGAGATGGGGATTTTCATCTTGAGTCTGAAATCCCCTTCAGGCTATTAAACATCAGCAGAAAGGAAGTAAAGCCTGCACTTCTTATCAAAGGGAGCAGGAGAGAAAGCATGTGGAATTGGGCTAGAGAAATGTATTTTTATACATATTTTCCACACTATCTCTTAACACAAACACCCACCTGTTGGACATTTTGAAGTTCTGATTGCACACAGATAATTCATAACTTCAGAAGTCAATATTTTTTCAAAAACAACATTGTGGGTGGTTAGGGAGAGAAGTACCTGGTGGCAGGCTTTCAGGAATTCTTTCTACTTTCCCATTTAGTGGACACCGGCAGTGAAAAAGCTTTGGTACCTTTTGCTTCTTGTAGAACTTTACATTAAACTTAGTCCTGTGAAGTTCTCTAGTGTATATATTTGAATAGTGAGAACTCTGCATGTGAGAAGCAAGCAAGTGGAATTTCAAGGAACATTCGTTCACAGCCTTCACAGCAGCCATGAGCTCCAAACGATGCTAATTTGAGTGTTACCTGTGTGACACCTTGTGTTGCTCATGCCAAAGACCAGTACCTGAGAATGCAGAGCAGGCTACCTAGAAGTTATAGAAGTCAGCTCGCTCATCTGCAGGAAGCAATTGCTTTGTGGTAACAAAAACCCACGTGCCTCTAATCCCAGCACTCAGGCGATTGAGGCAGGACCAATGTAAGTTTGAGGCCAGCCTGGACTGCATAGCAAGACCCTGTCATCAAAAATGTTATATCAAATCCCTTGGCCTCTTTGTACCGTAGTTTCCTCATTTGGAAATAATGAATGTAGTCTTTGGCCATACCATCCTGGATGCTCCTCATCTCATCTGAAAATAATCAGTGGATCTTAAGACTTACTTTTCAAAGCTCTTTCAGGATCCAGCTAGTGAATAACTGCATGAAGTTGATACATAGATTTGGTTTTCACAGTTTTTGTTTTTACATATGTTTATCATTTATATCACTTACACTTGGTGTAAAAACTGCATCCCATGCCATGCTTGAAATGTTCCAAAGCTCACTTTTGTGAGTAAATTGCAACGAAGATTTCTACAAAAAAATAAAAGGACATAATTGAAAGAATAAAGATGCTCTTTCTGAACCTTTTTCATTTGGCAGTTATTTCAACTTATATATGATGAAACATCACTTGAAATAGTTTTTCCATATACTAAAGAAATCTCATTGGAAGATGGTGGCTTGTAATTTAGACTTTCATATTTACATGTGAAATGCACTAGATACAAAGAATGAAAGCTTAATAAATACTTGTGCTGAGTGATCTTTATTGCTCTTGAACAGCATTCCACAGCTTGCGCACTAGTGACATTTGGAGCTGGTTGATTCTTTGTGTTGAGTGCCTGACTGAACACTGTAGCATGCTTAGCAGTATCCCTGATCTCTGCCCTCTCGATGCCAATAGCAATTGTCACCTCCATGCAAAATCAAACCAACTGAGAATCATTGCTCTGTAGTGACTCTCTCTGACCTGTGTGATAATCTCTATAATCCACTTTGGTAGAGGTTTAAAGGATTTCCCCATGAGTAGCAAAGAGATTTTAAGACTATAAATATAAGGAAGTTTTATTTGTAACTTACAAGAACTTCAAAAAGGGTAGTGCTTCAAATGTTTCTCTTTCAATAAACTGTATTTTATTGCAGGATAAATCTCTAGAACAAGGAAAAGGAAAACATTGCCTTAAATAACTAGTAAGTAAGTAGTATGAACACTAGACTTTAGAATTCACAATATTAAAAACATTTTTGTCAAAATCTTGGACTTGTATCTGAACATTGTGGACCCCATATCCTGTCTCTAATTCCTCTAGGACTCTCACCTTCATGATCTTCATAGATAAAGTATACAACTATTAGATTGTGTTTTTCATTTCTGAACTAGGTAGTCCTGGCTGGCCTTGAACTTACTGTGTAGCCCAGGCTAGTCTCGGACTCACCGTGCTCTTGTCTCCTCCTCCTAGGTGCTAAGACTGCAGGTATACTACTTAATGGCTTTTATTTCTTGCCCTGTCATTTTGAAACAGTTTTGCTACAGCATTCAGGCTGGCCCTGAGCTCACTTTGTAGCCCAGGCAAGCCTCAGATTTGCAGCAATCCTTCCTCACGCTTTTGAATGCTAGGATTACACCACCAAGCCTAGTTTTCAATTTCTTTTTTTTGTTTATTTTAAAGAGAATAAAACAAAACAAAACAGAAGAAAGCAAATAAGAACAGAACAATGCAAATGACAGAGGACTTCTAAACAGGACAATGGAAAAGTAATAATGTCTACCACAATGTCTCAATTTTCTTCAAAATAGCTTGTCCATACCATCACATGAAATAAAATCAAACAAAACAAAACAGAACAAAACCAATCAAAATTAAAAAATGAAAACATTACATGACTTCAAAACAAGATAATAACAATGGCTACTATACTGTCTCTTGTTTTCTTCAAAATAACTTCATACCATCAAAACACAATAGAATAAAACCTATCAAAAGAATTAAAACATTACAGGACTTCAAAACAAGATGATGCGAAAACAACAATGGCTTCCATAATGTCTCATTTTGTTCAAAATAGTCATCCATACCCTCACACATAATAAAATCAAAACAAAACAGAATAAAACCAATCAAAAGAATAAAAGCATTATAGGACTTCAAAATAAGATAATATATAAACAATGATGTTTACCACAATATATGCTGTTACCTTCAAAATAGCTGCCCATATCACCAAGCACAGTAAAATCTAACAACCAAGACACAATAAAACCAAATCTAACAAAATTATGAAAATTGTAAAAGAGTTGAAAACGAGGTAATTGGTAATTAGCAGTGATTCCCACTTTCCTTTTTTAGGCATTTCCTCAACTATCACTGTTATAATCTAATGTGCCTTTTGGATCCCACTAACTCCTTCAGTTGTTGATGCTAGGGGGATAACTTGGTGTTCACCTGTATGTGTCCAAACCATTTCACCCATGAACATGATCTCAGTTGCATCCAATTCCCTACAATAGCCTCAAGATTGCCTACTTTATAGCTGGGCAGCTTTCCATTGTATGTAAATACCATATCTTTCTTATCCATTCTGCAGTTCATGGGCAAGTTACTCTTGCTTTTTTTTTTTTTTTTTTTTTTTTTTTGGTCTCTTGTCACATAGAACAATTGTTTTCTCTCCTTTGATTTTTTGTCTATGCATGCCACAGGTTTGCCACTACTGCCTTAGGGCCGGGAATGTTTCATAATTCCAGAGACTATTTTTAGTCCCATATAGTAAAAATTCTTTATGCCTACTTTCTTCAAGCCTTCTACATTTGAAAAAAGGCTCTATTTGCCAAAATACCACAAAATTAGTTTAATTAGCATTAATAATATTTACACTTCTGGACCCACTGGACCAGAAACCAAACCAAACCAAACACAAAACAACAAAACAAAAATCAAGCTTTCACACCAAAGAACATAGTATCCTCCTTTCTCTAAACTGTTAAAAATACTATGCAAGTAATTCCTCTTTGAAAACAAGACTGCAGAGATTGTGATTGTTTTAGTGAAGATGGAGTATTTCTATGCTGAGTGTAAACATTTCCAGCAATAGCATTTTTTTTACTTTTTTACTTTTTTTTTTTTTTTTTTTTTTTTTTTTTGAGACAGGGTCATGCTATGCAGTTCAGGCTGGCCTTGCGCTCACTTTGTAAGGCAGGCTGGTCTTGAACTTGCAATAATCCCTTGCCTCAGCCACCCAAATGCTGGGATTTCAGGAGTGCACCACCACACTATACCACTTAATCACGATTTTAAACACATGTTTTTAAGATGGGTGTCATAATTCCAGCACTAAAATGCTGGCAGTCAATTCTTCTGGTATCTTAATCATCTGGATAATACAACAGTTTACCCGCTTAGTTAATTATTTAATACTTTAGAAACTTATTTAATACTTTAAGTGTTAGTTTCATTCAGATTCAATCATCTAAGCACTCTGGGTTAATGGCACTCAGATTAGCACAGGCGGTCTACACAGTACATTCTGGTCCTCTAGACAGCAGTCTAAGGTTAACTTTAATTCTTTTGTTCTGATTCAGCTTTTTCAAATCTCTATTGTAAACACCATATAGCAAATACTTATAGACTTTGCAGGTCACATATAGTCTCTGTTGTATATATTCATGAGAGGTTTGTTTCTTTTTTGTACTGGGAATTGAACTCTCAAATTTGCAACCTCACACTTGCCAGGCAGATGCTGTACCACTGAGCTATATCCCCAGCCCTCCTTTTCTTTTAAACCACTTAAAAAAGAAAACACAACAAAAACATAATGAACTTATGAGCTAAATAAAAAAAGACTGGATCAATTGGATTGATGGCCCATATGGTAAATACAAATACAAGCCAATGGTACATAAGCACTAATAAAACAAGGTTCATGTTATAACACCGGTAAGTGCTCAGATCTTATTACTACTTTTTCTGTGTAAGTTGGGCTTTCCCATTTGTACCTTATGATTTAAAAAGTGAAAATGGGGCTGAGGATTTAGCTTAATGGCATAAGCGTCTGCTTGGCAAGTGCAAAGTCATGCATTCAATCCCTGGTATCAAAAAAGATAAAAAATGAAAATAAAAATAAAAAGTGAAAATGTGCATAGCATTTTTGATGATAGACATAGACTGAGACCTATACAAACTTGCACACTTACAGCATTTTATTTCTGGAAGAGATTTTGGAGAATATATAATTAGAACTGCCTCCTCATTTTACAGATAACTCTAAACTCAAATAAACATGATTAACTTACAAATACTGGAGGTTTAGCAGGCCTTCAAAGGAATCCTTACGTAGTTCGGTGATGTAATTTTCACTGAGATTTCTGGAAGATGAAAAGGTTATTTTTAAATCACATTTCCTCAGAAACCTGAAGGATATGCAGTGATGAAAAAGCGGAGGAGGGAGGCGGCGGCGGTTAAAAAAAAAAAAAAGAAAGAAAGAAAACGCGGAGGAAATGAGCACTGTCAGGTCCTGCCACGTGGAGTGTACCTGGAGCAATTAAAGTCTCATATCTACAACAATCTCATGCCAACAATCCCCTTTGTAGGCACCTGTTCTACAGAAATATTTGCCCATGTTCACAAAGAAGCATCAACAAGTGTTCATTGTGTGGTACAGGTAACAAGAAAGCTGGAGAGGACTGGGGATACAGCTCAATGGCATAAGCATCTGCCTGGCAGGTGCAAGGTCCTGAGTTCAGTTCCAGGTGCCAAAAGAAGAAGAGGATAACAAAAGAAACCTGGAGAGGTACCTCCCCAAATAAGAGACCTGACCAAAAACTGGGCAACTAAAATGAATAGACACATCTCAGAAGAGAAGCACCAACAGCCGATAAATGCATAAAAAATGTTCAATAACTATGGTGCTTAGAGCATTGTAAAGTAATAATATTCCATCTTACCCCACAAGGAATGGAATCAGCAGGAAGTCAAACAATAAAAAATGCTAGTGAGGCTATAGGGGAAAAACACTTCGATGTTGCTGGTAGACATGCAAACTAGTGCAGTCACTGTGGGACTCGGTGTGGAACTGCCTCAAAAAACAACTAGCCATTCCACTTGACCCGGTTATTCTCCGTCTAGGTATTTTCCCAAAAGAATTAAAGGCATCATGTTACATTGATGAATTCATAGTCGTTTGTAGCAGCACAACTCATAATAGCTAAACCTTGGAAGGGCCCGCTATGTCTATCGACAGATAATGGATAAAAACAATGTATTTACACACAGTGCAGTACTCTGCCATAAAGAGAAGGAAACTTCAGTCTTTTGCAGAAATCAAACATGTTTAATTATATCATGAGTTCTGTTATATGGGAAACCCAATGTCTAAATAAAAAGCAAAATTAAAGAAAGATAATAGGAAGAAGGGCGATAGATCTTTCTCAGAAAGATGATGATCAAGAAATGGGGGGAAGGGGATGGAGAACCGGATGAGAAAAAGAATTGAAATGTATGGTATCATGTACATGTGGCAATTGCCCATGAGGGATGTAATCATCATATACTGCAGTGCACTAATTTTAAAAAATGAAAAAATCCTGGATATACTCTAAACATCCATCAATAGGGATATTATTAAATACACCATGACAGCCAGGCATGGTGGTGCACCTCTCATCCCAGAACTTGGGAGACTGAGGCAGGAAGATGGGCTACATACATGAATTCAAGGTTATCCTGTACTATGTAGCAAGACCCTTTCTCAAAAAAAAAAAAAAACCAAAACCCAAATTAAGACAAAATGAATACACCATGTGAGCTGCGGTGGTGCATCCCTGTTATCCCAGCCCTCAAGAAGTTGAGGAAGCAGAACTGCCGTGAGTTCAAGGCCAGCTTGCCCTACATGGTGAGACTTGTCTCAACACAAACAAGTAAAAATACACACTATGGAATATTGTAGGAGTGTAAGTGAGTGGGTAACCCACTATATGTGGGGTAGGAGAGTACTCTGGGGTATCAAAAGTGAGAGATTCAAGTTGCCAGGTAGTACTGTTTAGGTAAAAAAAAAAAAAAAAAAAAAAAGACAGCCACCTGACAACCCTATTTCACTGTATGTCAGTATGTGTGCAGGCAAATGCATGGGAAAGATCAGGAAAGATACATCAGATTCAGACTAGTGGTTACCTCATTGATGGGTCATTAGAGCATATGGAAGGTCTTACCTGTTATTTCATCTTTATTCATTAAGAATATAATCACATTCTCTTTGTATAAAAAAAATAAATTTCAACTGTTTCTTTCCAAGAGGATCTGTGAGGGTTGGGATTTAGCTCAGCAGCATGAGCGCCTGCCTATCAAGTGTGAGGTTGTGAGTGCAATCCCTGCTACCAAAACAAAAAGAAAGAAAGAAAGAAAGACATTGCTCACCAAGAGGGTGTATGAAATTTAATTCTTTCTCTTTGTCTCTCTCCCTCCCTCCCCACTTCCAGAGCTGGGGCTTGAACCCAAGGGCTCACACATCTAAACACATGTTTTAATCAAGTGAGGTTGACCTGAGATAAGATGGGGAAATACCTTTGTTCAAAAGTGTTCACCTCAACATTCTGAATCAAGGAGGATCCTGGTTTTTGTATGAAGTTTTTATATTCATATTTTAAAAGATTATACTCACAGTTTCTCAGCCCAACGGTAGGTTTTCCATGCCCCTTTTTGTATACTATAAATAGAGTTTCCTTGGAAATCCCTGTGAAGAAACAATTTATGTCTTTGAATAACTGGGAAAGGAATAAATACAAGAATCCTAACAATATCCAGGATATTCAAACACAGAGACAATAACAGCTTTTCATTTCCAGAACTAACAGCTCCCCAGTTTGCACAAGACAGTCAGACTAAGGAGCAGCCAGCACAAATGATGAGACTTTTGCTCAGCAGCTCAGCTTCCTATCTGTCCAGTCTCCTGGATTAATGATGTCGGTCACTTAGTTTTAATTTAAGTGTTTTTCCCAAAATCACTTGGGTACAAGATGACTCCTACAAATCAATAAGTAAAAGAAAAATCATTCAACAGAAAAATGGGCCAAAATGCATCATTATTAGTGAGTAAGAATAAAGCAAGCCTCTGCCAGCTGGCGCCAAAGCTTTGGCTCAGTACCCTTTGTGGAAGCTCTGCAGGCAGTGGAAGGATAAGGGCAAGAGCAACGTAGAGGAGCTAACGTCCTGATGTGGAAAAACCGCTTGGACTTGATGCACAGGGAAGAAGAGGAACCACCAGGCAAGCAGTAAACCATCACCTGGTCAGGGCAAAAACTGCAAAGGAGAAGGAGGAACCCACACAAAACTGGCACCAGGGCTTATCTCCCGTGTGACAGGGTGAGGGAGACAGATGGTCAAGCATATAAGGGTATGGATCTCCCATTATTCCATACACATCTCTGACTCCTTTTTAAAGGAGGTCTATCATGCCTTGCCAACGAGTTATTAGGTCAGGAGTAGGGGAGCACGCCTGTGATCACAGCACTCAGGAAGCTGAGGCATGAAGATACCAGTGAGCCTCAGGCCAGCCTGCCTCGAACCAGGGTTCAGTTCCAATTTTGCGGAAACTCATTCTTTATCCGTCAGCAACAACTTTCCTGCTCAGTTTGCATACACTTTTCCTGAGGATGGCGGGAAAGCAATCTGTCTGCTCATGCGCCTAGTGAACATTTCCACGTGACCAGATGCATTCTCATTGCTCTGCGCTCACCACGGCCTCAAACAGAACTTGTGCCCCTCAAGCTGGCTCTCCTCCCTGCTTGGGGCTGCCACCTGTGACACCTCCACCACTCAGCTCCACACAGCATGGAGACGGGAGCTCACAGGAGTTTGCTCTTCTCTGTCCACCCTGCCCTCAGCTGTTTACTGGGTGGCTTGGTCACGCAGTGTTCCAGTGTTCACCCACTCTCACACCAGCACCCTGCTCAGCCACTTGTCACTTATCCCCAGGCTCCTAGAGATTCGAGGTCTCCCTGAATTCAGCCTTCCCTTCCAGATGCCTCCACATGTGGAGTCTAACAGGGTCCTCCTGTTTTGATCATTTTGCTCTCTGGCTTGAAAACTCTGTCTCTCTGTGTCTGTCTGTGTGTCGGTCTCTGTCTCTGTGTCTCTCTGCCTGTCTGTCTCTCTGTCTCTCTAAAGACCCTAAAGTTGATATTCAGTGTTCATAATTTGAAATAATACCTCATTGCTTGATAACCCTGTTCTTTTCAGGCAGACTGGCCTGTGCAGCCATGTTCATTCCTGCTGCCATGCCTTTGGGCTGGCCTTCCTGTGTTTCCTCTGCTTGACAATTGCAGGCACTCTAAGCACCAGCTAAGGTTTGAGCTCCCCCATGCAGTGTTCCCTAACCTTCAAATCTTGTGACTCTGCATCTATTCTTTATGGCCCCACCACCTCCGCTAAGGCTCTTCCCCTCCCTTCTATCATTTTCATGTTCTGGAAAAAGCATTATGCTTCTTTAGTTCCCCATGTACTTAGCTCTGCAGGAGTGAGCACAAACTAGATACTGCAAAGCAAGGGGCAAAGGTGAGTTCTGCACATAATTCAGGGCCTCAACAACAACAACAGTAGCTAATATTCATACATATGGGGGTGCTGTTACTTGTATCACAATGTTCTCTTTTCTGACACAGTCCTGTGAAACAGTAAACATTATATTCCTCCTTCCACAGATGAGGGAAGTGAGTCACAGACTAACTTGCAAAATGTTACAAAGATAATGAAAGAGATGTCTGGGTTAAAATGCAGGCCGTCTGGGTCAGGCAGATTCTATTCCTTTTTCCAAGGGGTGAGGGATACTAGGTATCAAACCCAGGACCCTGAGTGTACAAGACAGGCAGTGTACCTCTGAGCTACACCGCCAGGCCCAGAATCTACTCGTGCCCACATTGCTGTATCACCACTAAGGAAATGAGTTGTGAAAAGGGGGGAGCAAAAATAGGAGAGTAAGTGTTAGGTGGTGGGATAAGTAAAGTGCAACCCATCTGGGACCCCACCTGTCTCTCAGGAGCTATTCCTAGTCACCACTCCTATTCCCCAGTAAATTTTCCTACCCTTAACCTCCATTGTTCCTAAGAATTCACTCTTCATCTTCAGCGAAAATGAACTCAGTGTGTCTGACTTCCAGTAGGTTGGGAGTGACGTTCTGTTATTTTTGGGTTTTTCTTTTACCTATTTCATCATAACCTGGGCAGTGCAGGTGACAGCAGACACAGTACTGTCAATCCATCTGCTCCTCTTAGCTGACTTGCAGGTGCTTCGTGAAACGTTTTACTTTCCCTGATTTAAAGACTTGAAAGCAGGCTTACAACTCTGGGCCAAGCTTGGTGAATTCACTAAGACCGTGTCTCAAAATAAAATATATGAAGAAAAAAAGAAGGAAAAAGGGTAAGAGGGCACAAATAGTACAAAGAGAGTGGAATAAGGAAAATTGAGAAAGAAGAAGGTAAAAACAGAAAGTCAATGTGAACAGGGGATGTGAGGACAGTCTAGGAAGCCCTTGAAGAAAGGGCTGTCACCTCAGGCACAATGCAGACAACAAAAGAAGAAAACTGATCCTTACAAGACTGTGAAGGAGTTGACCTCTACGACGGGTACTTGGCGCAGCCTTTGCTTCGGGTTGAGACCCGTACATGACAGGGTGTCATTGTCACAGGTGCAGAGCTCACATATGTTGCTAGTGCTGGTGGCATCCTGCACCATTTGTGCAGAATAATGGTTAGTGTTCTGTTCCACATCCAAAGGTTGATCCGTGATGGGAGTCAGGTGTGGATGTGAAGATGTCAACCCATGCTGCTTCAGAGCAGGAGTAGAAGCCTTGTGCAGGGCCACAGAATGTTCAGCCTCTGTAGTGGGTGCTGCACTTTTGGTAAGCACTACTCCCAATGGTTGGATGGTGCCAATGGGTGATGTTGGAGGCTGAGCTAGATCCTGACCTTGTGAAGTTGGATTGGGCATCTCACGTGGTATGGCAATTTTAACTACAACATCCATAGATGCCTCTGGAGGCTGAGAGGGGTTCTCCTGGATCACTGAGGAAGCTTTAGTCCTCATAGCAGGTAGTGGAGTCATGGAACGACCTGTGTCCATCTCAGGAGCCATATTTTGATGGTGAGAATGCACCTGGCCTTGATGTGCAAGGTTCACCTCAGGATGCTTCTGAGGAGAAGAAGCTGCCTTCTGCAAGTCCACAGAATGTCCAGCCTCTACAGTAAGGTCAGGATGTGTGATATGGACCATGTCCAGTGGTTGTATCATGCCACTGGTCAATGGTGGAGGCTGAGCTGGACTCCGACCCAGTGATATTTGATTTGCTTTAGCAGGTGATACCATATTTTGATCTATAGCCTTCAAGGATGGCTCTGGAGGCTGAGAAGGGATTCCCCAAAAATTCTGGGTGAGTTGAGTCCCTGTAGTAGGTAGAGGCAACACAGCCTGTTCCAGGTTCTCAGGCTGAAAGACGATAGGAAGTAGAGTTGGCCCCGGAGCCTGCACCTGCTTTGAATGTTTGATTTCCACATCAGGAAGCCTCAGAGGAGAAACTGTAACCTCCTGTAGGGCCACAGAATGTTCAGCCTCTGTAATGGCTTTTGGCCTCATGGTAGGACCCATATAAATTTGTGGTACCACGCCACTGGGGAATGTTGGAGCCTTAACTTTATCAACCTGTGATGTCAGAGTTGTCATTTCAGGAGCCATTGTGTATTTATCTCCAGCCTTCATAGATGGCTCTAGAGGCTTGGAGGAGCTCTGCTGCATCACTGAAGGAATTTGAGTTCCTGTAGCAGGTGGTGGGGTGATGGAATGCTCCATGTCCAAAAATTGAAGTGTGCTGGGAGTGAGGATGGGGTACTGTGTGTGCACCTGGTCTGGATGTGCAAGGGTCACCTCAGGATGCTTCTGAGGAGAAGAAGCTGCCTTCTTCAAGTCCACAGAATGTCCACCCTCTACAGTAAGGTCAGGATGTGTGATATGGACCATGTCCGGTGGTTGTATAATGCCACTGGTCAATGGTGGAGGCTGAGCTGGACTCTGACCCAGTGATATTTGATTTGTTTTAGCAGGTGATACCATATTTTGATCTACAGCCTTCAAGGAAGGCTCTGGAGGCTGAGAAGGGATTCCCCAAAAATTCTGGGTGAGTTGAGTCCCTGTAGTAGGTAGAGGCAACACAGTCTGTTCCAGGTTCTCAGGCTGAAAGACGATAGGAAGTAGAGTTGGCCCCGGAGCCTGCACCTGCTTTGAATGTTTGATTTCCACATCAGGAAGCCTCAGAGGAGAAACTGTAACCTCCTGTAGGGCCACAGAATGTTCAGCCTCTGTAATGGCTTTTGGCCTCATGGTAGGACCCATATAAATTTGTGGTACCACGCCACTGGGGAATGTTGGAGCCTTAACTTTATCAACCTGTGATGTCAGAGTTGTCATTTCAGGAGCCATTGTGTATTTATCTCCAGCCTTCATAGATGGCTCTAGAGGCTTGGAGGAGCTCTGCTGCATCACTGAAGGAATTTGAGTTCCTGTAGCAGGTGGTGGGGTGATGGAATGCTCCATGTCCAAAAATTGAAGTGTGCTGGGAGTGAGGATGGGGTACTGTGTGTGCACCTGGTCTGGATGTGCAAGGGTCACCTCAGGATGCTTCTGAGGAGAAGAAGCTGCCTTCTGCAAGTCCACAGAATGTCCAGCCTCTACAGTAAGGTCAGGATGTACGATATTGCCCACGTCCAGTGGTTGTATCATGCCACTGGTCAATGGTGGAGGCTGAGCTGGACCTTGAGCCGGTGGTTTTTGGTTTGTTCTGTGAGATGATTCTCTACGCTGACCCAAAGCCTCCATCAATGGCTCTGGATAAGATGTGGTCTCTGGAAAAGCTGGGGAAAGAGGCACCGCTGAAGCAGATGGGGAAGTTCTGGTCTGTTCTCCCTTCAAAGCCTGAGAGATGCCAGGAGTCAGGATTGGTTGCCGAACCTCCCCCTCCTCTAGCTGTGCAAGTGTCACCACAGGATGCTGCAGAGGAGAAGGTGTAACCTCCTTCAGGGCCACAGAAGGTTCAGCCTCGGTAGTGGCTTTAGGATTTTGGATAGGGCCCGTGTCCATAGGTTGTTCCGTGACACTGGGTGATGTTGCAAGTTCCCTCAGGGATGTTGGAGTTTTCATTCCACGTTGCAGTGTATATTGTGCTTCAGCCTCCATAGATGGCTCTGGAAGCTGAATTGAGGTCTGCAAATATGGGTGGAGTTGAACCTCTGAAGTATGGAGAGGAGTTGTGGAGTGCTCCAGGTTCAGAGCCTCAATGATGATAGGAGGAAGGATTTGTTGCTGAGCCCGTACCTCCCCTTGATGTGAAAATGACACGTCCAGATTTTTCCGAGGATAAAATGTAACCTTCTGCAGGGCCACAGAATGTGCAGGCTCTGTAGTGTGTTCATCACTTGTGCTAAGCAACATGTCTAGTGGTGGGATTGTGACAGGTGTTAATGTCGGATGCTGAGTTGGATACTGACCAGGCATTGGAACTGGCAGCTCATTCACTGTTGGCCCTTGTGTCTTAGCAGAGGCTGACTGTAGTACTGGAGATTGTTCCTTGGGTATCTCCCCAGATCTCAGGATGGAATTTGGCAAAGGCGGGAGATGAGTTGCACTGCTCCTTAGGGATGGAACACTGACCTTTTCATTCTCTGACAGCTTACCTAAACCTGCCTTGGTAAAAAACTTTTGTTGGCCTAGGGCCTCCTGATGGATAAAGGAAGGTACAGTCTCTTCAGCCGGCTGTGAGTCTTGATAAGGGCCTTCTCCCTCAGGTAGAGAGGACTGGATTTGGGGAGCCTCTAGATGTTTAGTCTGGGTCTCCAGCTGGTAGTGGGATGTTTCCTTGTGCTCACAGGGCTGTGGAGGCTCAGTTGGCTTCTGAAGATCTCCCAGGTGTAGGCTGTCATGTTCAGCTTTACCCATACTGAGATCCACAGTTTGTTTCTGAAGCTGAGGGTATTCTGATTGATGAGCAGCTCCAAAAGCCTCCTTAGGAAGTTGCCAGTGCTGAGCTATATCCTTCAGTTTCAGGAGTGAAACAAACTTTGATGGTGTTGAACTCTTGCTTCCTAGTAGTAGACGCAATACATGTGACTGGTGGTCTGCAGCCTGCTCTGAAGCAGAAATCTCCTCCTTTCTTCTGACTTGAGAAGGCAGAGCTAGGTGTTCATTCTCATGCCCATCTACCATTGAATCCACCTCTGGGAGCCTCTGTGGCCCAACCAGCTTGTCATGCAGACCCTGATGTGGAACAGCAAACTTATCTGGATCCGGCAGTGACTCTCCAGTTGATTCCTCAGGTGTAAGTAAAATCCTCTCGGGTGCAGAGGTTCCTGGGTAATCCATTTCCCCTGGCTCTGCTCGAGTAGTAAAGGTGTGGAGTGGTTGAGCCGAGGGAAGAGGCTTGTAAGGAAAAAACAAAGAGTTATGCTCAAAGAGCTCAGGGTCCATCTGGGCTGGGAATTGAGCCCACTCGGGATGTGGGGCTACCAGGACCAGTAGCCACAACTGTGGCCAAAACATGAACCTTGGTGCCCCAAAGCGCAATATAAACATCATACGATAAGGCTTGGTCAACAAGACCTAGGCCAGTTGCTTCCAGCAAGACGCTTGCTGAAATGTTTTTGCTGGCCACTTACTGCCAGTGCCTTGGCAACTATATACATTCTGCCCTGGCCCACCGCTTGTGACATCATTGTTTAAGAAACAATTAGGTTCTGGCCCAGATGGGCTTACTATGGCCTCAGTGAGCCTTTTGCTACACTGGCCAGGCCCAACTTCCTGCCTCCAGCAGAGGTGACAGCAGTGTCCCGCAGGTGACAGCAATGTCCCGCAGGGCTCCTCCCCATATCGAGGCAGGATTTGGGCCTCAGACTTGGGTAGCCCTGTGTCTTCAGCAGCCCCTTGATGGAGGTCACAGTGCTGGGCCTCTGTGCACTCAGAAGTAGTAACCCAGTCCAGCGACTTAGGAGCCACAATCCAGAAGAAATCCTTCCTCCTTTAGGGATACAGATTCCAGGAAATCCAGCTGACCTCCAGAATGAGGACTAGTTAGGGCAGCAGACAGGAGAATACACAATGTGGTTTATTCCACAGTGTTGTCATTTGCTCTATCCTCTATCCAGTTCCATGTTTGGTGATTCATTTCCCTCTGAGGCTGGGGCTGCATATACTCTGTGATGATGCCTAGTGCTTGCAGGAGGGCTTTTGGAGGTGAGCAATTGGATCTGAGAGAAAGGATTTGAGTCAGTGCTTTCCATTAGCATGTGAGAACTCTCCCTACCCTACCAGACCTCAACACTTCCATCAGATGTGACAGTGCCCTTTTTCACACCACACATGGGAAGACTCTTATAATGTTAAAATCCTCAAGTTAAACAGGTTTCTTGAAATACTACTGTAAACTGACTTCTTTCAGAGTCCTTTTTCATCAATTATTACTTGTTTTTTTACCTGATACAACCCAGGCATGGGAAACTCAAGAAGAGACTTGATTCATCCTCTTACCCCTCCTGCCTTGCATGAGGTGGAGCACATAGTAATGGTTTTAAAATAGAATTGATTCCAAAAGACATGTCATGTAGGGGCAATTTAGTGTTAAAATCTGATTTGTAACTGGATGTACTGGTGCACACTTGTAATCCCAACACTTGGGAGGCTGAGGCAGGAGAATTATTGCAAGTTTGAGACCAGCCTGGGCTACAAAATGAACTCAAGACCAGCTGGAGACCAGCTCAAAGAGACAAAAAAAAATCATCTGATTTCTAAAATTTACTGACTTCCTCTTCTCAAATTTTGCAAGAAACTAGATTCTTTAAAGTTTGAAGCATCTTTGGTTTTGTTTAAATTAAACTGAAATCATTCTTTACTATAAGAAAAGTTGAGATACTTTTCCAGAAAGCAACCACATTCTCTACCTCTTTGAAGCAAACACTCCCCAATTTTTTAATCAAGTCTCCCCAAGTTAAGTGCTGAAGAAGTCCTGATCTCACTGCAACCATTCTGTTCTTGCCCCTGAACTCAGCTAAGTCACATGACTTGTCATCCAATTGAAACTTCTGTAAATGTCATAAAAACAACCCTGTCACAAAAACTATGGTCACCCCAGGATATGCATTGTACCATGGCCTATACTTACCTAGCTTTTTTTGCAACTCTTGCTTGCCACCCTATAAAAATTTCAAACTCTTCATAATCAGTGCCTCAGATTGTGGAGATTACTCCTCTGGGGACTGCCAGCAGTCAGTAAAATTTCCTTTCTTCTCCTGAGTTCCTGGCTACTGCAGACTCAGTTTTCCTGCTACAGTTACACTGGCATGAAACAGTTTTTGTCCTTTCCTTTCTAAACATCCTAAAAGTAGTAAATGATGATAATTTTCTTAAAGAAATTACTTTGGAAAATCAATCCCTAAAGGTTTTGTACAATGGATTTGCAGAAAGGTTCTTTGGTAAAATATTCTACTTCAGTTGTGGGGAGGTGCTGACCCCTAGGTACAGACCACACTGAGAAGGCAGAAGAGTGTTCAAAGCTGTAGCACAATTGACTTCAGGGCTGTAGGCACATTGATCCTGGAAATCTTGTGTGAGGGGAGCTCCAAAAGGACCTGTGTTTAAGCAGCCTGACTTCTCTGTCCTTGAGAGGAACTCTAGCTCCTCCCTCAGGTCCACAAATATGAAAGTACCTGAGAGGCCTCAATTCTACCTGTTTAACTTCAAATGAGGGTTCAGGGCCAAGAATGGGACTTGAGGAAAAATGACGGAAATTTCCTGTACTAGGAAGCAGTCTCAGACTTTCATGTTTTCCTGAGACATGCCTGCAGTCTTCCAAATCCTTCTGGCCTTTTGGTGACAGTGGTGTGTTATTTTTGCTATATTGAGCACTGAACCCAAGGCATCTTACATGCTAGCAAGTGCACACAACTAGGCTCCCACCCCCAGCCCTTTATATTCAGTGCTGCTGGATGTTTTGAATCAGGTCTACCCTGTTATTCTATCCTCATGCTTTTGCTGCAGGTAGCTGAGTTAGTTAGAAATACTATAGGCAGTGAGACATGGCTGGGTCCTGGAAGGAGCCAGTGCGGAAACTCAGATACCTTGCCCCTAGGGATGAGACAGACACTTCCTGCTGTGGGCCAGGCCTCAGTCCAAAACATCAAACAAGTACATCCACATCCTAAGGACTGCCATTCTAAGTAGTTCCCTGTCACCCCGAGGAAGTCAGGAGTCACCATTCAAACCCCCTAGGGCAGGGGCACTGCTCCCTGAGAATGACTGCTTTCTACATGACTGACTTTCCCATTTGTCCCTAATTAATCAATTTTACCCAAGCAATAGTTCTTATTGGCTAACCACACTTCTGTCCCACCTTATGCCCATCTGCCTTGAGAGTTCCCAGTTTTCCCTGCATTGATATGATTATTTTACTCTATAAAAGTCCCTAGAAAAGACAGAGTGCTTGACAACTTGCTCTGGACCACTTCTGTCTCTCTCTCAGACAGAGAGGCTTTCTTTCTCTCATTACATATATTGTGCTCTTATCCTCCTTTGTTCCTAAAATTCATTCTTTGATTTTAGAGAACACAAACTTGTACCAGACCTACTAGGTTGAAAGCTTCATTCCCCTATGTCATTTCAAGGTCCCACCAAGATCATTGGATGGAGGTAAGAGATTGATTTTGTTTCATAGCTTCTGGACTAGAACTTATTGAAATAACAAATTTTTTTTTTGTCTTTTTCCTTTTTATCGGTACCAGGGATCGAACTTACGACTGCCTGCTTGCAAGGCAGGTGCTTATGCCGCTGAGCTAAATCCCCAGTCCCCTAGGTAACAAATTTTTATGCTTCAAATTTTGTTTTCTGTTTCATTGTTTATAATTGCTTTGTCTCTTATGGTTTTGTTAAAAAGGTTAATGTGTTAAAACAGGAAATTTATGAAATCATGGAATTTCTTAAATGGTACATTTTTATTATTTTGGTTTTTTTAGAGGTTGATGGGTTGCTAAAGTTACTGGTACCCCTTGCTTGACTGTATTTAGACAATAGCACTAGAGATAATAATAGAATATCCCTAACAGACTTTAATGTAAACTTCTGTAAAATGATTCTCTTCAATAAAATCTAGTTCAGACTTAAAAAATATACATGCCTACAATAACACATGGGACTTCTTCCACCATTTAAAAAGCACTAGGCTGGTGGCTATTCTTCAAGACGTGCAGGACAGGTTTCACTAGGCAGACTGGCTCTGATCCTCCTCTGTACTCTAGAGGAAATGTCAAGTCTGTTCTGCTTCAGTGTCCTTTCTGTCACTTTAACGCTACTCTTTTCCCAGTTTGTATTCTCCTTATAGACGCATATAAAATTAGGAAAAAAGTCTAGATTATTCCAACCTTTTCCTGCTAAGTGAAGCCCATAGAAAATGCATGTTTGCTAATGCTGAACATAGGGAAGTCATCTTAGATGATGGACACACACCCTATCTCTGGGTTAGATGAGACATCAGAATACTGCCCATCCAGGAGTCCACACGTGAGAGTCATGTCCTGGCTGTGTTTGGGGTAAATCTCTTTAGAGATTAAGCCTGAGACACAGTGGTGAGAACTGGCTTCCATGTGACAGTGGAAGAAGCTATCCCCAAAAGCAGCACACATATGGGACCTAAACACATTTAGAATAAAGGGGCTTTCCAACTTTTCAAGTTGTGGACTTTAAAACTTTGTTGTAAAAATATAGAGCACTAGGAAATGATCTTACTCAGGTTTTAACTATCCCTTTAGAACTTTGACAGTCAGTGTTCACAATAGCTGTCACTCCTAAAAACAGAGGACAGATTTCCTCAGCATCCAGCTGGTGAATCCCCATTAAAGCCAGTGGGCAATGCAGTCAGTGGAGTGCTAACCAGACAGGTAGCTGGATTCCTTTCTGGAGAATGATTTCTGGTTGTGTGGGGCCTATGCAAACTGACAACAACTGAGGGGTCATGGCCAAGACACTCACGGTTTCCTCGGTGGGCACTGGCTCCCCAGCCACAGAAAACTCCACTTCCTTATCTACCTGGATCTTTCTGGTAGTAAGCTAAAGGTGTTCCCTAAACTTTTCAGGTAGTTAAGACTACTTCTCTCAAAACTAGGCTAAGGCACCTGCAACAGCTTTTTATATCTGAAAAGAAACTAGCAGGAAAGGATTTACATTTTTAAAGGACTTTGCCCCAGATGGGACACTACAGCAGTGAGAGGGGGGACCAAGGGATGTTTACCTTGAGGGCATTTTCTCTACCCCTGGGCAATTTACCTGTGGCACAGAATGAGTCCCAAGGGGCTGCTGGTACCACCCCCAGACCAAAGCTTCATGTATGCCCCCCACAGCATGTGTTCAGCAGAGAAAGCCAGACCCTGGCGGTCATGGAGCTTCTCTCTACATCCTTACAATAAAGACCACTTTACTTTATATTCTGTCTTCTAACTGCACCAAAGATTCTAGCAGTTGGTTCCCTGACTGGGAACAGCAGAGCAAGTGACTCCTGGGGTCCTCCCAGTTTGAATCCCCTGCCGAATCATGGACTGGACCACAGCCTAGATTAATTCCTCATTTCTCAACACGAGAGAGCTGCTCAATTTGTTGTTGCTTGTCTGCAAACACCACCAGTCTAATTCACTTACTGCAGGTGAGCCAACCGCCCACCACCATCTGAGGGTTACTCCATGCCTATGAGCCAGGCTCACGCTGGATTTCCCTTTTAACATCCCTGCGCTGGAATAGCAATTGTCAGGTTCCTTGGGCAGTCCGAGGCAGAGCTGTTACATGTGGTCCACTGGGACTCCACCTGTGCCTTTTGGTGATGACTAAAAATGTATGAGTAACCATGTTTCCAAAAGATTAGGTGATGACTTCTTCTACATTGGCCATAGTCCAAGTTGGCTCATTTTCTGCCCCCCAAAAAACATACCTCTGGGTACCTGGTTTGTAATCTTGGTACCTTTGGCCTAAAGAAAACTGTAAGAATTAAACAATTAATCTTTTTACTGCCAGGAGGCTTGGCTGACCTGCGAACTTAACAGCAGCCCATGGCCTAAAGAGGAGACATTTGACCCCCCTATTCTCAAAAATTTATATGGCTTTTGTTACACTGGTGACAAGTTGGCAAAAACTCTCTGTCTTTAGGCCTTTTCACTTTAAGGATGTGTCCTTCTCTCACTCTGCTCCTCCAGGATCTCTCCCCCTCTCCACACTTAGGATGCAGCTTCTCTCTTTACAGCTTCTCCCCTGTATCTCACACATCAAATACCACAGCCTTCTCATCCAAAGGCTGCTCCTCCCCCTTCACCCACTAGGCTCTAATTTCTCAATCTCCCCACCCTCGGCTGCGTCAGCCCGCTTCTCCTGGAGCTCCCATGGGCCGGGATGAGGGGAGGTGTGCGCTGACGGCACACAGGCAGGGCCTGTGGTCTGCACAGGCAGGGCAGGCAGCACAGTACATGCTGACCAGCCCACACGGGCTGCTCTGGGCTCTCACGCCATGATCCGGCTCTGTGCTCCCCCTGCGGGCTCCAAGCACCTCCTGGGCAGCCCCACCCCCCTACATGGCTCGGCTGAGCCAGCGTGGCTCTGAGTGGTGGCCAGAGGAGGTGGCCGAGGAGAAGGCAACAGACACAGCAGGAAGGGAAAAGGCCATGGCTGTCTGAGAGGTGGGGCGCCTGGCTATTCCTTTTTAACTTTCTGAGCTACCTCAGATTCATTAGTTTCCTTTTCTGGTATTCTTATTTCAAAAGATCTCTATTAATTGATCAACAGAAGGTTCACACAAGTCTTATTTATTATAATTCAAATATGTGAGTGCATATTATTATGGCCAAGTATGTGAGTGCACTCTAATTTTATAAAATGATCATCAGTCTATATATCAGTTGTCTGTTTGTTCAGTCCGTTTATAATGTAGGATCGTCTGTCCATGTTTGTCCATTTGCCTGCTCTGTAAACAGCTGTTCCTTTTATTTGAGCTCAACAATCTTTTTTTCTTTTTTGCATTTTCAAACCATTTAATCAAAGTTTATTTGGGTTAAAATTGGTTAAACAAAATCTCTTGGGGTGAGGAGACATTGGACAAGACTTCAATTGATAAACAGAAATGAGGCCATTGGTAATTTTACCAGCTCTTGTTTATTAATTGGAGCCTCCAGTAATCTCCATAGCCTTATGGGAGACTGGAAGGATTTTGGCCCAAGCCGGACACTATAGCTGGAAAAGCCTTGGAGGCAGAACCAAGGGGCTCCATTTCCCCCACCCCTAGGAATTTACCTATGGCCCTATCTTTCCCACCCTGAGGAATTTGCCCCTGGTGCCAAACAAGTGCCAGTGAGATACCTGTGCATCTCTAATGCCCCTAGGGCACCAGCTTAGACCTAGGCTAATTATATGCCCCACTCCACGTGTCTGCCAGAGAGAAAGCCAGACTTCAGTGGTCCTGGGGTTTTTTGTTTTCTCTCTGTGCATTCTCAGAATAAAAGCCTCTTTTGTTTTATATTTCTCATCTTTTGGATGTTACAATCTTATCATTTGGTGCCGTGACTTGGGTCAGCAGGCAAGTGACTCCTGGGACCCTCCCAGACTGAGTGCCATGCCAATTCACAAACCGGACTACATCCTGGATTAATTCTTCACTTTTCAACATTCAGGAACTGCTTAATTTGTTGCCAATCGCTCGCAAACAACACCGGCCCAATTTATCACAGGTGAGCAAACTCCGGAGAATTTTCAGCACTGGGATAGGCCCCACAGGGGTTTTCTTCCCCTTTCCATGGATTTGCGTGATGCTCTCATGTCCTTAGACAGCCCAAGGCAGAGTATTTCTGGGCCAGGTCCACAAAACTCTAACATCCTTCAGAGCTTTAAGCTCTCACAGGCAGAGCCATTACTAAAATCCATGAAAAATCCACTCATGGATCTCTCGGTGATGACTGAGAATTACGAGATTTGAAACTGATCACAACTACCATTCATTCCAAAGGACATGGGTGACGGCCCAACCTTTGGACCATGATCCATTTCTCACCTGAGATTTAGCCATGGGAAACATCTTTACTACTTCCCAAAAGACCACACCTTTGCAATGCTTGATTTCCAATCTGAGTACACTTAAAATTTTAAAAAACCATAAAAACTAAACAATCTTTTACTGCCAGGAGGCTTGGCTGACCTACCCACTTAACAGCAGCCCATTGCCCAAAGAGGGGACATTTGACCCCTGTATTCTCAAAAATTTATATGATTTTTGTCACTGGTGGCAAGTTAACAGAAATTCCGTATATACAGGCTTTCCTCACTCTGAGAACGTGCTCCTCTCTCATTAAATTATGTACGCCTGCTCAGATATTTTTAGCTAACTCTGCTGCACCACAAATTCTCCCCTCCTGCCCTCATGACCCCCTGGAGGAAGTACCCCCAGTCTTTTATCCGCCCCCTCCTCTCTATCCCCAAAATCAATTCTCGCAGTTTTTTCCCGCTGTGCGATCATCTCCCCTCCCTCTTCCCGGACCCCTAATTCTCCCAGTAGCTCTAATCCCTCTGTTAGTGCTTCTTCACAGTCTCTGACCTCACTCTCCTGAGAATTCTTTGTCCCCTTCAGCATTCTCACCACCCACCCACCATACTAGGTCTCGGTCACTATATCCTTCTGGCAGGCCGCGTGACTGCTACAGTTCATGTGGGGGGGCGGGGGAGCAATCACCATGTTGCGGCCCTCCGCCACGTGAAAAGGTGCTGCCATCTTGGGACGGATCTCACGGTCAATGGCCGCCCCTTTGTGGCTCCTCTTGTGATCAGCAACAGCCACCCTGCTGCGGACCACATGACAATTTACTGTGCTGTGAACAGCAACTAAATCACTGCAAGGCACACAGTGAGACACCAACAGCCTGTGTTTCCTTGTCCCATGTTAACTGGCAGCCACTTTATAGCCGATCTACAGATAATTGTTCACACGCGACTACTGGATGGTTGGCTGCCCAATGTCCATCTACTCCATAATCTTCTCCTCAATCTCTGCTACCACTTCGGGAGCAAGCTGGCCCCAAGGGACTTGTTAATATACATGTGCCTTTCTCCCTTTCTGACTTATCTCAGATTACCCATAAATCAAGTGACCGGCGCAGCCCCAATGAAACAGGAGACGCTTCAGGTGGTAACAGGAACTGCCAACTTTATTGTTGCGGGTTCTGGCTTATATATCTGACTGTAGCCAATCAGGCTGCCACGAGGGCTGCCACGAGGAGGAAGGGCTGGAATGAGACGTAGGCTCTGGCTAATATACTCAGCTGTGGTGAATACGAAGTGAGCACGGGGTGGCTAATTTGGAGAGGGACGTAGCACATTGCAGAAGCTGGCGTGGTCCTTAGTCCTGGGTGGGATATGGTATGTTGAGCGCCTGCGCCCAACATCTCCCCCTTTCTTTATAACTGACGCAGGGTCTCCAGAGGTCGGTGCCCCTCGTGAGGTGTCACGCTGCAGTCATGATAATGCCTCACTACTCATTGGTGCTCTTTTGGAGGGGGTGGGAGTATTGTTTTATGAGCCCAACCCGCATGCTCGCCGACATGGGGACCGGGGTGTCTCCTGGCCAAGGACGACACCCCCTGCGATGCTTTGCTGCACACCTGCGTCACAGCATGGCGAGCCATGCTGCCGGGCCTTGACCAGATTCCACAGCCAGCAATGCTTGTTTGATGATTACTTTGTCCCTATTCCTTTGTCTGCGAATCCGACAGAGCAGAAGTAGACTGCCGAATGCGGCAAATGTAGCCATGGTAGCCAGAGCCCCTATTCCTGCCCATTGCTTTATGAAAGAGAAAACTTTATGGATCCAATTGGAGAGTTGGCCCGAGCTGGATCACAGGAAACTTGTCTGGGTCCACCATAGCTGGAATCGGTACGAACTGGAGTACCTGCATAACGACAGCTGAAAGTGCACTGTTATCCCAACATTGTAACACATAACAGGTTGCGGTGGAGCAATTTAGAAAAGTCATTTTTGTGGTGGCTTCAAACAACAGAAAAAGATTTCCCTGATAGGGCCCAAGATCTCTAACACTTGCAGGGCATTGACGACATGATGTGAGTCTGAGAGCAGATTGAAAGGTTGTGGGTACTGTTTAAACACTTCTATGATGATTTTTAGCTCTGTTAGTTGAGGTTGATCAGGTGTAAATAGTTACCAATTCTGTTAATTGAGTTCGCCTGACTTTGGGTGTCTAACTTCCTCCTTTCCGGCGGCCGCTGTGTCCGCCATTTTGTGTGCCTCTTAATCCCTTTTCTCTCAGTAAGTCGCTTAAAGCAATTAACAGCGGCTGAGTAGCGGTGTTACCCATGTTAAGGGGAATTTCAAGAGTTTCTTTTTTTTTTTTCCTTTTTGTTTCCTTTTTCCTTTTTTTTTTTTTTTTTTTTTTTTTGGTAACAGGGACAGCTTAGTCCCTGCGCCCCTTTACGGCACCCCCAAAACCAGCCTCTTTACAGCCCCCGGAACTCTCTTTATGAATTCCTCAATCCCGCCTTTTTACGGCTCCCGGAACTCTCTTTACGAGCTCCTCAATCCCTTGCGACGCGTCCCCCCAAGGTTGCCCGATAGCCCCCGCTATCCGGCCCGGCACCACTCGCTGCCTGTTGCGTAGCACCCACTACCAACGTTGAGCAGTTTAACCTGTCAGCCCCCGCCCGCCAAGTAGCCCCGCTATCGGTGCTTGAAGGTTTTACCTGTTGACGCTCTGTTCTATCGGAGAGAGAGGTTGGTTCCCCGTACGGTCGGAGAGAGGGTCTCAGCGCTCCCCGTACGGGCCACCAGTTGACCGGCGCAGCCCCAATGAAACAGGAGACGCTTCAGGTGGTAACAGGAACTGCCAACTTTATTGTTGCGGGTTCTGGCTTATATATCTGACTGTAGCCAATCAGGCTGCCACGAGGGCTGCCACGAGGAGGAAGGGCTGGAATGAGACGCGGGCTCTGGCTAATATACTCAGCTGTGGTGAATACGAAGTGAGCACGGGGTGGCTAATTTGGAGAGGGACGTAGCGCATTGCGGAAGCTGGCGTGGTCCTTAGTCCCGGGTGGGGTATGGTATGTTGAGCACCTGCGCCCAACAATCAAGTAGCTTCTCTGTTGACCCCCTGAATTATATCAGGGAATTTGAGTTTATAACTAATTGTTATGATTTACATTTTAGGGATATTTATGTGATTCTAAAAACCACCCTCAGCTCACAAGAGTGAACTCAGCTGTGGCAGGCAGCTCAAGAAGAATCTATCACAGACATAAGGCAAACACAACCGAATGACCTGGATCTACTGCAGTGCCAGAAGAGGATCCTAACTGGAACTATCAAAATGGAGAAGGTTCAAAAAAATTATATAAGATGATTGAATGTCTAATTGTGGGCCATAATAAGATTGCTCACAAACATACTAACTATAACAAACTTTTAGAACAGGTCCAGGAGGCTAATGAAAACCCAGCTATGTTCCTAAATTGGCTTAGGAAAACCTTAATTAAGTTTACTAATGTAAACTCAGACTCTCAATAAAGGGATAATTGTTGTTAACTCTTATTTTATTTCCCAGTCTGCTCCTGATACTTGTGCAAAATTACAAAAGGTTGAACATCAAACTCCACAGGGAGATCTTCTTAAATTAGCTTTCCACGTCTTTAACAACAGAGATAAAATTCAAAAAGAGGAAAAACAAGCTCAAAAAATCAAGTTTGCTAAATATCAATCTGATCTCTTAGCAGTGGCACTTGGAGCTCCCAAGACAGGAAATCCTAAACAAGGTGTGGCTGCCCGAGCCCCGCATGGACTGTGCTTTAAATGCAGCAAACAAGGACACTGGGCAAAAGACTGCCCCAACCCTGGCATTCCTTTAGGGCCGTGTCCCTACTGCAACATTAAGGGCCACTGGAAGAGTGACTGTCCTAGCTGCCAGTGAGCAGGTAAACCATCCTCTAACTCCTTGCCCTCACAGGAGACTCCATCAATGCCAGATTCATCACTGACTGATCTGCTCGGACTTGCTGCTGAAGATTGATGGGACTAGGGGTTCACAGCCCCCACTCCAGTAACCTTGTCAGAGCCCTGAGTCTCACTGGAGGTCTCAGATAAAATAATATCTCTGCTGGTGGATAGGGGTGCGACTTATAGTGTACTTCCTGAGTTTTCAGGACCTTGTAGTAAGTCCTCAATCTCTGTTGTGGGCATTGGCGGCCAGCCTACCCAGCCTTTGCAAACTGGGCCTGTCCCATGCAGATTCCAGACTCTTTTCTTTACCCATAGCTTCCTAGTAATCCCAACATGTCCCACACCACTTTTAGGTAGAGACCTCCTTCAAAAGCTTAACTTCTCCTTTACTTTCTCCCTCCCCACAGCCCTAATCCTCCAAATAGCCTCACAATGCATTGCAAAGCCATTCCCTCCCCTTCCTTTTTCTCTGGTTGACCCCATAGTTTGGGACACCTCCAATCCCACCCTTGCTAGTCATGCCATGCCTGTTTTAATCCGTCTCGGGGATCCTTCAATTTTTCCTTGCATTCCCCAATACCCCATAGCTCCTCAACCTTTGCAGGGATTTAAACCCATAATTAAGCGCCTTTTAGACAATGGTTTTCTTAAACCTACCCACCTACCCCACAATACTCCCATTCTCCTGGTACTCAAGCCTGATGGGTCCTATAGCCTGGTACAGGACCTTAGGGTAATTAACAGTGCTGTTACCCCCACTCACCCAGTGGTGCCAAATCCCTATACCATGCTTTCTCATATCCTTCCCTCCACTACTCACTTTACAGTTATAGATCTTAAAGATGCCTTCTTTACCATCCCCCTACACCCTGATTGTCAGGACCTCTTTGCGTTTACATGGACTGACCCAGACACTTTCAGGTCTCAACAACTTACTTGGACAGTGCTCCCCCAAGGGTTCAGAGATAGTCCCCACTTCTTTAGTCAAGCTCTTGCTACTGACCTCACAGAACTTGATCTCAAACCTACTATATTCTTCAATACATAGATGACCTTCTGTTATGTTCTCCATCCCACATGTTAGCCATACACCGTTCAGTCTTCTTAATTTTCTTGCTAGTCATGGATACAGGGTCTCTCTGGCTAAAGCCCAGATAGCCTCCCCAAAAGTCAAATACCAAGGTCTTGCTCTCACCCTGACCACAGGTTCCATCACCACACATCGTAAGGCAATCTTCATGATCTCCAGGTGCCCACAACTAAACAACAGGTTACATGTTTCCTAGGTTTAGCAATTTCTTTCATCTCTGGATTCCTAACTTTGCAGCCATAGCTCAACCCTCTACAAGGCCGCTAAGGGTTCCTTATCAGAACCCCTGGACTCTACTAGGCCCATGCATGCCTCCTTTCATAAATTAAAAGAGGCTCTCCTAAAAGCTCCAGCTCTTACCCTTCCTGACACCACCCAACCTTTCACTCTATATACTACTTCTCAGGGCCACAACACTATAGGTGTACTAGGATACAAAAAGGGACCTTCTTTTCAAGCAGTAGCTTACTTCTCAAAACAGTTAGATAATGCAGTAAAAGGATGGGCTCCTTGTTTCTGAGCCCTTGCAGCTGCAGCCCTCTGACATAGCAAGCTAAGAAGTTTACATTAGGGCAATCTATTACAGTACACTCACCTCATCACCTACGTGAGCTTATCTCACATGAGGTGCTCTCTGCCCTGATGAGCCCTTCTCGCCTTCAATGGGTACAACAAACACAGGCAACAACAACAACAAAAAAGGCAGGATATAAATATGCAATAGTTAACCAGTCAAAAGTTATAGAGGCAAATCCACTGCCACCTGGCACCTCATCCCAGAGGGCACAACTTATTGCCCTTACAAGGGCTCTTACACTAGCAAAAGACAAAATCATAAATATATACACCAACTCAAAGTACACATTTAGCATTTTACACTCTCATGCCTCTATCTGGCAAGAACAGGGTTTTATTACCACTCAGGGAACCCCCATCATTAATGCTCCCCTTATCCTTAAACTTCTAGAGGCAGCCCAACTTCCAAAGCAGGCAGCAGTTATTCATTGTAGAGGACACCAAAACTCTACAGATCCTATTGCTCAAGGCAATGCCTTTGCAGATTCACAAGCCAAGTTAGAGCTGCACAAGGGCCCTGCCCTTCTCATCTTTTCCCGTTAGTCCGAAACAGTCTACCTCAGCCTAATTATTCACCAGAGCAGTTACAGCTACTTCATAAACCAGGTTACACACAAAACACTCAGGGATGGATTTTTCAGGGATCTAAACTTGTTCTCCCGCATCAACAGACCTCAGACATGATCACTGACTTACACAACTACTTTCATATAGGATCACAGGCCCTATACAAACTCTTAGCCCCAGTAGTCACACATCCTTGTCTAAAAGCTATCATTCTTAAGATTACTCACACTTGTGATCTCTGTGCCAAGACCTCTCCTCAGGGACGCATGGCACCCCCTTCCTTTCCTACCCAGCAGTTTCGAGGACACATCCCTGGTCAGGACTGGCAGATAGATTTTACACACATGCCCCGCCACAAAACTCTCAAATATCTTCTCAGTACCTTTTCAGGATGGATAGAAGCCTTTCCCACAAACAGGGAAACTGCTGATGTAGTTACCAAAGTCACATTACAAGAAATCATCCCAAGGTTTGGTCTACCTCAGAGTATTCAGTCAGATAATGGTCCCGCCTTTATTTCTCAGCGCACTCAACAGGTATCGTCGAGCTTACACATCACCTGGCACCTACACACCCCATACCATCCACAATCCTCAGGGAAAGTAGGAAAGGCAAAGACCTCATAAAGACACACCTTAAAAAGCTCACTTTAGAGCTACACCAACCTTGGCCTCAACTTTTGCCCTTAGCCTTAGCCAAGCTCAGGGCACTTCCCCAAGTTCCTACCTTCTTAAGTCCTTTTGAACTTATGTTTGGCAGGCCATTCTTACTCCACAATCTTCCTGCTCCCCAAAATCTCCCTCCGCTTTCTGACTATGTCCCAGTCCTCTCCTTCCTCCAACACCTGTTGTGACAACATGCTGATCTCTGCCTTCCACAACCCTCTGGAGAGACCAAACCAGATCCTCCCATATCCCCAGGAGATCTAATTTATCTCAAATGTTCTAAATCCACAGGACTACAACCAAGGTGGAGTGGCCCCTATCTGGTCTCCTTGACGACCCCAACAGCGGTCAAAGTTGCTGGACTCCCATCCTGGTTCCACACCACTCAAGCAGTGTCCTCCCAGCCCTAAGTCTAACCATCCTGAGTGGTCATCTCATCTTCTGTCACCCACCTGTCTCCATTTCACCAAGGCCTCACAGCCACAACTGTCAGGCTAAGTCATGTTTTGTTGTCCAATTTGGTGCCTAATTTTTTACATTCTATTAATTATCCTTTTTATAGCAGGACTCTTTTTTTGTTGTTGTTTTGTCTTTTTCCTTTTTATTGGTACCAGGGATTGAACTCACGACCGCCCTGCTTGCAAGGCAGGCAGGCGCTTATGCCGCTGAGCTAAATCCCCAGCCCTATAGCAGGACTCTTGACAGTCTTTCCTAAAGACTCCCACATCGTGCCTAAGATCTTCGTCATATTGTTCTATGTGACAACTATCTTAGTTCTCTCTACCCTCTGTTGTTTAGTCAAACATGACATCCCTACAGGCCTAGACTCTTACCTTCCTTATAGTGACACAGCCACAGCTATCCCCACCCCTCCTATCCTTTCCAACTCATCTCCTGGACCAGAGGCAAGTTCTGCCTACCTACACTTTGCTACCTTTTCAGATGGGAAAATAATCGCCTCTCATTACTTCACTCCTCCTAACCCCACACTTATTTTTCAGAATTGCACCTCACCGTGGTAATGATTTTACATATCTAAATCAAAGGCACCTTTCCTTCTACCTCTCCTGGGTCCTTGAATGTGATAGTGGCCTGCCTCCTCATAGCGCCTTGTCTCTTTGTTTTTCCAGTCTAATGTGCAGGCATTCACCAATGATACAGTTGTCCTGGCTGAAACACCTGGCACCAGCTTCTACATGGGCGTCTGTCTATATTTTATATAATAAATTTTGGGGCCTGTAGGTTGTTTTTTTGTAATCACTCTAATCACATAGACCTTTGTAACATATAGTATAATTATGATGGCACAAATGCCATGAGGGTCTATATATATTTTTGTTTGGGTATTTTTGTTTATATTTGGGAATATGTTTAGGGGGATTGTCTTTTTTTACTTTAGTTTTACTATTATTGTGAAATATATATATTATATCTACTCTCCAGTGTGTTTTATTACTAAAGTTTTTATCTCAATCAGAGTATCTTTTTATTAATGTATAATTTTTATTTGTTTTAGAAAAACATAAGGGTATTGAAGTAGACATTGTAGTGTAATTATATATAATAGAGACAGGTTGTATATGAGTGGAAGAAGGAAAACTTAAGACCCGGGTATTACTTATATAAACAGTAACATCATCGTTGTCACCCCATGATATAGGGTGCAACAAAGGAGGATTAGGTATAAATGTCCAATAATTATCCGCCCGCACAGGCGCTTGAAATGTATGTAAAACCCAAATAATGCTTAGCAATTGAGACAAAAACAGAAGGGTTTTATCTTTTGTCGCCGGAGGCCTTTTGGTCTGTTTTGTCCTTGAGGTCATAGTTGGTTGAAGCATCTTTTTGTGTAATTTTTTTATCTTGTTTTTGGGCATGTTGTACACAATGTTTTGGGGTCCACCTGGGTGTATTAGCATCTGTGGGAAAAACACAAACATATCTTCTTCTCCATATCAATACTGGGTCAGGGCCATGTAATAGATTAGTTAATGGGTCTTTTCAATAAACCATAGGTTTGGAGGGCAAATCAGGAGACCAATGTCTCTCAGCTGTAGATCTATTGGAAGCATCAAAAGTTAAAAAATTAAGAGCGTAAAGAGTGTGGTTAAGAAGGGTTTGGGGAGAATACTTATATCATCTCCCCCTTTTTAATTTTTTAATGTGTTTTTTAGTGAGAGATTAGCATGTTTAACAATTTTTTGTCTTTGAGGGTTATAAGGTAATCTAGTAACATGTTTAATATGGAAAGTCTGACAGAATTTGGCAAGGGGTTTACTAACATATGCTGGGCCATTATCAGTTTTACTGGATCGAGGAATGCCCAGGATAGAGAAACAATATAGTAGGTGTTGTATTACATGGGCGGCAGTTTCTCCAGTCATAGGTGAGACAAGCATGTAATGAGAAAAGGTGTCCATGGTGACGTGTAGGTATTTTAATGACCCAAAAAAAGGATAATGAGTGACATCCATCTGCCACATGTCATTTGGACAGAGTCTTCGAGGGTTGACTCTAAAATGAGGTACTGGAAGGAGTGGCGCACATGAGGGACAATTTTTAACAATTTTTTGTGCTTGTTGTCGTGTTATACCATATTGATAACGTAAGACCTTTGTAGCTTGGTGATGAAGAGCATGTGACTGTTGTGCTTGTGAAACAGCAGACAGTCTAATATGTGTGGCTCGATCTGTGATTGTATTTTTATGAGTTAAAGTGCCTGGAAGATTAGAATGACTGTGAATATGTCTTATAAAACAAGGTGCAGATGGAGAATGTAAAGATGATTGAATGAGACCAAATAACTATGTAACAAGGATATTGGCAGTGTTGGTAACAGGGATGCATTTTAAAACAGACAAGGCTTGTATTATATATTGGCTGTCTGAAAACAAAGGGAATATCAAAGAAAAGAATAAAAGCCTGATGAACAGCATAAAGTTTAGTCTCTTGAGCTGAAGCACTCTTCAATTGTCACACATAAGTTTGATTTGGGGGTATCAAAGTAGCTTATTTATTGGAGCTTTTATCTGAAAATAAAGTAATAGCACTAACAAGGGGTTTTGTGTGTATGATTTGAGGAAATAAAAAGGTAATTTTAGAGGCAAATTGAAGAATTTTATCCTTGGGATAATGATGTTGGATTTGACCGGTATAGGAAGCTAGAGATAGAGGAAAATAATCAGTCATATTAAGCAGCCATTTGAGCTGCTCAGATGTATAAGGGATTATAATAGAGTGAGGGTCTCTTTTTAAATGTATTATAGACAGGTTTTTTTTTTTGTATAATCTTTTTTGTAACCAAAGAGGTGTAAGGGGGGAGAGCCCTTTTTGGGGAATGTGAACCATGAATCTATGAGAGAGCTCTCTGTTGATATAATACACCTGTAGGAGAAAAGGACATGGGTATGATGATAAGGGACCAAGGATTGGAATAATCACAATAGTGAAGCTGCGCACTTTGAAGAGCTTTATTAACCAGTTTAAGAGCTTTGCGAGCTTTTGCTGTTATTTGGCGAGGTGAACTTGGGTTAGAATCTCTAGCTAATAAGGAAAACAATGGGTGGAGGTCTTGAGTAGTTAACTTTAGAGATGGCCGGATCTAATTAATTTTATCCAAGAGTTTTTGAAAATCATGTAGCGTATGTAAGTGAGAAGTATTAACAGACAATCGTTGAGGAGAAAAATGCCGTGAATATAAGTGAAAACCTAGATAAGAATAAGGAGGTGAAGTTTGGACTTTTGTAGGTACGATGACCAGCCCATTATTTGTTAAATCTTAGTGAAGAGAGGCATATATTTGTAAAAGCATCTCAGAATCTTGATGGGCTATTAAAATATCATCTATATAATGAATAATGGTGGCAGAGGCAAATTTGGATCTGGTATTGGCAATGGCTGTATGTATAAACTTTTGGCACAGGGTGGGGCTATTAGCCATATCTTGAGGTAATGTAGTCTATATCTTTTTATAGGTGAAGACAAATTATAGGAAGGAATATTAAAAGAAAATCTCTTGTAATCCTTGGGGTGGAGAGGGATAGTATGAAAACAATCTTTAAACTCAAAAACAATACGATGATGTGACAGGGGTATTGTCATAGGTGATGGAAGTCTAGGCTGAAGAGCTCCCATAGGAAACATAGTATTATTAACTTTTTTAAGGTCTTGTAATAATCTCTATTTTTAAAATTTTTTTTATCACAAATATAGGCGAATTTTAGGGGGAGGAAGAAGGTCAGACATGACCACAGACTAACTGTTTTTGTATTAACTGTCTGGTGGCTTGGAGCTTAGCCTCAGGCAGGGGCCACTGATCTATCTATACCGGTGTATCAGATTTTTAATTAATTTTATCAGCATGGATAGCAGGACAATCAGCGGCCGCTAAGAAAAACCCAACCCCTGTTTATCATTTTTTTGTGGGATGCATAAAGGGTCTTTGATACCCTGATTATTTTTTTTATGTCTGCAAATGGCAATTGGTCCATTTGCAACATCTGTTTGGTCACAGTGGGACTTGGACTTTGTAAGTATACTCTTAGTTGGCTTAGTATGTGTCGTCTCTATAAATTTAGGGGAAGATTAGGTAAAACATATGGTTGGAATTTTTTAGTATGTCTCTCTAAATCAGTCTAGGATAATATAGAAGAGGACTTAAAGGGAGCAGGAGCTTGTCCAATTTTTTGGAGAATGGCAGGGGCAGGATCTAATGGCCGGGATGAAGGCCAATCTTGTTGTCTTATAACAGAAACATCAGCCCTTGTATCTATTATTTTAAGAAAAGGGTTTTTTTTTGTATTTTTAGTAAGCACTCTGGCCTTTTATCTTGTATTTGTTGAATAAGAAAAGCATCAGAGGAGCCAAACCTTTGGGTGTCTCGTTTTTTTTTTTTAAGCATCTTTTGTTTTTTTTAATAAGGGGCAACAATAATAACTGTGCTATATGGGTATCTAGGAGTATATTGATGACTGTTGTATCAGTTTTAGCCATAACTTTAATTTTTTTTTATAATCTTGATCTATCAGTCTAGTAAATCTATTTTTTTTAATAATAATCCCCAATTGTTTGGAGGTAACGGGCCGTAAATACCGGTAGGTATCAATTGGACTCTTAGCTCTGGGGTTAATATGATGTGGGTGGAGGAACTGAGGTCTAATCTTGTGTTTTTTGGAGTTGTTTTGGAGAGGTCTGAAACCGATTGTTTTTGGGTTAATTGTCCCGAAGATTTGTTGTCGGGCCTGGGGCTGGCCCCTCTTGGAGTTTTTTTGTTGGGGGGGGGTAGTAGATTGTCTTTTTTTTAATCTCTTTTAGAATAACATTTATTAGCCCAGTGATCTTTTCTTTTTGTAGCGTGGACATAACCCTGGGGCTTTTGGCTTTTTATCAATTTTAACTTTATTGTTTGTATTATTATCAACTTTTGGGGGACCAGAGCATTGTTTAGCAATGTGTCCCTTTTTTTATAATTATAACAGCTTTTTGGAGTGCCATGGGTATATTTTTTGTGTTTGTTATGTTGTATTGTCAGACATTTTTGTAAGGTTTGCCCCTTTAGAGCAGCTGCCATAGACAGCCTTTGGATGTACCCTGTTTTTATGTCTGTATAGAGTCTGACATAGTTACTTAGGGTACCCCAACCCTTTTAGGGTCAAAGAGCTGTTTGACAGACTGTATTGGCATTTTTAAAAGCCAATTTTTTTATTAATATATTGCTGGTTTTTTGATCACTTATCAATCATCTAGCAGCCTGAAGGAGGCGAGAGACAAAATCTTGAAATGGCTCATCAGGGCCCTGTTTAATCTTGTTTAATTTTCTCTTTTGATCTAGACTGAGGTAACTTTTTTTAGGCAGCCAAAGCAGCCCATTTAATTAAATCATAAGCGTAGGCAGGATAATTTAATTGTGCACCTAAAGCCATAAAGGCCCCTTTTTTTTGAAGTTGGTCTAATGAAATTTTATTATTGATTGTATTATCATCTAAAGCATAGCCTGTAGTGGTCTCTTTATATTTTGACAGCCAAAGAAGATAATCACCACCAGTTAACACAGCCTTAGCTAACACTTTTTAATCTTGAGGTGGCAAGGCCTGACTCGCTATAGATTTAAGAATAGACATACTAAAAGGAGCAGTAGCCCCATATTGTGTAGTAGCCATTTTTAATTTGTTGATATTTTTAAAAGGAAAGCCTTTATGTTTATTATATGGTTGTCTCTGTGTTAACCCTTTTTATTACTGGATAAACCTGAAGTCTTTTCAGGTTTTTATCTTGTCTCTGTTTTTTGAAGTGCGCGCTGCAAGGGGGGGATGTTACCGCAGGCGCGATAGGGCGTGTGGGTACAGGCGGGGACAACAAGGGCAGTGGTCTACATCTTATTTGGGCAACGAGAGGCGTTTTAGAGGCCTCATGTTGATCAAATAAAGGTCTAGCCAAAGAAGAAGTATTATAACTTTTATGTTGTTGATCTCTTAACTTAGCCTTAGATAACCTTTGAATATATCAGACAATTTTTTAAATGTTTTAATCAAGTTTTTTAGGCTCTCTGTTGGTTTTTTATATTGTGGGTTTGCCTGATCTTGAAGCATGAAAGCTTCATGTTGATGTTTATATTGGGAGGCTTTATGTTTTAACTCTTTTTATTATTTTGGACCGAATTTTTTGTTTGAATCTGAATCAGCTTTTTTATCAGAGTATCAGACTTGTAAATTATCAGGCCTGTTGTTTATCTCATTAGTCGTGGGGTGGTCGGGCTGCTCGTAACAGGGCAGCTCAGAGAGTGGTGGCGGAGCAGAGGGCAGGGGTGGGTATAAGGAGGATGTCACATTTTTTTGTGGATTTGGTTTTTTTTATAAAACTTTTTTGAGTTTTTTTTTTAATTTACTAAACTCAGAGTCTCTTTTTAAACAGTCCTTAATTAGAGTCTAAATCAGAAACACATCTATAGGAACCTTTTTAGGACCACAAGCACAATAATAATCTTTAATCTTTTTTTATTGCCCTTTATGTCTCAACATTAACCGTTTTTTGTTTTGGAAACCAGGGGCAAACCTGATGCACAAAATCAACAAACCGATGAATTTGGAGTTTAGCTACGGGAATGCCCCTACTCTTTAACAAAGAGGAAATAACTTGTTTAAAAAGTTTCCGTTTTGAAGATGGGGAATTATCCATTTCTAATCTCTGTGTATATGTCACTCTCTGTTATTTTTGCTTTTACTAACCCGGGTCCTCGTAGCAGCGGTCTTTTTGAAACTCTCGATTTTTTTTTTTTTTTACTGGAAGAACGCTCTGAATGTTTGTGCTCAAGCCCCACGTTGGGCGCCAGGTGCCACGGCCAGCACGGGGAAGGAGTTAGGCAGGAGACTGAAGACGCAGGGAGACCGATTGCTCAGGAGGCAAAAGGCGATTTATTAAAGAACTCCAGAGTTTTTATAGTGTTTCAAAACAAAGAACAGTACAAGTCACTTTAGGACATTTTTCTGTGCGTGCAGCCAAGGTAAACATGTTTTTGGGCCGATGAGAAACTTTTTTGTTGTGCAGCCCAGAAGGTAAACATGTTCCTGGGCCCATGAGAAACTTTTTTGTTTATGTTATGAAGCTATTCCCAGGTTAATATTAGCATGATGCTTTGTCTAGAAGGCTGAGGTTACTGTAGGATAAGGAACTGGTTGAGGTCCAGCTTTAGTGTGTGGTTTTTCCACACCCATTCACTGCCGGACCTCTGGTTCCTGCTCCCAATAGGCATCAACCGTCATCCTGTCAACCCTCCTAAACCCAAAGCAGCTCCAAGGTTCCTGAGTGAAAGAGGGAAGGGTCGTCCAGTCACAGTAGACAGCTGGCAGTTGGACAGTAGACTGGGCTGAAGTCTGTGGAGAAGTAGGAGCTGGGACCATCCAGACTCAGTTCCACTGGAGGCCAAAAGCCAGTCTTAACCCTGGCTATGACAGGAAGAAACCGTCTGCTCTGTGACCAGTGGCCCAAGCAGGCAAGCAGCTCTGGCCAGCGAAGGGACACGTGAGTGGCATGGCCAAGATCAACCCTGCATCCCGCAGAAATCCTACTATAGACTTGGTGTGGTTGCTCAGTATAGATTCCAGCTCCGATGAGTGAACTAACACAGAACTGGAGCCACCAGAAGAATTTTGTTTTGAAGGTGGTGGTTTAGGTTTGGACTTTATCGCTAGGTTTGTTTTCTCTGTCCTGTCTTCATTCTTTCTCTCCTGTTCTCTTCTCTAGCTCCCAGAGTTTGGGTGGGTCATCCTTTGTCCTTCAGCCTTGCTTATAGTATATCTCTCTTCAGCTATTGCTCTGTCAGGGGCCCTATCTCTCTAAAGTTCCCTTCCCCACAGGGTAAAATCACTCCTTCAAGGGGAAACTCACTGTGTACAAGTCCCTGGTTTGTGTTGCATGCAGTTATTTAACTGTAGATCTTGCTCCCAGGGTTAGATAGCGAATTAGCAGTTACCACAGACTGATTTCTAGGCTGTGCTTGATGATGTTACAGCTAATTGTACTACTTTAGCCAGGATGCCATATTCATTGTAATAGTGGTTCACCTTGTATGATGATTGCGATGTTTTAAAATTTATTATCATTTTTTTTCAGTACTAGGGACTGAACTCACAGCCTCTTCCTTCCCAGCCAGGTACTTATGCCACTGAGCTAAATCCCCAGCATGATGATTATTCAGTGTCATAATCACTGTGATTATTCAGTGTCATAATCATTCCCACAGTCCAGAACTAAAGGACTGGGTATAAGCCATACAGATGGTAACTCACCATCCCTGATAAAGTGGAAAGGTAGGACCTTGGGACAGACACAAAGACCAACAGCCAGCTATACCTAGAAGGCATCTCAGAGGAATAGATGTTTCCGAGACAATCCCCAATACCAGCGATAAAGCTACCTAACAGAAGAAAATTACAAATTAAAATTTAAAAAATAGAAAATGACAAGACACAGAAGCAAAATGCAATCCCAGCCTTGCAGCCCACCCAGGACAAATCGAGGGGAAAATAAGACAAGAAAACAGGTCATTCACCCGAATCTTCTGTAGGTTGTTTCCAAGATTTGGCTTTTATAAACTGTTGCTATAAATATGGATAAACACGTGGAAATAAAATATCAACCTACTGAACAACCCATGTGTCACAGATTAAAGTGAAGAAGATATAGAGTATTCACAGTTGAATGATAATGACAATACACCATGCCAAACTTATGGGACACAATGAAAGCAGTCTTAAGATGGAAATTTATAGCAGTAAGTACCCATGTCAGGAAAACATACCAAGCACATACAAACAACTTAATGTTGAAACTTAAACTTCTAGAAAAACAACAGGCTTAAACCAAAAGCTCATATAAGGAAGGAAATTATAGAGATCACAGCACAAATTAACATACTAGATAAAAACAATACAAAGAATCAATGAATCAAAGAGTTGCTTCTTGGAAAGATTAAATAAAACTGACAAACTATTAGCCAATCTTATCAAAAAAAGGAAAAGACCCAAAGGAACAAAAATTGCAACAGACTGCAGAAATCCAGAAAACTATCTCTACCTGCTTTGCAAACTTGTATTCTAATAAATGGAAAATACAGAAGAAATGGACAGATTCCTACATACAGATGAATTGCCAAAGCTGAATCAAGAAGATATAAAAATCCTAAGTAACACAATATCCATAAATGAAATTAAAGATGTAGGTGCTGGGGATTCAGCTCAGCAGCATAAGCGCCTGCCCTGGAAGTGCTGTCATGAGTTTGATCCCTGGTACAGAAAAGAAAAGAAGGAAGAAAAGAAAGAAAGAAAAAAGAAAAGAAAAGAAAGAAAGAGAAAGGAAAGAAAAGAAAAGAAAGAAAAAGAACGGAGAGGCCAGAGGTGTCCAGGAATGCTTGTGCATAGCTATATTCCCAGCACTCAGGAGGCTGAGAAAGGAGGATCACGGAGAGTTCAAGGCCAGCCTGAGCTGCACAGTGAAATGAGAGAGAGAGAGAATGTTGAACAATTATGAAGTTGGAATGCCAACCACTGAAGTTTAGGAAACTATTAATGGCAAAGCCCAGCTAGAGCTGTAGCTCAATAGCAGAGCGCGTGGTTAACATGCACATGGCCCTGGGTTCCACCCCAGCACTGAATGAAAACCAGAAAGAAAGCAAAACCCAGTACAGGGCTGGGGATAGAGCTCAGTGCCATAGTACTTGTCTGGCAAGCACGAGGTCTCAAGTTTGATTCTTGGTACCAAAAACACCCAAAAAAGCCAAATATACAATGTTAGCTGCACTTTCCCACCATCCTTCTGTCTCCACGTGCCATCATCCTCTGTTCAGAAGGGAAAAGAAATGCTTTGCTGACCAGAGACAAGGTTTTATTCCTTATTTATTATGGAGTTTGGACCAAGAATCCAGTGAGGGAAGAAATCCTAGGAGTCATCTTCCCATTCTAATTAGAGTGTAACTAGTTATAGCTGAGAGAATTCATGAGTCTTTGTGACTAAAACACCAAAACTGAAAACTCAGATGATTATTTATCCAGCAGATCTTTGTCAGTGTTAGACACTGAAAGGCCACCAGGAAATTGAGGATGATCCCTGCCACCTCAAGTAGGTGCCTGTCTACCTAGAAAGAAAAGACTTCTGCCATGACAGTAACTGCAGAGCCACGTTACGCAGGTGCCAAACACTTAGCCATGCAAAAAAAAAAAACGGCAGCTCCTGGTACCTGGCTGCTGAATCGGTGGCCACTGGCTCCATCTTTCCCAGCAACAAGCAAGACAGAACAGAACATTTTAAGTGAGCAATAAAACTTGCAGACTCATTATTGTAGCATCTACCAGAATCTGTAGCTTGTACTTTTGATTCTTTCAATGATTATTTTCATTCTACATGTTTTTTGTTTGTTTTCCCCTCTGCCATGCCACTCTCCAGATGATTCTGTTGTGATAGTTTCTTTTCTTTCTTTCTTTGAGACAGGGTCTCGCTCCATAGTTCAGGTTGGCCATGAACTTACTATGTAGCCCAGTTTTACCCATGGCAACCCTTCTGCCTCAACCTCACAGGTGCTGAGACTATGGATCACTATATCTGGATTCTCAGGCAGGGATTTAGCTCAGTGGCATAAGCACCTGACTGGCAAGCTCGAAGTCATGAGTTCAATCCCCAGAACCAAATAAAATAAAATTCTTTAATGCCAATCTCTTTGTTGTAGATCAGTGATTCACAAGCCAACTCCACAAGTTACATCTACCACTTTCAACTGAAATGCGGCCTCTGATAAAACACATCATCTTGTTATACAAAGTGTGTCAGGAACAGGCAATCATGTGGCTCTCATAATTATACTGAATTTTAATCACCAGCATCAAAGAACCAGTAACGGACTTTCCAAAGAATCTTACTTTGGCCCCTGAGCACACAGCCCCACGCATGCACACACCACACTTACTTGCCATCTGGTGCATCTCCTCCATACGTGCTCTTATCACAGATCGGTAGTTCTTACTCCCTGAACCAATCTATGAAAAATGAGAACACATTCAGGTTAAATCTGGAGCATCTTGTGGTTCCAGAGAGTAAGAGAGAGCTCAATAAAGGTGAGAACTTGCTGAAGGAAGGGCAGCTCAACCTGAAGTCTGACATAATCCAAAGATGGAAAAACCTGAATGACACGATAAATATGCTATAATTCATGCTCTAAAATAAATACCGGAATCTAGGCTGCTGTAGATGAGATTTATTGATAATCACTAAAATGAATGGCTAACATTTAAGGAGAAACAGGACTTACATCAGCTCAAAGTTCCTTCCCTAAAGCACTCATTAGAGACAAAGAAAAATAGTTAACTTTTCAGTGAAGAAATGACATAAATCAAGTGATTGTCGTCAAGGTCACCCAAGAACAAATGGCCACTTTGGTGCTATCCTCACTAATACATGCTTGTCCAAGAATGAGAAACCTCTGACGAACACAAACTGACAGATGTTCCATGAGACAACGGATCAATATTCCTCAAAGTAGAAGGTCATGAAAAAGACTGAGGGAGGGAAAAGGCCACCTCAGAAGGGAAAACCAGCAAAACAGAACTCGTCTTCAGTTGAGCATACAGAGTCAGTGTCAATCTTTGCATCCTAGTTTTAATAATGACATAATACAATTATATAAGAGATTAAGATTAGGGAAACTGAGTAATAAAACAGAAACCATTTTTTTAAACTTTTCTGGAAATCTGGACAAAATAAGTAAATTAAATAAATATGAAACACAACTAGTTCAAGCCAGACAAGGTGGTACACGCCTGTAATCCCAGCACTCTGCGAAACTGAGGCAAGTAGATCAATCACAAATTTGAGCCCAGCTTGAACAACTTAGTGAGACCCTGTCTGCGGGTGAGTTAAGGTAGAAGCTAGCGGGGGAGTGGGGATGAGAAGAGACAAGAGACAAGAATGGCGACAAGACAGGATTCTGATCAAGTCTCGTTGATTCAAAGAAAGAGTAATGAACACATAGGGTATTGGGGGAAGAGGGAGTTGGGTTCTGAGACATCAGCAGGTGACCTATAAACAGTGACAAGACCAGGGGTTATGGGGTAATTCAAATCTCCCCTGCTTGGGTTCATAAGGCAGGCTGATTAGCATAATCCCCAAATGGGCCAAACAGGCTAGGCAAGGAGAGAAGCTTAACTACCAAACGGAAAGTTAACTCCTGGAGGAGGTTAAGGTGGCTGCTGCCTGCAGATATAAGGCGGCAGCCAATTACAGGGCTTCCCACACTGTCTCAACATAAAAAAATAAACAGAAGGGCTGGATCTGCATTCTTAGGGACAGGAATTTAGCTCACTGGTATAAGTGTCTGCCTGGAAAGTGCAAGGTTATCAGTTCAATTCCTGGTACCAAAAAAAAGGCTACAGATGAACCTCAGGTTGATGGCCCTGGTGCAACTTGGCCCTCCATACTAAAACAAAATCAAACCAGGGAAATGAAAGAATGAAGCAAAGGGGTTTTTTGGTAGCTGGTATTAAATTCAGAACCTCACTCTTTCCAAAGAGGTGCTGTACCACTGAGCTAAATCCCCAGCCTCAAAATGAAGCAAATTAACAAGAAAACAAAACAATCATTTTTCAATTTGGCTTTGGTGTTTTCCTGAGGCAGAGTCTCGCTACATTGTCTATGCTGGCCTTAAACTTTCTATGCTTAAACCGGGTATGGTGGCACACACCTTGGATCCCAAAACTCAGGAAGGCTGAGGGAAAATGATCACTGTGAGTTCAAGACCAGCCAGGGCTACCAAGTGAGCTCAAGGCCAGCCTGAACTGCACAGTGAGACTGTCTCAAAAAGACTGGGCAGGGCAGGCAGGCGGGGAACCTCTCTATCCTCTTGCCTCAGCCTCCCAAATCCTGGGGTTACAGGAGAGTACAGGAGAGTGCTTGGAGTACAGGTTTACACCATCACAGCCAGATGAGACATAGCTTTCCACTGCAAGAAAAACATTTCTTCTAGAAGGCAAGACTTAAAGCCCACTCAGTGACTTCATTTCAAAATGAGTAATAGGTTGATAGAATGAGGCACAGTGGCAGAGATTTTCCCAGCCAGCTCAGGTCACTGGTTCCATTCCCAGTTCCATAAAAACTATAAAGTCAAAGAGAATAGTAGTGCCCAGGCCTGGTAGCCCTCACACATAATCTCGACTGCTCACAGGACTAAGGCAGAAAGATCCCAAGTTCAAAGCCTGTCTGAGCAATTTAGCCAGACTGAGATTTTAAAAAGAACTAGTAAGTAGCTCTGGGTTCAATCCCTAGTACCAGGAAAAAAATAAGCAAAACAAAATTTTCTATTCAGTTTGCACCACTGGTGATCAAACGCAAGGGTAATCTCCCACTGAACTACAGCATAGTCTTTTTTGAGACATAGCTTTGCTAAAGTGCCCACAGGATGGGTTGGAACTTGATAATCCTATTTTAGCCTCTGGAGTTTCAGAAAGAAGTCGCCAAAGGTGACATGGTTTGGTTTTATTTGGAGAGAGGCTCTATAAGTCTCAGGTTGGCTTTGAATTCCAGGCAATCCTCCTGCCGCAGTCTCCAGATTGCTGGGATGACAGACATGTGACACCACATCCAGCCATAGCTTTTAAAATTCATTTTAATATTAATTTTCAAATCTCCTAATTGGACCATATTCACTGACTCTTGTGCTGACTTGCCCTTTTGAAAGGGTAAGTAAACTAAAAATATAAACTGATAAAGGGCCTGGGGACTTAGCTCAGTGGCACAAATCCTGAGAGCCATTCCCAGTACCATAAATAAATAAATAAACAAACAAACAAACTAGCCAACTCACTGAGCCTTTCTGGATTTTCCAGTCAATTCTCCTTCAATCTCTGAAGGCCCACAAAGATTCCATGTGATTCATTGAAGAGTTTCCTTAAAATTTTAGAATAAGCATCTACATCCTTCCGGATCATATAGACAAAGGGGCAGCCTGGTACCACCTCACATTTTTCTGAAACTACGCAGAAAAAAATACTGTGACATTTATCATCATCTCCCTCAAAAGAAAAGCCATTCAGAGCCAAATGCAAGCCTGTAATCCTAGCATTCCTAAAGTGGGCATGGTGGTTTACCCCTGTAATCCCAGTACTCGGGAGGCTGAAGCAGGAGGATCTCTTCGAGTTCAAGACCAGTCTAGGCTACAAGTGAGCTCAAGTCCAGCCTGAACTGCATAGAGACTCTGTCTCAAAAACACAAATCACAGCACTCCTAGGCTGAGGCATGGGCTGGGGATATAGCTCAGTGGCACATTTGCTTGCCTGGTAAACACAGGCCCTGAATGTGATCTGCAATATTAAAAAAAAAAAAAAATAGAAGACTGAGGCAAAAGGATTGCCTAAAATTTAAGGTTATTCTGGGCTACACAGTGAGTTCAAAGCCAGCCTGAACAACAGATGGTAGTGAGAACATATGTCAAACAAACAAAACAAACAAAACCTTTAGTTAGCTCAGTGGGTGTGAAGGCATGACCTACTATCAGCTACTCTGGGGGTGAGACAGGAGGGCAAAACATTAAAGGCCAGCATGGGCAATTTCATGACACCCTGTCCATATTGTCTCAAAATTAAAAGAGAAAAAAAAGCTGGGAATGTAGCTCAACAGTGGAGACACTGGGTACAATCCCCAGTATATTCAGACAGACAGACAGATGGTGCTTTAGCTCCCGGGCTACTAATTTCATTTATAAACACTAAAGTTTAAATCAAGTGTGGTAATGCACATCTAATACCAGTGCTCTGGAGGCTGAGGCAGGAGGACTACCTTGAGTTCTCGGCCAGACTGAACTACATAGTGAGAGCCTGTCTTAAAATCCCTAAAGTGTAATTTCCATTTATATAAACTAAAGTCAGGGGCAGAATGCTTGCCTACCCCAACATCAATCCACAAGGCCACTGCTGCAAGACCTGACATCCCCACTGCACACAAAGGGACATCTAAAGAGGAACTGATTACAATTTATCGATGACCTACACACCATGAATTTTACCTTTTAATGCTAGAGTTGAACCTAGAACTTGGTACATACAAAGCATGTGCTCCGTCACTGAGCTATATACCCACTTTGTATATATGATTTTTTTGGTACTCCAGATTGTATGCTGTATTTTTTTTCCCTTCTTTTTTAGGGGAGTACTGGGGATTGAACTCATGACCTCATGTGTGCCACGCAGGCATTTATGCCACTAAGCTAAATCCCCGGCCCTAAATGCTGTATTTCTTAATACAGAATTTCTCTTTTGCATGGCAAACTCATTGATCTTTCTTTTCTTTCACTGAAGGAACTGAGGGCCCACTGTGCACAATGTACTTAAAAAATATGAGTAAACCACAGCCTCCACCCTCAACACTGCTATAAAAATACTGAAGACAAGTCCCACACAAACTACAGTGCATCTAGTGAGAATGGACACGTGTCAAGGAGCAGTTTTGGAAAGCTTAAGTAAAACAGGTTTTATTCCTTTGATGAATCAACTTTTCTTAATTTTAAGCAGGTCATACTACAAAAAGTGTGGGCCTTATATACAATAAGAAATATACAATAGTATTCAATTTCCTTGCATGTAAAAGGCATCACATTTTTTTTTTATCTTTTTCCTTTTTATCAGTACCAGGAATGGAACTCATGACTGCCTGCTTTCAAGGCAGGCGCTTATGCCGCTGAGCTAAATCTCCAGCCCCTTGCATCACATTCTTACCTTCAGTCTTTGCCAAAACACTGAGGTAGGCACTATGTATGGCTTTGCTTTAAAAAGATAAATGAATGGGCTGGGGATTTAGCTGGGCATAAGCACCTGCCTGACAAATGGGAGGTCATAAATTCAATCCCCTGTACAAAAAAAAGAAAAAGTAAACAAACAAACAAACAAAAAAACCAAGCTATTAATTGCCCAAAGGCACCCTCTGCTCAAAGAGCTGTGACTCAAATGCAGCAGTCTACTCTCTGATGGGATTTTCATCGTACTAAACGAGAGAATATAAAGTAAAAATGGCCTTTATTCTAAGAACGTGGAGTGAAACTCCATGACCACTGGGGGCCTTGCTTTCTTGGCCAGAAACACGGTGTGAGGGGCAATCGGGTGGTGCAAATGGGTAAGTTGTATAGGGGCGGGGAAAGTGACCTCAAGGTAAACATCCCTTGGTCCTGCCTCCCATTGCCATAATATCTTATCTAGGGCAAAATTCTTACACTCTCTAGTCCCTTTTTGATATTTTATGCACTGATTCAAATACGTTGACTCATTATTATATGTGGAGTATCCTACTGGGAAATGAGCACAGAGCAATAAACAAGACTATTCCTAAAGCTCACCTTCAGATTCAAAACATTTGCTTTCTAACAAATACAGTAATATAATTACAGATTGTATATGGTATAAAAGAAATAGGTGATGTGACACAATCACTGGCAAAGACAACTTCCATTAGGGAGCTATAGAAAGGCTTCCTATCATTTCCTTCTGTTCACAAACTCAGGCTGGCCACACAGGCAAACCAGGACCCAGAGAGCAAAAGGTAGGAGAAGACAGACCACGGCGAGTGAAAATGAAGTGGCGAGGAAAATAAAGGTGGAAACAGACTTGTAAGTCACAGTGAGTTGATGAAGCCCCCAAGCTGGGGCTGAAAGAGGAGCTGTGGCTTCAGATAACACACCTTGACATTTTGGATAAGGACAGTATAAACACAGCCTCTGACTAGAGCAAGAGAATAGGGTTAGAAGACTTATCCAAACTGAGGGGCTGGCGTCCTCAAACTTTATTATGGGGATAAGCATAACCAGACAAAAGAAAGAGTAGTTTCTCTACAATAAGTCTCATTTGGTTAATTTCTGGCAAAACAACGTGTGTTTGCAAGATAAAGAACGACAGGAGAGAAATGAAAGAGACTACATTGGACTGCGTCACAAATTTTTAAAACTCACCATTCCTGAGGTGGTAGCAGGAATGGAGAGAGAAAGCTGTTACAGCCATTCTGAATGTGTTTGACACAGATTCAAAATGGGACCTCAAAGATAGCTGCAGACTCCAACGTGGAGTATGCCAATCCCACCACACTAAATATAACCGAACATGAAGACATTTATTCCACAAAATGCAATGATTCGGTGTTTTCCCTGCTGAACATCACCTATCCTTAATTAATATGGTTTCCTATTACTTTAAGACTTTACCACAGAAGTGCTGGCACATAACTCTCACTACAAAATGCATAGTGTGATTCCTGAAAATGGCGGCTGGCTAGGGGATCAAGCGAAGAGTCTCTCCGGAGAATTCACACTAGAAGCTAAAAAAAGACAACACGGAGAGGGCCAGACAAATCGATAGCGATTCTTATTAACCAAGACAGTATAGCTGGAGGATTTAAAGTCAAGCTGAGACCTTGAATGCTGATAACGGGAAGCTGCAAACCCCGCGCCTTTAAATCAACAAGCTGACCCGTGGACCCAGCAGGGAAAGATGAGTAGCTTTTGGGGACTGCAGGAAACTGAGACCCAGGCCGGGACTCCAAGTAGCAGCCAAGTCTGCACCGCTGCACCAGAGCGGATGTACAAAGCTCGGGCGTTTCAAATTTAAACGGTGCACAGATATCTGACCGGTCAGCGCTGTGCTGGGAGCGCACGCTGTGCACCGCCCCGCGCTGTCCCGGGAGTGCGGGAAAAGTGGGCAGCTTGGTGTGCGGTGGTCCAGGAATGAGGACTTGCACCAGACTCTGGTGAGTATCGGGAACCCCGCGGCTGCTGGGGTTGGCCAGAGAACAGCTGGCCCACCACCACGGGGAAATCAATAACACAGAGTCTGGTGCAGACATATTAGCCTGGCGGCAGAAACTGCAGCGTGGTGACATTACCAGGTCCCCCTGAGGGGAGGGTTGGTGGAAGACATCTTGAATCCTGGCAGAGCCTGGTTACTTGCTGGCTTCAGCTCCACACAGAGAACTTAGTGGGAGACATCTTATTTTTGGGCGGAGCTGCTATTCTGGTGCTGCTGTCACAGAGAGGTTTGGAAGAGAATGGCTGGGATTTGGGCAGAAACTTGTGCCATAGTGACATTACTCAGCTGCTTCTGGTACAAAGAGAATTGGCAGGAGCTACTGGGGCTAAACCAAGCCTCTGCTTGGGGCCCAATAAGCAGATACAAAATAACTACAACTCAGTGACTACCAGAAAGTACAGCCTAATTTATGAACTAACTGACACAGAGGCTAGAGACTAGCCTGTACCGCCCCTGCATCCCAGCCTACCCCAGATAACAGTAAATTGGGGAGGACAGCAAAAACTCAAGCCAGCATGCTTCTGAAAGGCCCTAAGCAATTCGGAGAGGGCCAGAGAACTCCAGGACAGTCTGAAAGAAACCAGAAACATGACAAGAGATAAAAAAAAAAAAAAAAATCTTCAGCTGCTCAACAGGAGAAAACAAGCCCAGGAGAACTAAACACTGAAGACAACAAGCACAGTAATCATCCTCTACTCGACACAGCATCAGCTGAAATTAAAAAGTACCTACATGATCTCATAGAGGAATTTAAAGCTGTACTCCTGATCCAAGTAAGGCAAGATATAAAGAGATTAATTAAAGAAATGACAAGCCCTGCCCAAGAGAACACAGATGGAAGAACTGAGGAAATCAGAAAAGAAAGAGAAGCATCTGAAGAAGAATTTAAGCATAACTTAGAATACATGAAACAGATCCAAAGAGAATATCAGGAAACTAAAAATTCCATTGAATATTGGCAAAATGCCTTGACAGAAACTAAAGACAGCCTTCTGAAACTTGAAGAGAGATTTAGGGCATATGAACGTGAAAGAAAAAGCCTCTTAAAAATAACAAGGAACCAGAAAGAAGCAATTCTAAAACTGGAAGATGACAAGAAGATACATAACCTAAGAATAAAGAATGTGAGTGAGGAAGCAGGAACATCCAAAAATGAAATACAAAAAATATTCACAGATATATTAAAGCAAAATTTCCCATGTATAGCAAAAAGAAATGATATCCAGATAAAAGAAGCATACAGAACGCCAGCTACCTACAACCAAAACAGATCTACGCCTAGACATATAATAATCGAGATCCCAGAAATCCACCAAAAAAACAGAATATTAAAAGCAGCCAGAGAAAAGATGCAGGTTACCTATAACGGAAAATCTATCAAAATAACAGCAGACTTATCAACGCAAACTCTTAAGTCAAGAAGGGAGTGGGGAGAAATATGCCAAGTCCTGAAGGAAAAAAATATGCAACCAAAGTTCATATATCCGTCAAAACTCTCTCTAAAAATTAATGAAGAAATAAGATACTTTCAAGACAAGGAGGAACTATGGGAGTTCGTGGCCACCAATCCAACCCTACAGAGAGCGCTGAAGGACATTACAGAGAAAGAGAGGAAGAGATATCAGGATTCCAGCTACAGTGGCAGAGAGGCCTCAGTGAATGGGGCAGACAATGGAATGAGGGAATAAGGTGGACAAATTATAGCAGAAAAGTGGAGTGGCAGACATGAGGCAGAGACGGTAAACTAGTCTTTAGTATAGACAGCTCTGAAACTATATTTAAAAAAAAAAAGCAGAGGTCATTGCTAATGCTGTATAACGATTTAAAAGACACAGTAGTCCTAGTGCCATATTTAGATTGAATTTAAATTGTTCTGGTCTGTCCACTCATGTCAGATTTGAAGACACAGGCCTCTAGAACCAAAAATAGCAGGTTATACCACGGTAACTATCCTTACTTTCCTATTGACTTAGACTGAAATCCTGTATTACTTACATTGTCTTACTATGACTGATCTTAATTGTATCTGAATCTGAATCAATTGGTTGGCCTTGAATGATTCTATTTGAAATTGGTATGCTTGTTAGAATCAACTCTAAAAGTAGAGGAAACTACTCTGAGCATGACAAGATGTAAAAGATATCCATACTGGTATGAATCAGTAACAGCTCTCAAATACTACAATGCAGTCAAAGTTAAGTTTTTATAAAAATAGGTGATAGTATGTTTAACTATAATAAGCCAGTGTTGTGGACAAATCTATTGAAAATAACAAGAAAAAACATAGTAGCTACGGAAGATCATTTATATTGTAGTCTTATATGTCTTATCCATTGCATGTTTTTCTAGGAAATTGTTTTGCTGTCTAGTTATGACTTGGTTTTCCCTATAATACAGAGAGGATAGATATATAGGTAGAAATTCATACAGGGTTTTTTTTTTTTTCTTAAATTATTTACGGGAACAGATTATATAATACAAGATGTAAGGAACAAATACTCTGAGGAAGAGGTGCTGAGAAACCCGAGGCTTATTTTGTAGCATTATAATATAAATTCTAGCAATCTATTGTTTGCTGATTAGAATGACATTAGTCTGGTTTCTTCAGTTCAACTTCAGCATATGCAGAGATGGGGACGGCTATCACAAAGAGAATGAGAGATGCGATGGTAGTTGCTATTGTCTTCCCTAATTTGGAACTTGAGGACCTAAAAAGACTTCATCATCCTGTAATGATTTGATTAGTTCTATAATATGCAATAAGTATATAAAGTGGGTGAAGATAGGGACAACTATTTGTAAGAAGCTAGAGATAGTTAGATAATGAAGATCTCCAGTGGACTTGCTTTGAAACCTGTATTTTTTTAAATTGTTTTTTATTTTTATTTTTTTAAATGTTCTGTTCTGTTTTGATATGGTTAATCTTACCCTCTTTGAGATGTAAAACAAATGTGTAGGACTGATAATCATATTACGGAGCTTTTGTTCGATCATAGAGTAGAATGGTCTGTAGGGTCACTTTTTTGAATGTCATTCTAAATACTTTAATTCTACAACCTGAACAGCTATTTCGAAGATGACAACTTGTAACTTATCAACCGGCAATTTCTTACCTTTTGTTTATCTGTAATTTTGTATTATTTCTAACCTTTTTTTTTTAATTTTTATCTCCATGTATTTTTTTTTCGTTTCCTTTTCTTTAAATAAAAAAAAAATCTAGAAAAAAAAAAAGACAAAATGCATAGTGTACAACATTGTTCTACTCAGATGGTACACGATTTTCAAAAGTAAACTATATTTCTCAGTCCTGGGCCCTCACAGGCCTCTAGAGATTAAAAAACATTAATCAAAAGGACTGGTACAGGCTTTAGCTTGTTGAGTAGCCCCAATACTATCTTTAGATCGGTAACTCTGCCGTGTGCAGTTTCCAAATGATACTGCCAGGGTCAAGGATCACAGCCCCTGTAAACACGAGACCTATATACTGCACTGGCTGAGACTACAATGACTCACCTACAGTGTTCTGACCTTCAGGATTTTAGTTTTAAATTTAATTTTCCCAAATCGTTATTTACTTGAAAATGTATGTTTTAACTTTTTTTTCATTTTTATTTACATTTTTAGACAATGCCGTGTTCAACTGTACTGCCATCCTTTGAAAAACCAAAACTTCACCAGCGTTTCATGTTCATGGGGTAATCTGGGTCTCAGGGCAACCTTGTGAAACATATAAGGAAAATTATCATCATCCCTTCTGTACAAGGTAATACTGAAACTCAAAAAGTAGGTTAAGTTTGACTAACTCAAGATCTCACAACTGGCAAGGGTAGCACATCCACCAAAATTGCTGACTCTAGAGTCACCTTCCTCTTCCCCAGGTCACTACCAATTGAATACCGATGTGTCCCTTTTCAACACACCTGCACTGGAGCTAAGAGCCCAACTACTACAGCCCGGCCTTTACTGAGTGTCCAAAAGCGGCCATGACACTTGTAATCCGTAAACACAAACACACGCCTTGCCCTAGACTCGGTTCAACGCTGAGTTTGCTCCCCCGCACGACACTTATTATACACTGCGGTCTCACGCATAAGCTTCAGTGCAACTGTCCTCACTCCACGGGAAATTCGGTAACAGTAAAGTGACTTCGTTCCATTCACTGATGTTTTAAATTAATAGTTCTCCAGGCCAAACAAAAAGAACGAATCACACACACCATGCGCTCCACGCCACCTCCGCCCCGAAGTTGCTAAGGGTCAAGCACCGCAATAAAGCACAAAGAAGTGGGACTGAAAGGATGCCACACTCGCCTTCACTACTCTGTGACTTGGCTGCCCAGACATGGCTTACCCTAGCCAGGCTTCGCTCTGCCCCGAACCTCCAGCACCCCAGGTGGCAGGTGAGGCCCAGCCCAGACCCCACCAGGGAGCCTCCCTCCTGTGCCCAGAGGACACCACCGGGCAGGAGCAGCCTGAACATCACGCTGAGGACAGCAGGGCGACCCGGGCAGCTCAGCTTGCCAAGCTGCTCCCCAGGGCGGGGACCTGGGGTTGAGGGGGGGTACACAGCAGCCAGGTGGGCGCACCTGAGAAAGTGGGGAGTCAGGGCCTGCAGGTGAGTGGAAGGGGCGGAGGGCCCTGTGGCTAGGCTGCGAGGACCTCACCCAGCAGGCGTCCAGGGTGGGATCCAGGTAGGATCTTTCCCACTATTTGAGACAGAGCCTCACTATGCAGCCCCGTGCTGCCCTGTAACACGAAATCCTCTGGCCACAGGCTCCCAAATGCTGGACCACAGGTACAGTGTGTGCCATCACTCCAGCGCAATTTCTGCGTGGTACTTGGGACTGAACCCAGGGCCTCTGCACTGAGCAATGTTCCAGGCCCTTCTTTTTAATGATACTTTAAGGGAAGGTATTGCTAAATGTTGTGAACTGCTCTTGCTTCAACCACCCAGCGTGCCAGGACTACAAGCATGTGCCACCAGGCCCAGCCGAATTTTGTTTTAAATCTTTATTAAAGGCAGGATTTCACGATGTGGTTCAGCCTGCCCTTGAACTCACTTTGTACCCCAGGCTGGCCTCAAATTTCTAGCAATCCTCCTGCCTCAGCCTTCGGCCTCCAAAGTGCAGGGATGAGCTGAATTTTTAAACATGAACGTCTATTCTCCTCAGCCTACTAGCACACTGTACAACTACCTTTGGCCTCCAACAACTGAAATATACTGTGAAAAAAATTTAAACACTGTGACCTTAATCTTTGTTCACTTAACACTGGCCTACATAAAACTCAACAAATCAAATAAAGATGCCTTTTCAATAAAGATGACTAAATCTTTTTGTCTTTTTGACAGGGACTTGCTGTGCAGTTCAGGCTGGCCTAAGGCTCACTTTGTAACCTAGGTTGGTCTTGAATTTGTAAAGATCCTCCTGCCTCAGCTTCTCAAATGCTGGAATTACAGGAATACGCCACCACACCCAGAAAAATATTCTTTTTGAAGCTGGGTGTATTGGCATACAAGTAAAATCACAGCACACTGGGAGTCTAAGAGAAAAAGATCCTAAATTGGGCCCCAGCCTGGGCAACTTACTGACCTGGTGAGACCCTGGCTGTGAGTTAGCCAGCCTGGGCTACACTGTGAGTTCAAGGCCACACCCTGTCTCAAAAAAAGAGGAAGAAACAAACACAGAAGCACCAAAGCAAGACAAAGGGAGACTGAGAGACAACCAAACCCAGCAAGATGAATAATCTCAAAGAAGAAAAAAAACTTTTTTATTCAAGGAGGTTTCACAGACCAGTAATCTCCGCAGGACCCCAGTCAAAGCACATTATGCTTCTTGGAATTCACACCTGGGACCAACTAGTAAAAAAAAATAAGGCACAGAATCAATCATTTCTACTGAGGCATTGCTTTTCAGTCAACATGCAAGTATAAGAAAAGAGTTGTCAGGAAAGTTTAAAGGCTAATCAAGTACACTACTGAGAGGGTTTCTGGACACTGACAGCCCTGATTGAGCAAGCAGGCCCTGCTGGGCACTTGGGCCCAGTCTGTCCAGCTCAGTGTTAATGTAAAGGAAAGCCATCCTCTAAGCAATTCTCTCACTGGGGGTTCAGAAAAAGAAAAGCCAGAAACAATGATCTGAACTGTTACTAAAACAAAAAATAGAAATTCCCAATTCCTGAGGTGTCCCCAGCTCTCTTCCTGCAGAGGTGGCCCAAGAGTGAAATGTGAGCTGCCTAGGCCACAGCCCAGGCAGAACAGACAATTACAAAGTTCCTCCTGCTCTTTGCCAGACTGAGGGTTGACGGTGCAGCTGAAACTGTTCCCTAAGGAGGCATCAACCTTCCAGAAAAATCCAGGAAAAGTACAGCAAGCGACAGTAAGTACAAGCTGCAGGATCGGCTCTACAGGAAAGGATGCAAAGGTTCATCCAGTTAGTGTGAAAGCTGGAGATAAATTCTCCAGGATATAGCACAGGCACCTAAGTAGCTCTAGACAACAAGCATTGTTTAAGAGACAGTGACATTCTTAGAAAGTGTGTACACCAAAATCAATCACTACTAAAATGGCATCACAGAGCCCAGGATATACCTTGGTGGTACAGCACCAGTCTGGGAAGCATGAGGCCCCAGTTCAATTCTCAACACCAAAAAGAAAAAAAGAGAGAGAGAGAGAGAAAGAAAAAGGAGCAGGACATGATGACTCATGCCTGTAATCACAGCACTTGGGAAGCTGAGGCAGGGAGATCTTTGTGAGTTCAAGACCAGCCTAGGCTATAAAGTGAGCATAAGGCCAGCAGCCTTATGGATAGTGAAACCCTGTCTCAAACAGACAAAAAAAAAAGGAAAAAAATGGCCTGGATGGCACTGCCCATTCACTCATATTCTGAAATCTTCCACTATGCAACTCATTTCCACACCTCTCTTTGTAGTAAACTTGATGATTTCTAAGCTGACATCTATTGTCTCAAAAATTTAGTTTCACTTTACTGGTATAAACTTTCCAAATAAAGTATGTAAATTTAGCCAGGCATTATGTCACACAGCTGAAATCCCAGCATTTGAGAGGCGGATGCAGGAAAATCCCCAGGAGTCTGACATTAGCCTGCACTACATAGGGAGATGCTGTCTCCAAAACACAATACAGGTATACACATATAAACATTATTAGAAGCCAGGAATGTACGTCAGTGGCATAAGCACCTGCCTAGCAGATGCCGAGCTTGGAAGTTCGATTCCCAGTACGCAAGAGAAATAAACAAACATTACTAACATTAAAACTTCATAGTACAGGTATACAAAAACGTTATTATTAACATTAATACTTAAATGATAATATAAATTATACGTATTTGTAAATACCCAGAGAAAAGGCTTTGGATGAGAGGTAAATGCCCATGTAAACGGATGAACTGGAGACTTCACTGAACGACTAACCAGAGTACACACATGACTAAGGTGCACACTTGATAACAAATGGATGGACATGATCATATCTAATATGAATCTTCCTAATTCAATACACTGTTTTGTAGCAATTGTATTTAACACACTTGTGTGAAATAAATGATTTCTGAATTGTTTTTTTTTTGATACAGAGTCTTGCTATGTAGCCGAGCCTCCAACTCATGGATGAGCCTCCTGCCTCAGCCTCCTGAGTACTGGGATTACAGGCATACCCCACCACACCTGGCCTCTTATTTTTCAGACAGAATCTCACTGCAGAGCTACATCCCAGCCCACCTGGGCCATCTCTTAACAGAACAGTACAGAAAAGGTGAAGCATGTTATACAATCTGTTAGAGCACTAGATATCCATATGCAAGACAAGCGATACATTCTTATGATCCTAGCACTCTGGAATTCTTAAGCAGGAGGATAACAAGTTGAAGCTAAGCTAGGGAACTTAGTAAGATCTCTCAAAAATAAAAGTAAAGGGCTGAGGATTTAGCTCAGAGGCATAAGCACCTGTCTTGTGAGCTCCAAGTGGTAAGTTCAATTCCCAGTACCAAAAATAAAAGGAAAAAACTGTTAAAAGAAAAATACAAGTAATAAAAAAATAAAGGAAGTAAAAATAAAATATAAAATAAAAGTACAGCCTGGGATGGTGGCACACATCTGTTACCCCAACACTCAGGATACTCAAGGAAGACTACATACAAGTTCACTACCTAACAAGAACCTAGACCCAAAAGTGAAGAAACAAAAAAGCACTGAAACGCACACAGCAAGATTGTCTCAAAAAGACAATACAAAAAAAAAAAAAAAAAAAACACACCAGGAAAGAATCCCCCATAAGAACAAATTTACTTAATAAATCTCAATCCAATACAACACGACAGGTAGAAGTCAAGCAGAAGGTGCGGCGGTGAGGAGCTTAGTTTGGCTGAACGAAAATAAATAAACAATTTGCCTGCTTGATCTGAGCCCACTCTGCTGCCCAAGGAGAAAAAACCGGGACTAGAAAGGTCAGAAAGACAAGGGAGGGAGTGAGACCTCCAGGATGAGGGCGTACAAAGAACCAAAACCCAGCCACTGCTGCCACCTGAACCTAGCTGCTACTTAATGCAGAGACCTCCGAACGCTGGCCTTTGAGTCGAAGGGATGAGACAAGCCTGAAGCGACAAAACAGACGCAGTACTCGGCCAGCGAGGGCCAACAGCCTGTTGTAGGCGCCCTTACAGTCACCACCTCGCCCCCACCGAGCTCCTCAATGTCGCGAGCAGTGCCTCACCCCGCGGCTAAGGGTCTCGGCTCAAGCCTCGAGCTCTTAAGGCCAACGGGAGAGGCCCTTCGCCCTGGCGCCTCCTGTAGTGCCTGAAAAGGCCCGATTCACCCAACTCCGCAGTGGCCTTTCACCCAGCCACGATCCACCCTCCTGAAGCTTTCACGTGTGTCCCTTCTTCGTGGCCTAGATTGCACGGCAAGGAAAACAGCCAGGAGAGGTCTACCTTCACAGGACTTTCTCACTGCATCAGGCGGCGCCGAAGACAGACCCATGTCTGGGGGCCTGAAAAAGGCCCCCAGAGATGGCGGGGAGACGTGTTGGCTGAGGGTGTGTGGTGCGCCTGCGCAGCCTCGGACCGCTTATGCTGCCGGCTGCAAATCCTTGCTGGTGCAGCAAATGCAATGCTGCGATGCTGCTGCGATGCTGTAATTTCCCAGGCCAGGGACCTGTGCGCCTGTGCCTTGTGAACCTGGCTGTGCTAGCTTCTTCATTGCCGCTGACTTCCTTTATTTGTTAGTAGCTGTTTCTCAGAGGACAAGGTGTAATGAACATGCCTGTGTTCCAGTGCTGTGGCCGCCACTCCCACCCAAAACATGAACATACAGACAAAGTTGATGCAGCTAAGAAAACTGAAATCCAGACAGCTGGGGTTGCCTGACTATTCACTGGTTTAGTTGTCTCTGAGGAAAAGAAGAGCAAAGCGCTCACATGAGGGGATCCCTGGCCTTGTCTGGAAAACTTAGAAATGCTTTAAACAGCTGGAAGGCATAAAGTTGCTTTTGTTTTGAATAGCATGCACAGCAAGAAGAGTACCAGCCTTGACGTTCAATAAGGACCTTTTTTTGAAGGAACTTACTTCATAATTTAAAAGTAAGTCTCTGAGGGCTGGGGGTGTAGTTTAGTGGCACCTTTATTACCTATTATGTATGAGGCTCTAGATTCAACCCCCAATAACCTAAGAAAAACAGGAAAGGAAGGGAGAGAGGGAATTCATTCTACATGGAAGGACGATTGCAAGTTCAAGTCTGGTCTGGAAAATTTTACAAGAACCTACCTCAAAAAGGAACCGAGAGAAACTGGTACGTGGTTCAGCACAAAAGCTCTGGGTTCAATAGCTAGTGCCAGGGTAAAAAACAAAACAAGAGAAATGACAGCTAAAAGCAGTAATCTTCTATATACTGACTTAGTCAATATATGGACCTCTGATTTTTCAATGCACTTCAAAGAATGGAGCTTTGGCTGGGCATGGTGGCACACACCTATAATCCAAAGCACTCAGGAGGCTAAGACAAGAGGATCGTTGTGAGTTTGAGACTAGCCTGGACTACAAAGTGAACTCCAGGCCAGCCTAAACTGCATAGTAAGACTCTGTCTAAAAAAAACAAAAAAAAGAGACGGGATTGATGAAGTATTTTATGGATCTTTCTTTTTTATATAATCCAAAAGGACTATTATTGGAAAAATAAACTCAGGAGTAATGGTATCACATGCCTGTCATCCTAGTGCTCTGGAAGGCTGTGGCAGGAGGATCTCATATTCAAGCTTAGGTTGTGCCTTGCACTTTATAGAAGACCTTGTTTATTTTTTGTTTTTATACTGGGAATCAGAAAGACTTTTATGTTTTTGTCTTTTTGAGACAAGGGCTCACAACGCAGTTCAGGATGGTCTGGAGCTCACTTTGTAGCCCAGGCTGGTCTTGAATTCACAATGATCCTCCTGCCTCAGCCTCCCAAGAACTGGGTTTACAGGGATGTATCACCACACCCAACTGGAGGAGTCATATCAAAAATCAGTTTTAAACCCAAATTCAAGGTTATAATCAGTCTCAGATTAAGTCAAACGATCTGTAGTAGTTCTAAACCAGAGGTGGTAGTAAACCTCTGTAATCCCACTACTGGGGAACCTGAGGCAAGAAAATCTTCAAATTGAGGTCCAGGTAGAGTGTACAACGAGACCTTGCCTCAAAAAATAAAAAGTCAGATATGGTGATGCACACCTGTAATTCCAGTACACAGGAAGCTGAGGCAGGAGGATGGCTAATGAGTTCAAGACCAGTCTGAATTGCATAGTGAATTCTCAAAAAGACAAAAAAATAATAATAACTAAAGCAGGAGGATGACCACAAGTTTGAGGCCAACTTGTGTTATACAGTGAGTTCAAAGCCAACCTAAACTACATAGCAAGACCAGCCAGAGTGACCCATATCTGTAATCCCAGCTCTCGGGAGGCTGAAACAGGAGGATGGCTGCCATTTGAAGCCATCCCGAGATACACAGTTCTGTGTGAGGCCAGCCTGAGCTGTACAGTGACTTCACAACCTTTCTCAACTATATGGTGAGATCCTATCTCAAAAACAGCAGCCTATGTAGTGCTAAGTGGATACATTTTCTTGCATGCTAATAAGACTAATGTTCCCTTGCTGCAGAGAATCATTTCAAGAGATAATTATCTGGAAAACAAGAGGGAAATCTATTAACAAGAATCATGTGAGTATGTATGTACTTTGACCCAGGCAGTCCCATCTTGGAAATTTTTCAAATAATTTAAAAACACAGGACCAGGAATATAGCCCAGCAGCATAGCACTCACCTGGCAGGCACAAGGTCATGAATTTACTTTCTGGTACAAAAATAAAGTATGTGAATTTCAGTACATGCAGTATATAATGAAAGAATAAAATTCAAATTTCCCTAATAAAAAACTTAAAGATAATAAGATCCAAAATGTATAACTACTTTTTTTAAAAATTCTGAATTCTACTCTTTTTTCTGTTTTGCTTTTATTCTCTAAAAAAAAAATCCCAATCTCTACACTTGATAGTTTGGACCAGATAATTCTACTATGTAAAATGTTGGGTTTTCGATTCACTTTTGTTTTTAGCAGTACTAGAGACTGAACTTAATACCACACACTTGACTCTGAGCTATATCCGTAAACCCCCTCTCCCTTTTTTGAGATAAGGTCTTTTTAAATTGCCCAGGCTGGTCCTGAACTGGCAGTTGTCCTGCCATTTTTCATCTCAGGGTCCTTTTTGGGGAAGTACAACAGGAACCAGCTGTAGCATCTCTTAGTTCTTCTGTCAGTATCAACCATTCGGATGACTCTCGCTCATTGCTCGACCGAATTGCTCTCGGTGAAAGCCTGAGAGATGTTTGCTCCTGGTGGCCGTCCTGAGGCACCACACACTGAGATCAGTCTCCTCAGTAGCCTCACAGTCTTGTTGGTCAGAAGACCAGGGACTCACCGAGTGTAGCATGACACAGCAAAGGTTCTCTACGTCCTGTCCAGCAAAGGTCCTCACTGACCTTGGAGGCCAAAATACGAGTTGTCCTCTTAGCCCATTGTCTCTAATTGTTGTCTCCAAACCTCAGTTGTTGAGCATCCAGAAGAAAAGATTGCTAACAGCATAATGTAGTTAGAGGCATTATCATCTGATCTAAATATCAAACATCTTACAGCATAAAATAGAACCATTACTTTTTAATAATCACAGATGTTTTAACATTTGAATACCTGTATGATGTTAACAATCACATATTTTATATAGAAAATGAGAAATCAAAACCATATCTGATGTTAAAACCTGAGAATCATGATGACATTTTTTAACACACTTGAATCTGCATTTTTTAAACAGGAGATATCCCCTGGTTCTGGTCAGTCACCCTATCTAATACATAAAAGCCTTTACCTAACTTGGTGACCTTTAGTAGAATGTACGTCTCCTAAGCATCTGTTAGAGGCAGAAGTCTGAATCTGAAATAAAATTTGTCACCATAAATAATCTGTTTTTACTTTTTTTTTTTTTTTTTTTTTTGTCTTTTTCGTTTTTGTTGGTACCAGGGATTGAACTCACGACTGTCTGCTTGCAAGGCAGGTGCTTATGCCACTGAGGTAAATCCCCAGCCCCTGTTTTTACGTTTTTAAAGACCTATACATCTAGAGGCTTGAATATATAAATATACATGAGGTTAACAATAAACATTTGTCATAACCTCATGAAACCTTTGTATCAGAGCATCTTCATATCAAAAATATTTTGTATTATTTCTTTTAATGATGACCAATGTAAACATATTACAATAATATTTATATAACTTTACTTGGGGTGTCTTCCATAAGGCTAGGGAGATCACTGGGGTCTCTAATCAATGAACAAGGGCTAGTAAAATAAGAAAGGGCCACTTTCTTATTCGTCAATTGAAGTCCTGCCCAATAATCCCAACCCTAAGGGATTTTTGTTTAATCATTTTTTTTTTTTTTGTCTTTTTCCTTTTTATCGGTACCAGGGATCGAACTCACGACTGCCTGCTTGCAAGGCAGGTGCTTATGCCGCTGAGCTAAATCCCCAGCCCCTAATCATTTTTTTTTAATCGGTACCGGGGATCGAACTCCCGACCACGCACTTGCAAGACAGGCGCTTATGCCACTGAGCTAAATCCCCAGCCCCTGTTTAATCATTTTTATAATAATTTTTTGTTAGGGAAACTCCAGTCATAGCATTTAACATATTATTTTTGACCAATGAGAGACTCTCAAGCTATAAGCAACAATGTACATTACATTTACACAAGTGACTTTAGCATCATTTGGACTAACTGAGAACCCAGGTGGAAGCAAGTGTTGTAATTGTATAACTCAGATAAACCTTGATTTAATGATCTATAAATGCAAAAGAAAAAGAGAAATTGCTGAGTTCAAAATAAAAAGAACAGCTGTTCACAGACAGACAAACGGACACATGGACTGACAATCTGTACAGATTCAAACAAATGTAGAAACAAATGCAGAGTTGTTAGTGTCCACAAAAACTCTCCAAGTTTCTGGGGGCTATTTCATGCCCCTTTGCTGAACTAGCTCGCTTCTTACACCAAGTGTCCTGGAGTCTGAAACACTTGTCACCTCCAGCACCCCCTTGCCCTCAGGAAGTTTTTCAGGCATCCTGTGCCACCTGGGCATTCCTGTCCGGGTGCTATTGCCTTCATTCCTGACTGGTGCTATTGCCTTCACATGTGTGAGTGATCACTAGCTCAGCGACTTCCAAGAACAGCTTAACAGACTGGACAAACAAACAGGTACACACACAGATTTACAAACATCTTTCGCAATCAGAGTGTGCTAAAATATATTTTAGCCAAACTGAATTACACAAAAAAATTTTTTTTATTACACAAAATTTTTACAACTGTAGAATTTGTCATTTTAAGTGTACTAGTCACATTTGTAGTAGGTCAGTTAGCAGAGATCTCTTATCAGAGAATTTGAAAAAGACAAAAATCTTATCTATAATTAACATAGTTTTGTCATAGGACTTAGCACGTACTTTTATCATCTATTTGGACCTTTTTTATTTTTGGTTACCATCTCCTGGGCATCTTGGTCAATTAAGGTTGTTCTAGCTTCATCCTTTTCTATGGGTTGTGGCCTGGGCTCTGAGGCATCACTGTCTGAGGACTGAGCATCTGTTTCTGGAGAGGTGGGATCAACCCCTTTCCTGGGTTTGGGCCCTCGATATAGCTGGACAGCACACACTGGCACCCAGATAGGCCATTTATCTTTTCCTGGAAAAACACAAACACACCCTCGACCCCACATTGGCACTGGACTGGGTGCTTTTATTGTCCAGTATGAAGATCATTCCTGTTGTACTCTAGGAAAAAATAGCTTTGTTATATGTGTATTATAGCAAAACCTGTAACGGAGCCTACTGTGTATGTGTTTTCCTTTTCCCTCTGGATGACTTAATTGATATGTTAAGCAATGCTCTTCTCTGTAAAGAATTGTAAAATCTTAGCTAATTGATATGTTAACCATTGTTGCTCTCTACAAATAACAGATGCGGTGCTAAGATAAGCTAACAGGAGTTGTTAATTACTCCTAGGCTTCCCCATTCTCTGCTGAGGAAAACAGGATTTCTTCTCATCTAAACTTGCTTGTATGCAGGGAGACTTGCTTGTTAGCACAACCCTTACCTGACCTTGCGCTCCCCAAGGAATGTAATCTCGCCATATTTTCTGTTCTGTAATGCGCCGCACTGCCTTTCCCCTTTCCCAACCCGGTGTAGTCTTCATAAAATGTGCTAATTGCGCTGTTCTTAAGAAATGCTTAACTTCAAAGAAATTACAAAAAATGTTGTGGCTTAACCCTAATGCACCAAAAGGGTTAAGTTCCAAATCCTTGTAAAAACTTAAATTTCAACTTCTTGTAACTTTCGACCCTTTCTCACAGGTTAGCGCTAACAAGCTGTCCTGGGATAATTAACTTTCTATTTTCTTCCCAAAATGTTATTGCAGATGTGCTATTCCAAGATAATACTTATCTGCAGGATGGGAGTAAATTGTAAGGTGCCAAAGGCTCCCAACATTGTCAGAACTAAGTGGAAAGCTTTACAGTTTCCAGATTTGGGGTCAACGGGCTGGAGATTTAGCTCAGCGGCATAAGTCCCTGCCTTACAAGCAGGCGGTCGTGAGTTCGATCCCTGGTACCGATAAAAATCAAAAAGACAAAAAAAAAAAAACAGATTTGGGGTCAACAGTTTAACAGCTCTGAGGGTCTCCTTTGCCCCTCCCCCCCCCCCGCCTTTTAAATCCCTTTCTCCAGTCTCTGGCGCATGAAGTCTCCAAATTGGCTCCCGGAGACTCATCGCCAGGCCTGGCCTAAATAAAGCCTTTGCTCCCCAAATTTAATTTCTTGCTTCCTTGGATTTTATTCTGGGGTCTGAGTTACCACATTGACAACTAAAATTGATTTAAGTAAGCAAAAAGGACCTCAATAAATGTAGAGTTACATTAATCTTGAATTTAAAACAAGTACCTCTGTAGTAAACAATTTTGAAAACACAATGGAGTTTGAGAATTTAGGTTACCCAATATCAAGACCCACTACAAAGCCATAGGGAGACAGTGATGTGCTGGAGCCAGCCTGATCAGGCCTGCTGGAAGTTCTGAATTTACATGGAGTGGCCCAATGATCCCGTCCTGTACACTTTGGACAGCCCGTGGAAGGTTTGGCTGAATGGATAGTTAGTGGCTCAGTTAAGGTTATCAGTGTGGGGGTCGGGCTGCCACCTTTTCCCTGCTTGGGGACCTGATTCTGAAACAGTGCCTGGAGCCACTTCCCTTGTAATCCTCTCAAGAAGCTTAAGGTTATTAATGTTATGGCTTAACTCTAACCAGTGTGCCTCCTCTTATTCTGTATGCACCCATAGGGTTAAGTTTCTAATCCTTGTGAAACTTAAGTTTCAGCTTCTTGTAACTTTCTCCCCTTCCACATGTTATTGCTAACGAGCTGTCCCAAGATAATTAACTTTCTACTTTCTTCTCCACATGTTATTGCAGATGTGCTATTCTGAGATAATGTTTATCCACAGGATGGGAGTACCAAAATGCACTAAAAGCTCCAGATGTTATCAGAACTAAGTCCACAGCTTTACAGTTTCCAGATGCTGTCAGGACTAAGTCAACAGCTTAAAAGCACTGTGGGGTTTTCTTTCCTCTCTCTCTTGCTTTTAAAATCCTTTTCTTCAGTGTCTGCGGCGCGCAGTCTCTGGGTCGATCCTAAGGGGGCTGCATCACCAGGCCTGAAATAAAAGCCTTTGCTCCAAATTTCTTGATTCCTTGCTTCCTTGGATTTTATTCTGGGGTCTGAGCTATCTCAATTAAGACCCTGTGTCATCCAGATCCACAGAAGGAATGTAAATACTGGAATCAAGCATACAGCAAACAGGTCCTTATGCATTTGTGATTCTTTTGGATAAGTTTGCCCCACAGTTAGACAGCTGATATAATTAATATATCTCTTTTTTTTTTCTTTTCAGGGGAAGAGGTTTCCCTCAGGAAGACCATTTATAACTGGCCCTAGAGAATAAGGGATTTTCAATGCCCCACTCTACACCTGATGACGCCAATATCAAGACCTTCCAGTGATGACTACTGACCTGTACCAATGCACTTCTCCCCTTAGTCTCATGCACATGAGAAGTGTCCCCCTCACCCTCAGTCTCCAACCCCGTCTGTGTTCTGGCACCATATGCCACAACTCAGTGCAGCTCCTGAGGTTCGTGGGGTTAAGGACCTGTGAGAGGATGAGAAAAAGAAAAGACAGAACTGGGGTCAGGGGGAGCCCTTATCCTCCTGATGGGAGGAAAGGAACTGCTCAACCTCTGTAGCACCTTTGTTTACACTGGGAAAGACGAGGTCAATTTCAGCGCTCTGCCTAGCAGCCCATGGCTTGGCAGGCCTGGCCCCTGCCTTATTGGTGCTGGAACAACTTTTTTACATAGCTGGTTTTGGTCTCTCTGTTTTTTTTGGGGGGGCTGGCCTTGCTTTAGCCTCACACATGTGATCAATCTCCAGCTTCAATGGCTTCCTACACCATGCGAGTAAGTGTGTATTCAGGCACACACATATAACCGTGGACACATATGTAACTGGGGCGATCTAAAATCATGAGTTCTTACTGATATTTCTTGTTGTCACCCAGTAGCAAAATGTTCATTGCCTGTTTTCATATTGCTTACTTCCTTTTCTGGCCATCATGTACTTAATGCTTATTAGCCAGGTGCAGTGAGAAATTCTAACTACTCAGGAGATTGAGGCAGGAGGGTCACAAGTTCAAGGCCAGCTTGGACAACTCCATGAGACACTATCTCAGTCAATCAATCAGACAGTCAGGATGTAGCTCAGTGGTACAGTGCTGCTGGGCTCGACCCCTAGTACCACAAAACAAAATAGCACTGAAGTCTCACTCTTAACATTTGCACTTATTACCCCTATAATACAGGGCCAGTGGGTTCATCATTATCTAGCGAGGCAACGTGATTAGCCAACTACTCACCAATGAGAGCTCCATGCTACTGTTCTTTCTGTCTTTACTCTGAGGCTCTATAGTTGAAAACTAGTTTTACTTCTTTTCTGTGGTTGTGAGCATTTAAATATGGGTATGGTCAACTTGCCTTTGTCCGCTTTAGAGTTTCCTCCCAGTCTATTGACTTCACTATTTTTGGGATATAGAAAGTGCAAAGATAAAACTGCAGAAGCTCGTGCCACTTCCTCCTCCAGCCTCTTCTGTCCTCTCAGCTCGCCCTGCTCCTCTTTAACTTCCTTAGGTGACCAGTCTCACTAAGTTCCAGCATGTCTTCCTTTGTATGTCTTTTTGCAGAGATAACTGAACATGTGTGTGTTTTCCCATTCCTTTCTAGTATCAGTGCAGGTTGAAGATCCGAAGTCTCAAATTCTCCAAGCCCTGGAACCTTAAGGGCAAACACCATGCCACAAGGAGACCCCACAGATGACTCCCTGTGACCCTCACAGTCAAAGCACAGGTGTGTGGCAGCTTCTCCCCAGATGCCTGCTGGCCTGAAGCCTGAAGCCTGAAGCCCACTGTCTCCAGCCCCAACCGCATGCTGGCGAGGGTCAGAGCTGGGTGCAAGGAGGGGGCTGAGCTGGGGCCACTGGACTCACTTGAGGACCGGGAGATGGAGCTAAAGCGTTAGGTTCTATTTATGAAGGAGACAACTGTTTCTGGGAATTATGTCCAGTTTCATTTCCACATGGGATAGATGAAAAGGTGACCCCCAATGCCTTTTGAGTAGAGATTTCCTGGATAGAAACATACCTCCAGCCCTGCCCCAATTACATGTATGAAGGCTTTTAAAAAAACAATAACATATCATCGCTGTAAAGCAAAGTAAACTGAAGTTCCGGGAAGCAGTGGAAATTAACCTGAGAACAGCAGTGACCTATACATCCTTTGACTACGCCAAGGAGAATAAAGAGCTGTTTGCAGAGAATCACTGTTCCATTCGTTCAACATCCATAGCACTGTCATCTCAGTTGAAACTCCTACTGTTATGGCTTGTGTCTAGATGCCCCTCCAAAGCCTCCTGCAGTCATAGGTGGGGCATTGTCAGAGGTGACCAGATCTAGAGTGTGTGATAGGTGCAGTGATAGGATTAAGGGTGGGTGGTTACTAAATCAGCCCACTGATTGGTTTGGTCCTAATCCTGGCAGCATGGATACAGAAATAAACTCATCTTACCCTCTCCCTTGATGCCCACCAAGAACTTTTCCTGTGCCTCTCCACCTTGCCTGGAGCCAGCTGAGGGTGGACTGAAACCTCTACAAACTGGGAGCTAAATAAACCTCCCTTATCTTGTGGGTGTTGGGTATTTTGTCTATCTAACAAGAGAAATGTAATTAACACACCTAGTATAACCCCATCAAGTTAGAAAAACGACAAAAAGGACAACTTTCAAAAACTCAGAAACACAAACTGGCAGATAAAACAGATCAGGAAGAGGAGCTTGCTCCGGGCTGGAATTGGGTTGATTTGGTGAAGCACTGAGGAGCACAGACCTGAAGGGGACAACTAGCCCTTGGAATCTGAGATAAGGGAAGAGTGTCCCTTAGAAAGTAAACTGGTTTCCACAGCTTTCATTACCATTTTCTGGTACTGAGGTGTTGTTTTTTTTTTTTTTTTTAAGTATATAGAATACGGTTTTTGTATATTGCTTACACAATAGATGTAAGCGGAAAGTTCATGAAGAGATCTGGTCAATTAAATTATTTTTACAAAACTGCCTTAATAGATGGTGGAAATGTTACTGTTCAGTATGCAGTAATTTATGAAGCCTGTTAAGCTCTATAAATTTACAAACATAAGGAGTAATCAGTTTATTTATATGAACTTACTCTAGTGGATGTGGTGGCTTTTCAAGGAGAATGAGAACGTGTAGACAGTTACTTCATAGCATGATCCACATTAATAGGTTTGTACCCCAAAGTCTTTATCTCTTCTCTTACTTAACTAGAAGCAGAATTACATCAAAGAAATTTAAATAGCAGTGTTTGCACTTTATTTCATGCTCTTTGTAGTTACTTTTTATTTTTCAACAATGAACTCCTTTCATTTTAAAAAAACTGACAACTGTTTAGACTTTTGATTTGGGTCACAATGTTTTTTGTTTTGTTTTGTTTTTTGTCTTTTTGAGACAGGGTCTCACTATGCAGTTGAGAACCTTGAGCTCACTTTGTAGTCCAAACAGGCCTCAAACTTGCAGTGATCCTCCTGCCTGAGCCTCCTGAGTGCTAGGATTATAGGCGAGCACCACCATTGGCTGGGTCAAGGTGTTTGATCTTGAGAGCTTTCAATGGTGTGAGTAATAGGTGAGCATAAAAGCCAATCTAGGGGGCTGGGGATTTAGCTCAGCAGCATAAGCACCTGCCTTGCAAGCAGGCAGTTGTGAGTTTGATCCCTGGTACCGATTTAAAAGAAAAAAAAGCCAATCTGTCAGATACGTTAGAAGACTTTTGCATAAACCAAGGTGTGTTGGTGCAATCTTGTAATCAAAGCACTCTGGAAGTTGAGGTAGAATTATACATTGGAGGCCAGCCTGGGATACATAGGGCGAACTTGTCTCAAAAACAAAACAAAAGACAGAGAAGGAGAGAAAAGAAAAAATTGCATCAATATTATTTAAACATTTCATTTTGCACTCAGGAGGCTGAGGCAGGAGGATTGCCGTGAGTTCAACGCCAGGCTGGGCTACATAGTGATTTCAAGGCCAGCCTGAATAATATAGCCAGATCTTGTCTCAACACCCCCCAAAATGTAAGTAAATAAATAGTAGAATGAAAAAATGTTTTCTTTGCTGCATATACTAGTATGGGAGTAAGTGATACCTTAATAATTTGTATATTGTTGGAAACAGTGATTTTCATAAAATTTTATTTCTGTGTCTGATGTGTTTTTGTTGGATAACTGAGGTCTTTACATGGTTCAACAAAAAACCACATTTGAAATCTTGCTCTTTTTTTGGTACTAGCAATTGAACTGTGGACTAGGCAGCCACTGTGCTGTTGAGGTACATCCCCGGCCCAAACCTTCCTTTGTTTTTGTAGTGACTTTTCAAGCCCAATGTATTTATCAGTCTGCATCTTTTATAATGTACGTGGCAGTCTTTTCAGATGCTGAACTGTTGTCCATGCTTGGCTTTGAAACTCATTAAGAAAGGACACTATTGGTGTACATTTACTAGGAAAATTTATTGATGTTTGTTGTAATCCCCTTTCTTGTCCTCCTTGAAGTCCAGAAAGTTTGTATTTGTAATCCTTTTGAGGTGTTATTGGAATCCTTATGAGTTCATTCCAATCTATCACCTACAGTGCAACCGAGGCAGGAGTAAAGACACTAACGTGTATTTACAGTTATGGGCAGCCACGGGGTCCTGAGTCTGGTCCAGGTGAGGATTCACAGGACAAAGGCCTCACCCAGAATTCACTCATTCATGACGAAGGGAGTGGCTGGAGGGTCAGTGACTGAGAATTACATGAGTGCTGTGAGCTGGGCTGGCCAGGGGGCCAGAAAGCTCCTCTGCAATATGCAGAGAGAAGGCTATGCAGAAAGACCAATCTGCATCACAGAACCGGAGCAGCATTTGAACGTTGAGGAAGCTGTTGCTTCAGTTTCTGATATGTAAACTTTTATTCCCTGGGAAGTCATGGCCTCTCATCCTGAGGCTTGGACCCAGTTGACATTCCTGGAGCTATGTGGCTCTGCCACCCCGCTGTGCTCAACTGTTCATAGGGAGACACAAGGCAAGGAAACAGTGACTATTATCTAGCTTCAAAGATTCCACATCAACACCTCAGCCAGCCGTAGTCACATTGCTTAGAGCCAATTGAAGGGAGAAGGAAATGGCTATGCCAGCTCTGTATGTATCAGTATGTGGAGGTAGCTGTTCTGCATTCAAAGAGGGCCATCCAAATGGTCTTCTACAGATGTTTGTATGTGATTTATAGTGACTTTATGTGGCCTCTCAGTTTTTGTTTGTTTTGGGGGAACAGGGTCATGCTATGCAGTTTAGGCTGGCCTTGAACTCCAGGCAGTCCTGTCTCAGCTTCCTAAGTGCTGGGATTATAAGAATTCACCACCACACCTGGCCACCCCTCAGTTTTAAGAACATGACACTTCTGCTGTATATCTGGGAGGCTGGATTGTTGTGGGTTTTTTCTTTTTCTTTCTTTTTTTTTTTTTTTTTTTTTTTTTGTATTTTTACCGGTACCAGAGATTGAATTCATGACCACATGCTTGCAAGGCAGGTGCTTATGCCACTGAGCTAAATCCCCAGCCCCTGAAAAGTTAATTTTTAAAGAAATTACCTTAGCATAAGAGCAATCTGAAGGTTGGGGACATAGCTGAGCAGCACAGCTCCTGCCTGACAAGTGTGAGGTTGTGAGTTCCATCCCTGGTACAAAAAAAAAAAAAAAAAAAAGCAATTTGAAACGTATCTGTGGCTTTTAAGGTTTGGCTTTGGTTAAAGTATTTGAATTATAAAGTAAGTATAATTACAGAGGAGTTTAATCTCATTTTAAAAAGCTGAATCATATTTTGTTTCTTGAATTAGAATTAAGTTGCCAATTAGAATATGCCAACTGTGTGCTTTTTGTTATGTTGATATGTTTTTCGAAAGCAACATCTGGGAGTGAGAAAAGATTTTTTGTTTCTTTTGTTCTGAAGATTCTGAAATTGTTCAGGCTTATGGAGTTTGCTAGATTATGAAGACTAATGCTAGCTGATTACCAGTAAACTATTTTTATCATTTTTATGTGAAATTACAAATTTCTGGGCGTGATGGTGGCCACAGGGTGCTTCTTATGACACTTCCACCAACACTGCCCTCATCCCGGTATATTTTCTCAAAGCCTCCTTACCTCAGATTATATGGAATGACATAGCTAATAAGCAATAAAGTCTGAATTACAAAAAAGCCCCACTACAAGTACACCAAATATTCCATACAGTTACATGCAGCTACAGTATAAGGTATTTCTGAAATAAAAAGGAATTTCGTATTGTGACTTGGGTCTCACTACCAAGATATCTCAAGATCAGTAACGCAGATATTCCAAAACCCAAACAAAACGTCTGAAGCATTTCCAGTTTACACGTATTTGGGTGAGGGATATTCACCTGTACACTAAGCTTTTTGTTGCTGTTACTTTTATAACGCAGCAATCTGCCTTAGACGTCACCGAGGTTCAGTCGTGTAAAGCGCCCTGTTTGAGCCTCAGCCGCACGCGCTCTGTCCTGCAGATGCTTCTTCCCTTATTCAGTGGTGAAGTGCTTTGCTAGTTTGCAGGGCCTGGCGATTTCAGACTGTGCTACCCTGAGCAAACTTGTGCGTGTTTCCGTTGCCCTCCTCGGTAGCAGACTTTGGGGTGCGTCCCTAATACGGACTGTCTCATCAAAAGCAAAAATACAGCTCATTTTGTTTGAAATCTCCCCTTTCACATCCCTATAGCGGTATCCACTGGTGCTCCCAATATTCTAAAGCCTCATCAACTGAATACTGACCCACCTTTTACACTTTTGTCCATCTAATAGGTGAAAACACAGTCTCTGAGTGATTTCGGTTAGTACTTGTCTTGCTTTGAGACAAGTTGAGCCTTTTTGTTTGTTTTTTTGCATGCAAGAGTCATTTTCTGGCATTCAAAGGGATTTGCTCTTTGGTGTTTTTTTTTTTCATTTTTCTGCTGGGGTTTTGGTCTCTTTTTATCAAATCCCTTTACATCACAGGGATGGTCATGCCTTACTCGTTGTCCTAGATTGGGTCAAAAACCTTTTCCTGAAAGGCTCTTCTGTCTCTAGCGGGGGCTTTAGGAAAGTGACTGGATGTTCAGGCACTGCACGCACAATAGATAGGTGAGGGAGGGCTGGGCACCCCTGGCTTGCTGGGGCTGTGATCAGTTAGAAGTTAAAAAAGTCTTGGGCCACATGTAAAATATATAGTCTATGTAGACAGTTACAAAACAGCTTTTTAAGAGATACTTTTGAAAGGGTTTTGGCCCAGACAGGACACTGTAGCCAGGAAAGCCTCAACCGGAACCAGGAAGCCCCTATCTCCCCCGCCCCTAGGAATTTACCTGTGACACCATCTTCCCGCCCCTGGAAACTTATCTATGGCGCCAAACCTAGGACCAATGGGCTACCTGTGCATCCCTGATGCCCTCCTTAGGTTCCACCCCAAATCGAGGCTATTTACATACTCCCAACACCACGCTGGAGAGATTGCTGGACGCCAGCGGTGGGGGGTGTCAGCATCTCTCTCCATGTTCTCAAAATAAAGGCCGCTTTTTGTTTTATACTTCTCATCTTTTGGAAATATTTTTCATCTTTTGGAAATAATCCTATCAATGTGTTTTCTGCCTTAGAGTCAGCTGACCATGGACTGAAGGTCCACCCACCCCACCCCACCCCAAGAAAGGATACATTCTTCATCCTTTAAGTTGTGGGTGTCAGGTGCTCAGTCCCAATACCAGCAAGCTGACTAATACATCTATGTTATATGTTGCAAACATTTTCTCCCAGGTTTTTAATTTGTCCCTTGATCTTGTGGTGAATTTGTTGCCGTGCAAATTTTTGTTGTTTATATATAGTAAAATTGGTCAACCTTATTTTGCTTCTGGAGTTTGAGTCATAGAGAACTTTTTTCTGTAGTCTGGTCACAGAGGTCTTCACTCATGAACTCTTAGTTCTCTCAATATTTTGGTTTTCCTATTTGGATCTCTGAAACATCTAGAGTCTCCTTTTGGATGGAGTATAGATCCAGTTGGATCCCTTTCCTAATGGCTATCCAGTTGTCTGAGCAGGCTATTATTCACAAAGTTGGTTTTTTTATTTAGAGAAAAAAAGCAAAATAGACAAACGGATAGAAATAATAACAGAACTTCAAAAAAATAACTAAGAAATCACTAGTTGATAAATGACATATTGTTATTTTAGAAGTAGTTGTTCAAGTTGCAAAATCAAAGCATTAAAAAGTGGACAAACAATGACAGTATAAACCATTCTGTTTGAAGAACTAACAAAAACTTAGTAGTATGGTCATCTATCTTGCACACTTAAACATATATACAGTTATATCCTTTAGAGCACTTTCTTTCCCTTTCATTATCACAATATCTATTATACATTCTAATTACTCTTTTAGTGTATTGTTATTTTTTTATACTAGAGAGACAATATAATATTGACAAATGTGAGTCTGATTTATTTCACTTATGAGGATGGTCTCATGTTGCCTCCATTTACCTACAAAAGCCTCAAGATCAGCCCTCTTAATAGCTGAGTACACAAATTTGGTTTTGACCCCTGATTTCTTCACATACTTAGTATATATCTAGTCTTTTTTTTTTTTTTTTTATTGGAATTGAACCCATGCTAAGCAAGTTGGGCTACATCCCCCTTTTTTGAGACAGGGTGTCACTAAATTGGCCACGCTATCTTGGGGTTTGTAATTCTCCTGCCTCCGCCTCCCAAGTGGTTAGAATTATAGGTATGCGCTACCACATCTTGCTTATTTCACTCCACTTGTCTGTATTCATAACAGTACTTCATTGTTTTAATTAGAAAGCCTTTATAATGCATGTTAATATATGGTAGAGTTAGACCCTGCTGGTAGCTTTTTGTTTTTCAGGTATTCCTAGATATTCTTACATATTTATTCTTCCATATGAATTTTAGTGTCAATTTATGGTCTAGGAAACAATATTTTGACATTTTTTGTTTTGACTTGGGGGAGGTTATTGGGGATCAAGCTCACGACCTTGCACTTACTGTGCAAGCACTTAAGCCACTGACTTAAATGCCCGTCCCCTGTTTTGACATTTTTATTAAAATTACATTCAATACATAAATTAACTTGGAGAAAGCGACGTATTTATTTCATTGAGTCATCCTTTCCTAGAACAAAAGATCCTGTTCAAATCTGTCTTTGCAAATGTTTCCCGCCAGCTCCGAACCCGCGGCCCAGCTGCCCTGAGTCCCACCCGGGGCTGCACCTGGGGGCCAGGGCCTCTGCTGTCCCCGCGCCTGCGCGCCAGCGGACCTCGCTCTGCACCAGCGCGCCCTCTACTGGGGAAATCACCTGCAGCAGCGCCACGGTCGCCTCTGCCCGACGCAGCCCCAGGCAGGCCCTGCCCTGGCGGCTCTGTGCTCCCTCCCTGCACCCCAGAGCAGTGGGCCCGGACCGCCTGGGCCGGCGACTGCACCCTGAGGAGCAAAGAAAAGCCTAAATCCGAAGGAAGGTCTGCTGCAGAGTTTTCGGTTTTTTGGGTTTTTTTGGCTTTGATTGTTGTTTTGGTTTGGCTTTGCCCCCTACCGCCTTCGTCCTTTTTTAAAAAAAAAAAAAAACTTTTATTTCATGGGTAACATTTTAGATACACATAACATTCACCAGAGGGAATTTGTACCTGCATTTGATACCTCTCTCCTTTTTTCCCGTTCCCCTCCCCTCCCTCCAACCCCTCTTCCCTCCTTATTTACCAAAGCTCTGTTCCCATTTTTTTTCCTTCTAGTCTTTATTTTTTGTGTTCCTTTTTCCTTTCCCCCTCCCTACTCCCTTGCTCCCCTTCCCTGAGCGCTTTCTTTCTGTTTAGGGTCGTGAGTTCTTTTTGGGTTCCAGTGTCCAAATCCTGGAGACAGAACTCAAAGGCTAAGATAAACTGAAATGGCTTTGGGGAAACCGTGTGTGATGCTGCACACCCATAATCTCAGCACTGGAGGGCCTGAGGCAGGAGGATCCTTGCAAATTGGAAGTCCAGCCTGGGCTACAAAGTGAGCTTGATATCAGCCTGAACTGCAGAGTGAGACCCTGTCTCAAAAGACCAAAAAAAAAGCCATTTAAGGCCAGAAAAGTGGCCCAAGGAAAGGATGACTTCTTTAAAGGGTAAGATAATAAATGTCACATAAATATAAAATGGATTCAGGTCAAATATTTTATTCATTAATGAAAGAACCAGCAAGGAGTAAAAGGTTCAGCAGAGAGTCCCAGCCACAGATACACATTTAGGTGGGCAGGACTGCGAGACCAAGCTCTCTCGTGCTGCTGCTACCCTGGTGACTTTCCCTGAGTTATCAGATCTTTGCACAAAATCTGATTGCATCTTCATAGGCAAGAATCACTTGTCTTATTGGTTTCTACAATACAGTGAGCTGTCAAATAACTCAGGGCACAAGGAGAAGTGCAGTCCTTCTACAACCAAGATGATTGCTGAAAGGATCATCAGATAATTCCAAGATTTTACCATGTCTAAGGAGAAGATCTGGAATTCAAACTCGAGCTAGAAGTCTCTGTATGTTCCGGCTCTTTCCTCTGAGCTTTAGGAAAGCAGAGAGTCCTTTTCTAGTAATTTGGGGCACTGATCACTTATCCCCCCCCCCAATTACAAATCCCCTGAGAAATCCTCATAGCTGTTCCCTGGAGGGCCTGGAGGCTGGCCCAAGCCCTGGGCAGATGGCAGAGGAGCTTCAAGACACCCCCAGCACCCCGTGTTTCTGAGGAGGTAAAGAAGAGACCGTGGAGGCCCAGGCTCCGGTCAGTTCTCCGCTTTGGCAGTTTGGGGGCGCTGGTACAGCCGGATGATGCCTTCGTCATGCAGCCGCTTCCAGACGGCTCTCTCTAACTTGAAGTCATGGTTTATGTAAAAGATGAGTTTTTTCCACGTTTTATCATAATAATGATCAGAAAAGCGCTCATGGCCCTCGGTGATGAAGCCGTAGGCGCTCACCTAGGTGAAGGGTGGAGGAGAGACACGGCCTTCTGGGGGGGGGGGTTGCCTCCCCGTGGGCTAACTCGTGTGCAGGTCTGGGGGCTGGTCGCTGTGGTGCGCATGTGCACTCGGGGCTCATCCTGCAGCCTTACCTGGTCACAGAGCTGCAGGGCTGTGAGCAGCAGGAGGGCGCCCGTGGTGGGTCGGTATATCCTCCAGTGGTTGGTGTTCAGGGTGTTGGACCTCAGAAACCTATAAAATGCCCCAGATCCCAGCTGAGGAGAGCCTTACGGGATAAGAGGCAACGGGTCTTCCACGTGCTTTCTGCTCCCACCTGTTCTTCATGTAGCGGAGAAGGTCTGGGTGTAGCAACAGGTATCTGTCCAAGTGCAAGTCTTCCCGAAAAGCTTCCTGGGGCCTGCGCCTGTGGTCAGGGACGGGTCACTCGGGCTCAGTTCTGCTAGCTGGCCTGAGAGGGCCGAGTCGAGGTCCCAGGCATGACGGGTCCTCCATCTCCAGGCAATAGCCAAGGCTGTCCCCACCAGTCCTACCCTTTGTAGCCACTCGATTCACAGTGCATCGTGGGGTGAGGGCGTGGAAGGAGGAGAGTGGGTACCTGAACCAGAAAAGGTTCTGTTTCACCAGGGTCTGATTCAGAAGCATTGCTTCTAGCCACTCATAGTCCCGGGTGCCTTCCAGGAAATGCAGGTAGCGAATGTCCTGAAGACCAAGACAGCCGGCTCAGAGGAGCGTCCCGGGGGCCGCGGGCTGGGGGCTCCCTTGCCGGCTCCCCCAGGTCTGGTTGCCCTGCCTGCCCGGGGCCCTCGTGTGCACAGAGCCTGTACCAATCACAGGCTCCCTCCACACCCGGGCCCATGTCCCTCTCTGTCCGCAGGCTTGCTTCCTTAGAGTCTGCACAGCCGGGCTGTCTGTCCCTCCGCTCACCTTCCCGACGGGCACCTGCCGGAAACCCCGACCGCCCAGGGACAGCAGCGACTGGGTCAGGGAGAAGGCCGTGAAGCCGTAGAAGGAGGTCCGGGTTCCCACATCCTGCTCGTAGCCTTTAATGAGAGCCCCGCTCAATCTGCATAGAAAGATAAAACTCAGAGCCCGGGGGTGGAAAGGGGCAGGACGGGAGATGCAGAAGCTCGGTGCCGATGCTCTGGAAGCCCAGCCACTGCCCCTTCCAGGTAACTCGGAGGCCCACGCCTGCAGGAGAGGGGCCGGGAGGAGCCCAAGGCCAGCCTACCGGAACACGTAGTCGTGGCTGTCTATCTCTCGGCCGATGTGGGAGTTATTCAGGATGCCACCATTGCCCACCACGGCGCAGGTGATGCAGCGGGAGCTCCCTGGAGGCAGGCTGGCCAGGAGCAGCTGCTGCTGGGGCACGGGTGGGAAGCGGGTCACCACCTTCTGCACCACTGGGACAAGAGGACAGGCTCCATTCAGAGCATTGTGAGGGGCCGGCTTCCGCCATCATCTCCTAGGCCTGGAGGCCCCCAGGAAGGAGGCCGGCTGGAGGGAGGAAGCCCGCGGCCCTGTGCCCAGGCCTGGGGCGCTCACAGCAGCCCCCCTAGGGTGAGGACTCACTCACAGGACTGATTGAGCTCCATGAAGCCAAAGGGAGGTGCGAAGTGTTCCAGGCGCTTCCACTCGCTCTGGTTGAAGTGTCTGGAGTCCAGGAAGAGAGTCAGGTTGGGCAGAAAGAGATTCTGGAGCCATGGTGACTTGGAGGCTTTGACCTTCACTGAGTCAGGGCATGCCTACGTGCAGGAGGGCACAGAGGTTGGGCAGAGAGCACCGGAAGGCCAGGGCCATCGTCTCAGGGCCTGGCAGGCGCTGTCTCCATCCTCCCTCATCCCGCAGCCTCACTGTCTGGGCCCACTGTGGTCCCAGGGGTCCAGGGGAACAGGCACCTCTGGGCAGATACACCTTTGTGTGAGAGATGCCCAGGGGCAGATGCCCAATGTGCCGTGGAGCCAGGGTCCATCTGGCTTGCGTTTGGAACGCAAGGGTGTGAGAGGAAGACTGCGGGTGGGTGTCACTGTGCCTAGTAGCTGGTCAGGGCTGGAAAAGAGTGAAGGAAGGCCTTAGGGTTGGCTTTGAGGGAAAACAAGTCCTTTCAGGGAATGGGGCTGGGTGTGAGGTTGGGGCCTTCGCATCGGTTAGTCCTGCCAGAGGACGAGGATCCGTGTGTCAGGCCCCAGAGCTGGTCGCACTCTCCAGCCTGGATTGGCGAGCCCCTCCCAGGGCCCCACGGAGGCCCCTCCTCACGCACACCTTCCTAGGGGCAGGTGCCCACCGCAGGAAGGAAGGACCGGGCGGGAGCAGTGCAGGGCTGGCAGGCTCGGGCAGCCCAGAGGGGAGGGAGGGACAGCCGCCTCTCTAGAGGGGCAGGAAGGGAGAGAAGAGATGGCAGCACACACTCACCGTCTGCAGACCCCCCACATCAAAGCTGTACTTCTCCTCAAAATCCCACCGGGGCTCTGACTTGAAGTTGGCAGCTTTCAGCCCTGGTGTGGTGGGGCACGGGGAAGGGGCCACGGTGGCCTCCGCCGCCTTCTCTTTAGCTGGGACAGTGGCTGTGGTCTTTGCTTTCTCTCTGACTATTGTTGTCATTACTCCTGTGGTGGCCAACGCTTTGCCCTGGTTCCTTGTTAACACTGCCCTTGTAGCTGTCAGCCTCCCGTTCTGGTCCCCACTGTTCCTTGTCTTCATGTCCTGAGTCTGTAACGTCAGTGTCTCTGTCCCAATGGAGGACATCTCCTTGCGCTGACCTCTGGGTGGCAGTGCGTCCACCTGGGTTTTCTCTTCTCCCTGTCTCTTCAGTAATGCTGCCCTCGCTGTGCCAGGGACCATCTCCTGCTTCCACTGTGGTGCCTGGGTGGCCTCTGCCCTCCTGTTCCCATTAGCCAGGTGGACTATGAGCCTAGGGTCTGTGTCCAGGGAGCTGTTCTCGTGCACTGGCTCTGCACGGACACTTGTCCTCTGTTGCAGGATGGGAGCCAGGGACATAGAGTTTTGCAGTGACTTCCAAGCCCACTTTACATTGTTCCACGAATACTGATACCTAGGGACATAAACAATTTCGATGAAGGCGGGAGACCGTGGAAAGAGTATAACTACTGTTCACTTGTGTGCCTCAGATGGACTTTAAAACAGCGTCTGCAGCAGTTACACTGAGCCCTTCAGCCCTGCGTCTGGAAAGTTGCCTCCGAGCCGTACCCGCACCTGGGCAACAACAGGAGTTCGGGGCACTGCAGCTGGATGCCAAGAACGAAGCTGAAAGGTCCCCCAATTAAAGTGTGTTTGTGGAAACACAGGGCATCCCTCACGGAGATGCAGGATTTCAGAGGCAAAAGGTGGAAGGCCTGAGTGAGAGAAACCAGGAACACAGCAGCACCCCAGGGCTGGAGGAAGCAGCGCGCCCCTGCCTGAGGTGAGAGCTCATTTGTCAGTCCACCATGTGGGCATCAGGGGCTACTGAATTACGCAGTGCGGTGGGGAAGGGTGTTGAAGGATGGCCGCGCGTGGGGTGTGGTCTGATTTCAGGACTTTTCTAGCAGCGGCTGTAGAAGATAGATTCCAGGGATGGTCTGAGTTCTGGTAGGAAAGGTTTCTGGCTCCGGGGACTGTTTTCTCTTTCTGACATGCATGCATGTATCTGTCTGTTTATACCATTCTTCTTTTTATTTATTTTTTGTGTGTGCTACATTTTATTAATCAATGTCAGCCCTTTTTAATTTTTGCCTTGAAACAGTCTCACTAAATTGCTAAATGTTTCAGGCTGAGTTTAAATTTGTAACCCTTCTGCCTCAGCCTCCCAGGACACTAAGATTACACATGAGCACCACCACATCTGGCCCATTCTCTTTCTGAGTCACGTGGAACTGATTTACCAAGCCAAAAGAAAGAGCACAAACCTGGCAGTTCGGCAGACCTGAGTGAAAGTCTGAGCACTTCCATTTATTAGCTCATGTGACAGGGAGAACTCAACCCCCCTGACTTAGTTTTCTTAGCTGTAAAATGGGCTGCTGCCTCTTGATTCTGAGTGAAGTCTCTGTGTGCGAACTGACAGTGTGGGCCGGGCAGTGGGCACATGTGCAAAGCGTAGTCCTCATTGAAGAGTAGTTCCCTCCCTCCCACGATTCTTCTTTTCCAGCATTTGGGCACATGCGAGTGCTGTTCACCCGCGCCCCAGCTCCCCTGGCGGCCACTGTGATCCCCACCACTGCCTAATTCAGCAGTTACCATTCATTCTTAGCTGCAGTGAGTATTTCCCAAGAGCTTTGTGTAAGACTACACATTCCAATGGCGCCTCGGCTCACAAACTTAATTTGTTCCACGATTCTGGAAGAGATGTTCATCACCCACCTGATGCAGAATTTGCAAATACTAATGAAATTTTGCCAAACCAAACTGTTTGCAAACAAGAGCGTTTGTGAACCGAGGTGCCACTGTACCGGGGCCTTCGTGATGGGCTCAGCCACACACATCCTTCCCCTCAGAGCCAGGGATCCAGAGGGGATGACAACTGGCACACAAATAAACGTCAGGCTGTAACTAGAAGAGGTGCTGGGCAAGGGTGGTGCCCGATGAGACGTGGCAGCCTCTCAAACTCAGTTTCCCGCAGTGATGCTGGTGACGTTTCCTGTTTGTGATTGTGGAGGGAAATGCCACCTCCTTTCCCATCCTCATCCTGTCACCGTGCCACATGACACTGTGTCAGAGCTTTCAGAAGGTCTCCTGAGTCCAGAAGGAAATGGTTTCAAACAAAAGCAAGTAGAATTGGAAATATTTACATGAGACATACAAATGAACATCTCATTCGACAAATGTTTACTAAATGTCTATTCTGTGCAATGTGCCGTGTAGATATCAGGAATACAAATTTGAATAAGGCCCAGACCTCAGACTTACGAGACACACAGCGATTGTTATCGGAGGCAAAAGACAAAGGAAATAAAAATCTTTTATTGCTTGAGAAACACATGACCATTCCAAGACAGTACATGAAGCCAGCGAAAGACTACGGAAAATACTTCCTCCCGGCTTCCCTCCTGAGCCGCAGCCAGCCTTCGGGGCTGACACCACACTTTCTGCCTTCCTCAGCCCGGAACAAACACTTTGTTCTGATCTTCCACAAGGGGCACTCTGTTCTGACCTTGAAACCCAACCAAGACCTAAATTCCCTTAAGGCTGTGAGCAAAGTGTGAACAGTGCAGGCACGGAGGCCGTGTCTATAACCCCAGCACTCGGGAGGCTGAGGCAGGAGGATCCCTGAGAGTCCACGGCCAGCCTGAGCTATTGTAGCAAGACCTTGTGTCAAAACAACAACAAACCCAGCCAACCAACGAACAGAAACTATCAAATGTTCTTGGTTGTTATGTGGCCGTTGTCCTAACATACACACACTCTCTCTCACATTTAGTTGGCCTCATGTAGAAAATGCCTCTGCCTTTGTTCAGCTCTACAAGGAGAGATATTTCAGACCAGAAAGAAGCAAGAGGCTGTATGGCAGGTTGGATCGAGACACAGAATATCTTGAAAAGGCTAATAGCATTCAAGCCCCAGTTTCTTTATTTCATTTTTCATTTCAATTAAAAAAAGCAAAGGATAGCTGGACATGTCTGTAAGCACTCAGGAGGCTGAGGCAGGAGGATCGTTGTGAGTCTGAGACCAGCCTGGCCTGAACTCAAGGCCGGCCTGCACTGCATAGAGAAACCCTGTCTCAAAAAGCCAGACAGACAGACAGACAGAAAGAAAGAAAGAAAGAAAGAAAGAAAGAAAGAAAGAAAAAGAAAAGCAAAGGAAATGTCTCATAAGGATAGAAAGGGTCCAAAGCAAGAAGTGGCTAGCCCCCCAGAGGCCGAGGACCAGCACACACTCTGAGCGGCTCCCCGCTTTTTTACCTGTCCTCCACTTCTGCTTGCTTTTCTTGACTTCCCTTTCTGCAGGGCTACTCCTGCCTCTGCAGCCACAGTGGTGGCAGAAGGTGGTCACCCTGTCGCATCCCCTGGGGACTGGTGACTCTTGGTCCCTAATTCTTCAGGCTTTGGAGAAAGCTTGGCCTATTTGGATTCCATCTCCGTCCCCACGCAGGGGCCTGGGTCACACAGTGTGACATCCTGGGGCCCACGTTATGCACAGGAGGAGGGCAGTTTCCGCAGGAAGAGGGGGATTTTGTCTCCTGGGCTGCCCAGACCGGAGACCCCTGAGGCATCCACTGTGTACCTCAGTTCAGAGGGGAAAGCCGAGGTACGGCTTCTGGTTTCGGGGCAGGAAGCTCTGAGGGCTGAACCTCACAGCCCAGCAAAGCCCGCATTTGCCTGGGCCACTTGGAAAAAGGAAACCTAAGGGTCCATTTGGTGTAGCAAGCAGTTCTGTGACTTGTGTGAAGGTCTGGCCCTAACCTCTCACCCTGGAGCCCACTTCTCCGGCACTCTGGTGAACCCCACTCCCGCCATACTCAGGCTGCACGGGTGTGGCTTTCCAGCCTGAAGGGGATCTCCCTGTGACTGTGGGGGTCAGAGGATGAGGGGGATGTTCTTCACGTCTCAGGCCCTGTTGCACGGACCGATGACTGTGTGTTTAGGGCTCACATGGGCCCCAAAGAAATAAGGCACCCTCTCCAGAGTGCTGTCTACAGGCAAGAGGCCCAGGGAGTCCCTAAAGACAATTCTGTCTGCGACACTCCAATCGCTTGATGACTTGCCACATTTTTACTGGAGGTCACGGTAATGAACTAGGTAATGACAAAATTAAGTTTCACTTAATTCCCTGTAATTAAGTAACCCCATGATTTCTAGAGTGTTTATGCAGGTATTTCCGGAGTCTCATGCATGGAATTTACTTCCTGCATAAACCGTGTCTATATACTGAGCATCCTACATTCATTCAGAGAGAGCCTGACGTCAGACACCTCCGGCAGGACTGGATTAGCAAATGGGTTTGTTTATTAAAAGCACCTGCACAGATAACAGGTCAAGTAATTATGGGTGGTACCCAAGCAAAAAGCAATTTAATTTAATACCTCTGACCTAGTTGAGAGATAAAGATAAAAAGTGTTGCACTTAAAAATAAATTTATCATTAACAAGGATAACTCAGCTCTATTGGATAAAAGTAACACAGAGAATAATTATCCGGCAACCTCCTCTTCCTGCGTTCTTTTTGGATTTTTCCTCTTTTATAATATTGAGTTTCAGTGTGTGTAATATATTTTGATCCTGCCCTCCTCCCCTCCCTCTCTACTCCTCAGTACACATCACCAAGGGAACCTGGAGGACAAAATGTCAAAAGGCTCCAGGTTCATTCATTCATTCATGCATGTGGCCATGGACAGCATGGCAAAAGCAGTATTTTCCCAAAGCTATAGAGCTGCCAGGTTGGTGGTGGTGAACCCATGGCTCCCATGTCACTGGACTGTCCTTTTAAGACAAAAGATGTTGCTGTAGAGTTGTTTTCTCCTAATTAAACCCTCAGTATCCAGGTTTCATTGCAGGGTTGGCGCTTTGCATTAATAAGTGGATATTGGGTTGCAGTTTGAGCCTTCATTTCTGGAAGGTTCTCTGGCACTCTAGACACAAAGAAATGTTGAAATCAGGATGCTGAAGGCTATTCAAACAGAAATTTGAGAATAATACCCCAAATCAAAGATCACACACTAATAAATCTGCTAAGAGTAGATTGCTTTATTGAGGACAATGTTCAAAGGACTCCTTTGATTCGCTAAGCGATCTTGCACCTGGGCTTCCCTGGACCCAGCACTGGCTGGGCCCCTCCCCAACTCCTCTCCTCCTGCCCTTAACCCTTGGACTCCCCTCCTCCCTACGGCTGAGCCTTCTAACCTCAGCTGCTCTGTCCCGTAGACCTGTGGTTTCCTGTGCTGTCCACACTGGCTTTCCAGCCCCACTGTAGGGTCTGATCAGCTCTTAAGGCATGCCTTTTGTATCTGAAGTGGAAATTAGCCATTCAGCTTTTTTAAAAAAATTTCCCCCAGTTTCCATTTGGTATAATAAACAGCTCTGTAACCTAAAGCATCTTTTTGCTCCTTTGAGAAATCCTTGGA